TCAAATATGTTATTTACATGATGTCATCATAAGCCGGTAGGTAATGTTTACATATTCGGATATCGCTAGTCAGTTGGATGATGATTATATGGCGAAGCAAATCACATGATCACGTATTAATAATATATCGAATATAATATAATCGGCAAATATCAGCAACAACAAAGAAGAATTACTGGAATCGAATTCCGATTGTAACTCGCTGCGAATTTATATAAAAAGTGTTTACCTGCCGTGCGTGCATGCATGGAGGAAGGTCTGATCAGTCCCAGTAGATCGCACCTGCAGATTAAAATACAATCCGATTCTCTCTCCATTGAATAAGAATTATTGTTACGTATTAACGATAAATAAAGAAATGTCGAGGTACAGCCAGGAGACGACAACGATCTTCTTCGTGATTCACCTACAGTAGTAATTACCTTTTTTCCTCAGTTTCTCGTATTTTATTTTTAATTTCTTACGATACCACTACAACCAGCATGGAAAGTCTATTGATTAAAATCTATACCATTTGAGTGTTGTAAGCGGTATTTCCTTGAGTCAAGTCGGTTATCATTTATCGAGTAATTTCTAGAAGAACATTTCTAAGAGTCTTATTTTTAATTTAACGTAACTGCTTGTAAAACTATAAAAATTTGAATTTTCCTTCGTCATTCGAATCCAACAAACACATATCAGAAATTAAACTTACTAGCAGAGGTTGATAAAATAGGGTTCTGCTGCAGTTCAAAATTTGCCGCTAATAAATAAACATTCGAACGTGCAACCGCACCCTCGCGATAGCCTTCAAGTCTAATTACTTCCTCATTAAACTCTTTTACATTCGATCAATATTAATTTTAGCATGGTGGTTTAGCTTCGTAGAATTATCGCATCAATAAGGGCGTTTACCACCGACCCTCCGAATCGACAAAACATACGAATCCACCCGACTTGAAGTTAGACGCGACCTACATGACGACCATTAGAAAAATCACATCCGCAAGTACCGGTTCATAGTCAAGTAAAAATAGGTCTAAAATAATTGTTTCGCGGAAATGGATGCATTTTGGATATTGGTAAATCGAGGTCGAAAAAACCAATTCTAAAATCGGTTGTACTCTGTGTCCGTGAATTTTATGCAAAAATAATATTTGCAAGTTATTTTAGTTCTCGCAAATGACTTGACCGATGCTAAAATAACCTACGCCAATAGAAAGGTGATTACATTTTCATAAGATACTATGTTTTGTACGGTTTTGATAAGTGCAATGTTTCCAGAAAAAAATTAAAAAAGAAAATATTGTGTAACATATATAGTATTGCACCGGGATGGGAAAGTACAATGCGCAAACGGAGTGGCTGACTCTCCAGACTATCTCTCCTCGCTCTCCCCTCTTTGCTCACGAATCGTGGCAGTTGCAGTTGCATTTCATTACAATTCCTTTTTTAATTTTTATCTCGAAATCCCACAAAATATTGTTACTTATGCAAAATGTACTGGTCTTTGTATCGGTGTAGGTTACTTTATCGTCAGTTATTCTCCTTGCGAGATATTAGTAAAAATAATTTTCAAATGTTATTTTCGCGTAAAGCACGTAGACATAGATTGCTGTTAATTTCAGAATTGGTGCTTTCAACCTTGACTTACTTAATATTCAAAATGCATCCACTTCCATAAAATAATTATTTCAAACTTATTTTTACTTTACAGTAAAATAAAAATTTCACGGAAACCGGAAAATCATCAGCTACGAGAAAGCTCCGTTAACCCAGTGACCTTGCGAGAGGCTATAGTATTGCTTCGTCCCTTCTAAAGCTGTTATTTAGTAGTAGTAGTAAAGTGAGGGGGAAAGAGAGAGAGAGAGAGAGAGAGAGAGAGATAGATGCGTCGATGTAGCAATGCGGCGTTGATCGACACATGTGCTGTTAGCCCCAGTCGCCCCAGTGTACCGCTGCCATCGTTCCTATTCGTCGCACTCGTGCGCGAACCAACTCTAACCTCAACAACTCAATATCCAAGGTACGTCCCTGCTCTTTTTCTGTATTGTCCTCTCTCTCTCTCTCTCTCTCTCTCTAACTCTCTCACTCTCACATGTGTGTGCATAGCAGACAACCTTTAATGCAGCAGTTGTGAGAGTGTCAGATAAGAGAGAGGGAGACACATTTTAACAATTTGTGGGATTATACGTGTGGGAACTCATTGATCGCCGTAGAGGGCTAAAGTGTTATTAGTGTCGCAGAGAGTAGCCCCAGTTATTTACACGTTGATCGTTGCAGATGATGATGCATTTGCGTGAAAATATTCCGAGCGTGCGCGCGTGTTTATTATTAGATTTTACAAACACGTTTTTAGAAGTGCTTTTTTTAAAAATGTAGGTTTTCTATCTGCTGTTTCAGATCGAGTGACAACACTTTTGTAGTGCTGCTGACTCTCCCTTCGTATAATACGCAGCGCTCTCGGATTTTCTTATTGATTTTTAAAGCCGCTTTCTGCGCGTATGTATACGTTTTGCAGATGTGCTTATATACACGCTTGAATAACAGCTGTGTGTAAAATTATTATCCGTGGTTTACACTGTTTTAGTTTGCTATGATTTAGTTCTAAATCTCGCGATTACTCTTTACTTGGAAAGAGAATGAACGGTACTTTCTTGCTGCCTTAGCAATTATGAGTAGAGCGTTGCTTTTTCATAGTGCGATGTTGATTATCATTTTTTAAGAGTGAATTTTTTAAAATCGTGTTACAGAAGGGAATGGAGTCTGTAAAAAACCAATGTTGCTTCGAAAAATGTTTTACACCACATAATCCAGCCGAAATGAGTACACCAGGTTATTTGAAAATGTAAAAACTATGAATTATTTTCAAAGAAACTGCAACTAACTACAGATCTCGTAAAATGGATACGATAGGAAAGCTGACGACTATAAGGAAAACTAGAAGAAAAATTAAGTAAATTGTAAGGTAAGTCACGTACGCAATTATCAAGCTATCAAAAAAAGCTCGCGATAGCAACAGATATTTTTTTTTGTTAAACGTCGTTGTCTGTCAAGCTACATCTCGCAAAAAACTTGTTATTTCAAAACAATATTCAAAGATAAGCTGCCCTGAATTAAAAATTACAATATTAAAAAAAAAGACATGTACATAAAAATGTCCTCAAGATAAAATCCGGATGACTGAAAAAAAGTTCCTGCCACATAATGCAGATTTTTAAATAAAAACGCCTCATTTTCCATTTTTTTCCACTTTTCAGATGCCATATCGAGAAGTTAAGCATCAGTATATTTGACAAATGTCCGTGAGTACATTTAATAGTTAATAACCGTGAGAAAAGAATATAAATTGACCCCGTGACAACACGTTATAGGCAAAAATGTCACGACGTACGAGCTTTTACTGTTTAATTCTGCTGGCGACGTTGTGCGTATTTTTCATCGCACTCAATCAGCGTTATAGCAGTTACATCGAGTATCGCCTTCAACCCATTCTTTCGGTAAAATATATATATCCTATATCTAATAAAAACTTTACCGCACAATTCAATGTCGTATCCACACTTAAATGTTTCGCCATTATACATAAAAACGATATTTTACTTTAATTAGTTTACATAAGAGTAAAAAAAATAAGCACGCGTTGCATGGTTCCCGCGGTAATTCATTGTTGCCGCGCTTGAATGGCCATTCCGGAGCAATTCGATTAGGAAAATATATGTTTAATCACTCGCTCGTTTTGTCAGCATATGAGATACAGTGAACACACGTATAACCCTGATTAATATAATTTGGTACACGCAGAGTATATAAGAGTTATTGACCTTATTATACGATGGAAGAGGAAAAAAAACTAAAGGGTGATAAACAGAACCAAAATAGATGTACCGTTTATCGTATAGTATTTTGAAAGTCGGAAATGGGATAGACTCGGATTGGTGAAAGTCCGCGTGACGATGATTATTTTTCCGTTGACTAGGTCCATTATGAAGATTATTTTTCACTGTTACCGACGGCATATGAACTGTAATCACGGAAGTTATTATCAGATCATTATTAAAGCTTCATTAAAGTTGAACATTATTATTCTACCGTTAATTATGCTTTATTGATTGAATAATCGACGAAGCTTTTGATTACTGCAGCGATTATAAGCAATATATCGTAATTGTGCGACTTTAACATTAAACAGACAACAAGGCGTATGATGGAAAAAAGAGTCAAACGATAAAATATTCGCGTGATCGAATGATTCGGGATTTTCACGCGCATACGTTCGAAATAATGTTTATCGTGTTTGAATTATCAATTTGGAAATCTTTAATATTTTAATTATTTGTTCGAGTAATTAAAATCTATATTTTAAATAAAATTCTCATAAAACATCGAATACCTTGACAAGCGAGCTTGGCCTTTAATGTTCCCCTAAATCAATGCACACATCATTTTCTTTGTTCTTCATTAGGAAGCGGAATTAAGGTCTCGATTGAAATATCAAGAGCCGTTTTTGGTACCAACAGTCAAATATGATGATCCATTTTTGGTAAGTCACTGAATATTAAATAAAAAGGTGCTATGAGTATAATATCACAATAGCATGCTTTTAATGAAATGAGACTTTGAAGGGTATAAGCTTGCTTGAAATATTGCAGTCGAGTGTTTTGATTAATGGGTGCGTTGAAAACTCAATCAACGTTTTATCGAAGGTGTGAGGTAATAAAAACTGAAAGGGTTGCACTTTAATGGCTTTGTGTGTTTCGCTTGCTCTATGCACAAACTTCTTTCTTTTTCGTAGATTATTTTTGCGCTTTGTGTTTTTTAACTCACTGATTATATTTTTCGAATCAATCCTTGTTTATTCATCGATTGATTCATATAAAATAGCGCTAAGCGATTGAAAAACGGTTGTAGCGGGAATAAAATGTAAATCCTAGTAATGATTCAATGATTCAATCGATACTATTTTTTTTAGTTAGCCTCGAAATTTCTCGAGACTTTCGAAGGCCTGCAATTATAGGCACTTGGTCAGGTGTCATTGGAATGTAAAGTCCGTATATACTTGGATTCTTTAGGTATGAGCAGTGGTTCAATATTTGATATAATGACTTGCGTTTGAAGTATTTAACTCGTGTACTATAAGAGGCAGTTTAGAGCCTCGAAATTATTCGAAAACGCTTATGGCATTGAATCGATTTTTCTGAAGTGTGATCATAGCATTTATATTAGACTTGTTCGTGACTGGATTAACATGTATAAACAATTGCATTCTTGTGCGCATAATTGATATTCCTATTTAACAATTAAAATAATCGGTGGATGACGATCTTATCAAATTATTTGTTTGAATTTGAAAATTGAACAATGGATGAACACTTTCCGATCGTCATTCGTGCGTTAATCTTATCTCGTGCTTGTCATTTGAAATATACTTCAAGCGGAGTTTTTTTCTATCGCGCGCAGCGTTCGCGCGCGAGGAAGTCGATCACGCGAAGTAAAATGAAAAAAAAAAAAAAAAAAAAAAAAAAAAAAACTACTTGAATATTTGAACGATCGAGCGACGACAGCGTCGGCGGTCGCCAGAAGGCCCGAGCCGACGTTAGCATTATATTTTTCTTCATTCTGATCGATCTGCGCGCTTGGCTTATTTGCAGAGCTACATGAGGGCGAGCTATAGTATCGAGAACATGACGCTTTTGGAGATCGCAGAGGTAGTCGAGCAGCAGCGCCGTGCGATCGAGAAGGAAATGGAGGATTATGTTTATCCGAATGGCAAATACGGCGTTTATGCCAAGTGAGATGTGTCTCCTTTTTCTGTCTTTTTGTTCGCCGCTTGTTTGGCAAGGGTGAAGCTCTTGTGAAGGCTGTCGGCATAATTTTGATGACACTGTTGAATTAATGTATTTAAATTGAGATTCAGAGAAAATTGTGCTAATGTCTGATTTAGTAGGCTAAAGTTTATGTAAATTTCTTAGATTACGGATTATGTTCAATTCCGAACAATAGCTTTGAACGTTTTCTAAAGCCGATTAAATCATAAATTTACGAATTTTTATTAGAATGAGATTTCGCTTATTTGATTTTTGAAAACTCTTTAATTTATTAAAAGCATATATATGACTTACAGTAAGTTGGAGGATTTGGTAATGGAGAAAAATGGAAATCCAGTTCGTAGCGTAATAGTGACAACTTGGCGAAGTGGCAGTACGTTTCTCGGTGATATCCTCAATTCTCATCCAGCGAATTTTTACCATTATGAACCACTTTTGCACTTTGGTATAATACAGATAAGAGAATCGCCGCTATCCGACGAAGCCTTAGACGATTTAGATTCAATGTTTAAATGTGATTATTCAACTCTAGGTAATTGTTCGTTCATCTTGGTTTAACAATTTCGTCGTTGAATAATTTTAATTGATTGTCATTTTTTTTGATAGAACGATACTTGAGCTTTGGCAAGAATTCTCATCCGTGGGTATTCAATCACAATACGCATCTGTGGAAACAGTGCCAACTTCACAAAAGGATTTGTTGGGATCACAGATTTGTATCCAAGTTTTGTAAACTATTTCCATTTCAGTCGATGAAAATTGTTAGAATTAGGCTGAAGCCTATGGAAAGGTTTCTAGAACAGAACGAGTAAGTTAATTTCACAATTGATCCTGAAATATCAAGAAATAAAGTTTTATTAATATTCTACGGTTTGTAGATTAGGTATAAGAATGGTACTTTTAATACGAGATCCGCGAGGAGTTTTGCAATCTCGGAAACACCGACAATGGTGTCCTACTGAACCAGACTGCTTTGACCCTGCGGCGCTTTGCTCCGACATGGTCGCTGATTATCACGCAGCAGTCACTTTTTCGAAATTATATCCGGACTCATTTAGGTCAGTTACATTATGTAATCTATCGCTGTTTTATTTGACTGGTGCTCTTTACGTTTTTCTTTTGTATGTAACTTAGTAAATTAGTTTTTTTTTCGTGCCGTATATTTTTTTATCTAAAAAATGATCAACTTTTCAAATAGATTAGATTACTTTTTTTAAATAAAATATATAAAAAGCCTCGTTAAAATTACACCTTTGTAATATTTTCAGAGTAATTCGCTACGAGGACCTCTCCGTGGAACCGTACGTCAACACTCAGAAGTTGTTTGAATTTTATGGTTTAAATTTCCACGATAACGTGCGTGAATTTCTGGATAGCCACACAAAGATTGATATTGGAGGGCTCTCGTCAACCTTTCGTAATTCGAAAACTGCTCCATTTCATTGGCGCGCTCAATTGGATTACGAGGAAGTCGAGGAGATTCAACAAGAGTGCAATTTGGCGATGCGTTTGTGGGGTTACGCGTTTGCTCACAACGCTAGTCATCAGCGATACTTCGATCCAGTTATCGACTTTAAGCTTCGTAAAAATGATGTATGACCGCCGTTGATGATGATAATTATCAGTCTCCATTTTGGTGATAGTTTGGTACTTAACGTCGCCGAGGATGTTGGCATACCTTTGATGTACAGACTTCATTTTTATTATCTCGCATTCACGTACCTGTAAAATGACACTATTCCGTTAGCACGTACTTATAACATGTAGGTTCAGCATAAAGTACCAAAATATTCATTTCAGCTATCATGATTATACACACTTACTTCATTTGCTCTCTATTTAAGGAATTTGTCTTATATTTCTAACTTTTTGTATGAAAAGTCAATACGTAATTTTGACATGTATAATAAGATATTTAGATAGCACTTTTATCGTTCGATTTGATAATACAAAGAAATGTTTATTTAATGCGAATTTTATAATATATATGATGAATCATATCGCTTCTGTATCAGACGCGTAGATTTTTTAATTGTATTGGTGTAAATTTGTACTTTTATTAAGATGAATTGTAGACAGGATTGTGCCTGATCATCAACTGATAGGTAATACTTATTTATAGGTAAAATATTCGTACGTAATACATGAGAGTATCTATGACAAACGCTTGCTTTAGAAAGATAATACATATATTTTCTTCAAGTATACTTTGTTCGTAATCTATTTTATTAATTAGAATCAAAATGATCTAAGTCAATATTTTAAAACAAATGATCTGCTAATAATACTTTTTTAACATTTTTATTCGTTCATTCTTAATGTCAATAGTAGAATGTTAACTAATGTTTGTGTCATCTTCGATTTATTTTACAATCTTAAGAATTTTAAATATTCCAAACAGTATTTGTATCGTTAAGCATACCAAATTTTATTAAATTCCTTTCTTGCATAATAACGCTTCGTCTCAAAGAATAAAAAAATATCGAATCATATTATTGTAGAAGTCGATTATATGCAAGAGACTGTAAGTATTTATGAAAAATATGTAGTTAGACAATTTTATTTATTAAAATATTTTATCGGAAGAATAAAATCTGATAAAATATACTCTTAGCACAAAGTTAAATTAAGCAAATAATTGATTCCCATTAAATGTTCTTATAAATATTGCCACTGTTTTTTACATATAAAACTGAAAACTTTGTATGCAAGGTGCAACATGAAACGATCAATTCAATTGTAGTATCGTATTTTTAACTATCAAATCATATTTGTACACACATGTGACGATTAATTCGATATAAAATATTGTATAATTTGTTTACATACCTAAAATCAGATGAAATATTTTGTTAAATACAAAACTTTGAATTCTTATTACTGGAAATTTTTTTTTCTGTACTTCCTATATTTATTGCTTGTAAGCATTTACGAAAACTTTTCGAGAGTATTTATTTCCTTCAAATAGAATTCATTCATAGTTGAGAATTATTATTTCACACCTGCAGATCTTTCTTCATGAATAATCATTTTCCTTTACAAATGAGCCATATCGAATCCATACATTGGTCTGAAAGGTTTTGAAATTTAAATTTCGACCTGTAAAATCTACGTTTGTCTTTTTCTCGTTCTCATAATTCTCCACCGAGAATACGAATAAATAATCCATAAGTGCTGTGATAATGATATGAAATCTGATGATCCAATTATCAACGATAGTTTAATATTGTGAAAATAACTATAGTTAAATAATAATTTCAGTATCGCGTTTTATCTACAATCTTGCTACTGGCAATGACATAATTTCTCAATAAACGGTTACGAGTTGAAGAATTATCTTCGTATATACAATAATAGTTTTAGAAGCCAAATAATACGCAATGATAAAATAAATCTTGACATGCTATCTTTACATGTCAAAAAATGGTGAGCTGCACCGTCTCTCTGCGACAAACGCTACAATGTACATTCAAACTAATCTGCGAGTTGCTTAGCTTATTTTATCGCTGGCATTTTTGCATTTTCAAATTGGGTTTCATTATCACATCCAGATGCATTGGAGAGCAGAAAAAACAATGCAACAGACGTCAACATTCGTTCTCTTAGAGATCGCATCAAAGATGCCTCATGCACATTATTCAAAGACCAGATCCAATATTGTCGGCATACCTCATCGATTATTGTCGGAGTTGACGCGAAACATAGCGAAGATGATTGTAAACTTCTTGTAAGTATTGGGCGTTCAAGAAAAGCTTTTTCAATTGATTTTAAAAGAAGCTTGAGTTTAGAATTTTTGTTATTGAACCGGTAACGTATGTCAATCCGAATTATATATCTACTAATTAATTTGTTAATTAGGAAAGTCTCTCGACGACGTAGCCTCTACTGTATGCTGTTTGCAGGAATAGTATGCCTGCTTGTATTTGTGATGAGCGATTACAACGGGTCTTCTGTCCAATACATATCCTCGGTCAGTACTTGCGAATCACGATTATTTCAAATGTATTTAAAGGTGAAATTCTTTACCGAGATATTTGATATTGTGTGGTTGCCACATGGCACACGTGCCACGGGCTAAAACATCCGAAAAACGTAATAAAAAGATGCTAAAAAACATAATGCAAGCTAGGTTGATTTCAGCAGGAGTTGGAGGAGATTTTGCGCGAGCAAAGATTAGAGATAGAGACGGAAATGGACGGCTATCCTTACAGCGATTTATCAGGAAGAAACGTTAGGTACGTGAGTCGAATGCGCACGTATGCTCGGTTGAAAAGAAGTAATTGCTGTATTATTGGCAATCAGAGAACTATCGGATCTAGTTATGGAAAGTGAAGGAAAGCCTTTGAGGAGCGTGATCGTATCCACTTGGCGAAGTGGAAGTTCCTTTCTTGGCGATCTAGTCGACGCTCATCCCGCAAGCTATTATTACTTCGAACCGCTGCTGTATCTTGGTATAGTCCAGTTCAGGCGGCCGTTGCCGTCGCCGGAACCTTTCAATACTCTGAGATCGCTGTTCAATTGCGATTTCTCCAATCTCGGTATTTTGGCACAAGTACTTATTTATAGCTTGCCGTTGGAATTGAGTATTCGTTAATGTTTAAGGTAATTTCTTGAAGTATCGAAGCACCGACAAGTGGCACAGCGACGACTACAATAGGTATTTGAGGAAACAATGTCGTCGGAACAAGAACACCTGCCATGATCCAGTATTTTCCACCAAATTCTGTAGTTTATTTCCCTTTCAAGTGGCCAAAATTGTGGGTCTCGATCTCGCTCTCATGGATAGCTTCCTAGAAGATAACGAGTAAGTTAATGCATTGTTATTAATCAGAGTCCGTCGTTCTTATATTCGTTCCTGCTGCAGTTTAGGCATCAAGATTGTGTTTTTGATCCGTGATCCAAGAGGCGTCTTGCATTCGCGAAAGAGCCTGGACTGGTGCAGGAATACTCCCAATTGTCTGAATCCAGTCTCGCTGTGCACCAACATGCTGCTGGATTACGCCACTGCGATGGACTTCTCGACAAGATTCCCGGAAAGCTTCAAGTAAGCTCGCACACACTTATTTCGCCGATCTGTTAATTAGCCTCTAACTAACTGTCAAGAGTTCTGCGATACGAGGACTTAGTCGGCAACCCCCAGAGGATCAGCCGGGAAATTTACTCCTTTTACGGTATGGCGTTCCACAATGTTGCGAGAGAATTCGTAAATACTCATACCAGAGTATCGCGCGGTGACGAGTACAGTACATTTCGAAACTCCAGCGCAGTGAGCTTTCAATGGAAAGAGAAGCTGGCTTTTGACGAAGTTAACGTCATTCAAGAGAATTGCTACGAAGCTATACAAATTTGGGGCTATAATTTAGCCTTCAACGGCAGCCACCAAAAGAATTTCGATCCGCTGCGACCTTTAACCACAAGGAATTTCAATTACTTCCGATAATATCTTGTAATGATCATGTTATATATATTCGATAAATAAAGAATACACGAAGCATTTGATTGTTAAAGTTAAATAATTTTACAATACCAGTTCTGCGCAAATCTTTCACATTCCAACATATGACCGCGTAAGTTGTCCCTTCTTTGCAAGCGATAGTCCGACGCTTGGCTAGCCTAATCGTTATTACCCACATTTATAATACAGATCAGTTATCCTTGCGTTGCTGCAGCGTGGTAAGAACAAAAATGCAGAATCGTTCATGATGCTACAATGTTTTATTCATAGTAGGTCAATTTTTTCTAAGGACGATTGCAATAATCGCAACGTTTCTATGACTTTCCTACACAACCAGTTGCGAAACCAGTTGACCCAACATCTTTGTCATTTACGTGTTCAAGCTCGGCTATTTTCCGTCTAAGTACTCTTTTTGTCTGCCTCATTTGGTTTAATAAACAAGAAATTGATGAGGTAAGCAGACATATCCTAGTTAAAAATATAAATATTAAAACATAGCTGTTTGATATTTTTAGTAAAACCCTTTGAAGTATATAGGAACAAGAACTATCTCAACTGAGCAAAGAGCACGTAGTAAAATATTCAAATAACTACAAAAGTAATACTGTAAACTAGCAAGAAAGCTAAATAAATTGCGTGTAACTGTAGCATGTGCATCAAGAATTTTAATCTGAGTATTTTGACAGAACATAAATTGAAGTAAAATATTTTAAATATTTATTAAAGAATAAAAAATTTTATTTTAGGAATTGAAAATTTCAAAATTTAATTATTACCAATTATTTATTATACGCAATTTACATAAATATGTAGTAAGATCTTCATGAATTATGGTTTCAAGGTTTGAAAGAAAGTAATCGAAATGTCATTTGCATTATGAAAAATAGTTTATTTGCATAATACCAAACACACAATAGTCACTCAGTGACAATAATTATAAAATGGCATTTTCTATTGGGATTGCTTCTGTTCTTACAGCAGGGCAAAACAACAGTGTAGTAGGACTCATTGCACAAACTGCCATCTGTAATATTAATTTGGTAATAAGAATTTATACAACTGTACCTGTTATTTATAAAAAAAATTATCAATATTTCAGTGAGGGCAAGTACTAATCATAAACATATCATATTAGCGTATATTATGTTTACTCATCATATTCAATAAAATATTTATTTATCAATCTATCAAGAATTTAGAAAGTCATGATGATACTTACATAATATATCTTTCTTTCATTAATACTGATTCACTTGCCTAGTGATGCGCCAATATAATTCCAAAGTCAATTAAACCAATGAAACTATTGCCATTTCTGTAAAAAAATATACTTCTTTCAAAAAACATGTTAAGAAAGACAAAATAAATTTATGTTGATCATATATAATCAGTAAAAGTATGACATCAAAAGTTTTCAGTCATATGCTTGTCAAATAAAATCATCATTTAAAACAAACCTTCTGTTAAGTTTTGTTTATAAAAATAATTTACTGTATAATATGTTTACCTGCATTTCTGTCAGCCTAAAATATCGTGAATTGCAAGATAATAAATATTGATCAGTTGATCACTTTCTTCATGTTTTAGTTAATTCAGCGGATATCTAAAAAATGAAAACAACAAATTAAAATATATTCAATTATTAGATGTAATCAATTATTTTCATTATGGGAAATGTCAGGATGCTTTTATCACCACATTTTTGTAAGACAGGGATAACTATAAATTCATCATTCAATACTTGTACAACAATAATATTAGATCATTGATGCAATACTTACATTACTTTAGATATCTATATCAGTACTTAAAAAAATCTTCAAGATGAATTTGATTCCTGTAATTCAAACAATGTCATAAGTATTGAAATAATAAGAATCTTATACGAAATTAAAAATTTTAAAATTAATCAGGAATCAACATTCGTCACTGATCATTCTGTTTGACTAGGGCGTAAATTTTAATCATCATAAAAGTAACAGAATTTCTATTCAATTACATCATTATGCTAAAAGAAAAGTTATATACCTTATTTCTCTGATTACCGTTGAAGTCATCTTGTATGACTAATAAAGTCCAACGTCAATTGTAATATTGATTCACCTTTAAAAATGAATTTTATTATTAATAATACGAACTTCACATTAAATTCATTCTGAACATTTGCATTATAAATCAGGAATCCGAATCAGTCATAGAACTCAGACTGGGGCGGTAAAGATATCATCATATAAATTATTATTAATAGAATATTTTTATTATTAAGTTTTAATTGTAGCATGTAATAAATAAAATTGAATAACAATCATTCAATTACTTTCTTTTTAAAAGTAATTTCTAGTAATAGAACTCATTATGTATTTAAAATTTCATTGAGAATTAGTATACTTATTAATTTGCTTACATTTTTATTCTGTTAAGATCCAACTCAGCTAACATTAAAACACCTACTATAAGCTTCGACATCCACGTGTTCTGAAAACTGCACTTCGTTGTGACTTGCATCTGCAAACATAACAAATTTATAGTTATTCCTTTTTTTAATTTTACTAAAATTATATTTTGCTAAAAATATATCAGTAATAGATAATGTTATAATCACTAGTATCATACGAACGAGACTATTAGTTTCATCATTTCGTTATTTTGAATTTCTTTTGATATATAAATCTTGTATCTATGATATACAATTTAGTACTTAAAATAAATGAAACATTTAACTTATGTAACATATACTCAATAAATTTGTTTGAAGTAACAATAAGACTAAAAATTAACCACGTGTTTACGCTACTATAAAATATATAGTAACCGAATTTTGACGTATATTAATTAATTTGCTAACAAAGCACAACAATATTTTTAGATAAAAACATAAAAGTCTTTAGAAGCTCTACATACAAAAATATGATAGCTCATTTCAAAGTAAACGTTTTTAAATAGTTACTTAAAAAAAATGAAAAATATCTTGATAAAAATAATTAGTAAGCTATTATAAATAGTAATACTAAGTTGACCGTAAATAAAATATTATTTAAAGATAGATGTCTTCAGATTTAATATTAGTAAAGAAAAAAGAATTACCGCAGCTATCATCCAACATGACTGAAACTTCTTAAAAGAAGCAACCGTACACCTCAAGAGTTAGTAACAAAATGGCAGAGAAGTGGAGCGTCCATCAAAGTTCAATTGTTCCGAGCTCTCGGAATAAGAGTAGGAGTACCACATCCACGAAATTCCTGCAGCGTTGCCGCTGGAAATTTTTTTATCAGGGTCCCTAGAAATTATTCCATTTAACATAATGCAATAATTTCTAAGGACCTTGAGAAAAATTTTTGAAGTGGCAACGCCGATCTCTGCAATAATCAATGCTACCACTATTGAAACTTTCAACGAATAAAATGTTTTTATACTGTGATTTTAAAAAGGAGTATGTGGCTTGTAAAAGTGAGCGTATATAATTTTTTTTACTTATTAAGGCAAGGCTGGTGGTGTATTTTGTTTTAGGAAATAAATATTTTTTCTATCAGTTTCCCACTTTATCATCCGAGTAATCAGCTGTTTTTGCGGATGTAGGAGTTTAAGAACACACGTTAACTTAGGACTTTGTATATTAACATGTCTAATTAAATTTTAGAGTTTAAAAATTACAATAAAACTATTTTCAGTTGGTAAAATTTAAGGTAAAGCTAGAAATATATTTTTTTCTTAAGAAATAAAAGATTGTCCTGTAAAATTTATCAGTATTACAATCGCACAAAAAACATTGTATTATTCAAATTCTACAAGGATACAAATTAGTTTTATGTATTTTTTAGATGGTACAAATTAAGAAGAAGGCATTCATATATATATTTTTTTAAATCGTATATTTTTCTGCTGGAAGATAGATTTTCCGACGCGCACGCGCAGTAATATGTTAATTTGAATTGCTAATCTACCCTACGAAAATCTTTTTTTTTCTCTATTTTTAGAGAGGGTACAAATTTCAAAAAAGCATTTTTCTGATGGTACATATTAAAATGAAACTAGTGGTATTTTTTTCTTTTAAGATATCTATCATTTTTCTGCCAGGAGTATGAGTTTTCCGAAATATCGTTTTTTTCGCTTTTTCTTAACATTTTGGGGGGTTACAAATTCCAAAAAAGCAATTTTCGAGTGGTACAAATTAAGACGAAGCTAATGGTATATTTTTTTTTTTTAATCAATCATTTTTCTGCCAGGGTCGTCTCGATCAGAAGATCGAAGTTTTGTTTCACAGCTGATCACTCAAATGTATGCAGGGTTGCCAATTTAAATTATTGCAATTTTGAACGCACTATAATTCAAATATTATAGTAATTTATAACAGTTTAGTAAAAAAGATGATGTAAATTTTAATAATTTAGTATGAACCTTGTAGATTATAATTAATAATTGCGTATTGCGCTTTTTTTATTTTCTGATTCTAAATTCAATATTTATGGTAATGGCAACATTGAGTGTGGTTCAAACTACACAAAGAAAGAATGGCGGCAAACTCTGCACAATAAAAAATTCCATACCCTAAATGTGATGAATAAACTTTCTTGCATTTCTAATTAAATCACTATGTTTTTAATATTGATAGTTTTGTATTGGGGTTTCAACAACTGTCATTAAATTTCTGTCAACAAACCTTACAATTCAATAAATAACAAATCAAAAAATACCAAACATTCTTGCGAACTACTTCGTTTGATCTGTGAGACAACTACCGAGCACTTCAGGTGGTATGTTGGTTGTTCCCCTTCTCACGACTAGCGAACCGCAAGAACAATATATATGTATGTATATATATATATATATATATGTATATATATATATATATACATATACGAGTAGCTGTAGTATACTTTTTATTTTGTGAGAGAAGTTGAGAACAAGGAGAGGACAGTATTTGCGCGGTGATGCCGCGGAATTTTTATTTTACTAACAAATAGTTCTATTCTCGTTAGTGAAAACGCCGTGTAACAACGTTATTATTTATTTTAACACCACACATTTTATCCGAAAAACAGTCCAGTGCGAGATAGAAAGTCAAAGATAGCATTCAACGGACTTTAGATTTGCAATTGTTGACGCGGAAAAATGGGAGTACCAAAGTTTTTCAGATATATTAGCGAAAGGTATCCTTGCCTTAGCGAGAAACTTAAGGAATATCAGGTAAATTGCTTCGTTTATCGCCTGTTACTCTAATTTTTCTATTCCTTCAAATTTTCTATGTCAATGAAATGCTGATAATTTTGTTGAAAAATGGTAGAACAATGACTTCATTTACTTTCTTTAGTTGATATTACACTGTTACAATTAATCTCTTAAAATAACTTTTACTTCTAGAATATATTTCAAACAAATGTGTTCATTGTATAATTATACTATGTTTATGATATAAACCTTGTAATTAGTTATATCAAGACAGTATCTCATACGTATATGTTTAGTTCTTTGCACATTAATTGTACTGTTTACCATTTAACATACATTATTTTCTTTTGTTATATTTTCCCTTTATGCAAAGGGTTTTTTTTGTATTGCGTGTCTATTTTCATCAATAAAAGGTTGCATATTTCATTTTTGTATGCATCTTTTATAGAATTACATTAAAATCTAAGACCTTATGACATCATATTCTATATTATGCAATTAAAATATCTATAATTTTTTTGGTACATATATTTTATTTAATACAGTTTAATTATTTTGAAATTAAAAATATTATATATTTTGTTTCAGATTCCTGAATTTGATAATTTATATTTAGATATGAATGGCATTATACACAACTGCTCTCATCCAAATGATACAGATGTTTCCTTTCGTATAACAGAAGAAACTATATTTAAGAACATATTTCACTATATAGAAATATTATTTCGTATAATACAGCCACAAAAACTATTTTTTCTGGCTGTAGATGGTGTGGCACCACGTGCCAAGATTAATCAGCAGAGAGGTCGCCGTTTTCGGGCTGCTAAAGATGTTGAAGTACAAGAAGCTAAAGCAAGAGCCAAGGGTCAAGAAATCCCTAAAGAAGCTAGATTTGATTCTAATTGCATTACTCCTGGAACAGTATTTATGTCAAAGCTGAATGAACAATTAAAATATTTTATTACATACAAAATTTCTACTGATAAATTGTGGCAAAAGTGTAAAGTTATTCTTAGTGGATCAGAGGTAATTCTAATTATTTATTTTGAAAATATTTTCAAATAATTTTATTAATTTGAAATATTTTATAGGTACCTGGTGAAGGAGAACATAAAATAATGGATTATATTAGGTACATAAAATCTCAACCGAAATATGAAGGAAATACCCGCCATTGTTTATATGGATTGGATGCAGATCTCATAATGTTAGGTTTATGCTCACATGAACCTCATTTCTCTTTACTTCGTGAAGAAGTAAAATTTGGCAAACAGCAAAAGAAAATTTTAACTCCTGAAGAAACAAACTTTTGTCTTTTACATTTGTCTTTAATGAGAGAATATCTTGAGCATGAATTTTCCCCAGTTAAAGATAAACTTAACTTCAAGTTCGATATAGAAAAAATTATAGATGATTGGATCCTTATGGGATTTTTAGTAGGAAATGATTTTATTCCACATTTACCAAATTTGCATATTGAAAATGGTGCACTGCCAATTTTATATAACGCTTATATGGAAGCACTACCGACTTTAAATGGTAAGTTATTTTTGAAAAATAAATTAAATATTCTTACATTTTTATAGTTATTTAATTAAAACATTTTTTTTTAGGTTACATAAATGAAGCGGGAATCCTGAATTTAGAACGTTTTGAAAAGTTTATGGCAAAACTTAGTAGTTACGATATACAACAATTTGATGAAATATATGCAGATCTAAAGTACTTTGAGGGAAAAACAGGAAGAAGGATGAATGAAAGTGATAGAAATTATAAGTGTTCTGTAGATGAAAATGCCTCTCCGAAAAGAACTAACAATAAGGCTTTAAATGCTTTGATAATGGCTACTGAAGACGAGGTATTTTCCATTAATCATTAATCACTGCTTATTGATTTTATTTTAATCATTTATTTAAAATAGTTGGGAGAGTCTGATGACGATGAGGATGATTCTGAAGAGGACAGAAACATGCAATTAGAATTTACACAGCACAAGCGTGAATACTACATGAATAAGATGGAATATGAAAAAGTTGATGCGTATGTATTTTAAAAGAATGTGAAACTAAACATCTAACAATCATTTTAACTTTTCAATTATAAATAAATTTTTTTGTAGAGAAATAATGCGTTCTCAAGCAGAAGGTTATATTAGAGCGATTCAATGGAACCTTCATTACTATTACAACGGATGTTGTAGTTGGTCGTGGTATTATCCACATCACTATGCCCCATTTATCTCAGACATAAAAAATTTTAAGGATTTGAAATTGGAATTTGATATGGGAACACCATTTTTACCATTTGAGCAATTGTTAGCTGTTCTGCCAGCTGCCAGCAAAACTTTGTTGCCAGATGCTTATCATGGACTCATGACAGAGGAAAATTCTCCAATAATTAAATACTACCCATTGGACTTTAAAACCGATTTGAATGGAAAAAGGCAAGAATGGGAAGCTGTTGTTTTAATTCCACTTATCGACGAAAAAAGCTTACTAGAAGGTTGGCACATTTATAAATATGATATAAATTTATTCAATATATTTTACTCTTTAATAATTATTATTTTCTACGTAGCAATGGAGCCATGTAATGCAAAACTAACAGATGAAGAAAGAAAAAGGAATAGTCATGGACCAATGTGCGTATTTGTATATACTGAAATTGACAAAGGACTGTATGAAGCCCCACAGTATTTCCCAAGCATTCGAAGTCATGCAGATGTGAAATTAATGAGAAGAGAAGAAATTCTGGTACCTCAAGTTAAGCTTGTTAAGGGTTTATGCAAAGGAATTCAACTAAATGTTTATTACCCTGGATTCCCAACATTGCAACACATTCCTCATTCTTCTGCATTAGAAAAAGCAAAGGTACATCTTTATTTTGAAAATGCACATTAAATCTATTTTTAGGAATTTTATTTAATAAAAATGTTTTATTTCTCTCTGTAGGTGAAAGTATTTGAACAGGTTTCTAGAAAAGAAAGTATGATTCTTACTGTACTGCCAAAAGAAGTACCAGATATTGATGAATTAGCTAAGAAATGGTTGGGTAAAACAGTATTTGTCAGCTGGCCTCATCTAATCGAAGCATTCGTTATTGGAATTTGCAATTCGAAAAAAAAAATTAGTATTCCACATCCATCTTCGAAACAATTCTCTGATAATTCTCGCAATTTTGTTACTGAAACAATGACCGATCCCCTCCTGGTTGGGTTGAATATTTACAGAAAAAGTATCACGGAAACGTACATATTTTTCTTATCACCTAAAATCCATTTACCATCAAATTTCTAAATTAATGACTAATATTTCTTACTGAAATTTTAGTTACAAATCACGTTTTGGAATCGATGTTGGCAAGATAGACATAGTGGTACATGCATGCCCAATCGTCGGCAGACAATATGTATACAGCGCTCAAGGTAAAATGACACTCGAAAAACAGTGGAACGACAACCCCGTCGGTTACGCATATCAAGTTATTTTGCGTGACATTACCGTACATAACCCAGAGTTCATTCAATTCACATCCATCACGGAGGTGTTTAAACCTAAATCAATTTGCTTTATGCTTGGTCATCCTTACTATGGCGCCAGAGGCGAGGTTCGTTTAACTTTTTAAAATAATTTATTTCTATACTAGCGTGAGAAAGTGATTTATAAGCCTCATGTGGGCGTTTGCGCCCGAGCGAAACGAGGGTGAAATCACTGTCTCGCATACATCTCCAACTTTATTTGTCGATACGACGTATGCGTGACGAGATTTGAAGCACTCTTGCTTGGGACTGTCGAAAAAAAATCGTTTAGTATTTCGCATCGCTATCATTTTGATGTGCAAATAATTATTTCAAATTCAATTTTAGGTTGTCGAGCCTGCCGTAGATTTGAAAACAAGTCGAATAAAAGTGGCTATGAATGTATCCCTAGAGCCAAACTTTGACAGAGTTCGCCGATTGCAGACGGAAACAAGACTGAGATACATGCCTGGTAATATAGCTGCCCAGCGATTGGGTATAAGTAGTCACCTTCTTAGTAGGATTACTGGAACAATTCTTGTGATAAGCGGCGATGCGTTAGATCCTGTCAATTCCAGCAAGCATAATTTAGGATTAAATCTCAAGTACAATAAAAAGAACGAAGAGGTCATTTATCTTTGTTCTTATATTCTTAAGAAAGTGGACTTTTCTTATCTAACTTGTATATTAATTGTAGGTTGCTGGATTCACTAAGAAAGACCATAACAACGTGTGGTTGTATAGTACAAAAACTATAGACTTCGTACGCTCGTACATGGCTAAATTTCCCGAATTATTCGAACGATTGGAACAGTTTCTTGTAACATCTGATATGTTTCAAAAAGACGATCTGTTTCCAAAAGACACGTAATTTAATTTATTTTTATTAATCTCAAACATACTGCCATCAACGCTATTTACATTTTGGATCTGGTCATTACAGAGCCGACGAAGCAGATGCAGTAGCGACGTGGTTGAAAGAACAGCAAAAAGCGTTGAATACGACGACACGAGCATGCGGTTATGATTCATTGGAGACTGATGTCGTAAAGGGTATCGAGAAAGATATCGATGAGTACCTAAATACTCAAGAACAAAATAGCAAAACTGTTATCATGCATGTGAAGCCTCATTTACTTTACAAACCTGGCTTGAATTCGGGTAATATACCACCAGACCCGAAGGCGCAGCATCGATTGTTCGACAGGATCATCTGCGTGAGAGAGAATTTTACTGTTCCATTGGGGTACAAGGGTACGATCGTTGGAGTTCAGAAAGGAGACAATCCGTTGCTGAACATGTATGAAGTGCTGTTTGACAAAGCTTTCGTAGGTAAGAAAATAAAGACCTACGATGATCATTATTTTGTTGTTATAATTCCGTTTCAATACTATTCATTCGAACCATCGATTGCAGGAGGTATTGTGATACACGAATGTTCGCCAAACCGTAGCTGCCGACTCGCGCCAAGTGACTTTATCAACATAAGCTACGGTATCCAAGCCGAGAACAAAAACAACGTGAACAAGGTGAACGTGCCTTTTCCTACTAATAACTGGCGACAACAGCAACAATTTCAACAAATCCAACAAAATACTAATCGTTTCCCTAACCAAACTGATCAACGAACGTCTCGGAGACAATCTCAACAATCTCAACAACCTCAAACTCAGCCACCAGATCCATCAGCTCTCAATAGTTTCTATCCTGCTTTCGCAAAGAATGGACAGAGACAACATCAAAATCCTGGTAGTAGAAATCAGCAGAACAAGATTGGTTTGAACGAATCGCCGACTCATCAGAGACGTCAACAGAATCAATTCCCTCAGCCACCTGTTGTTTTGCAAAAAGCTTCAGATGCACCTAAAAAGGCTAATCAGTCTTCTCCTCAGCAACAGCAGCAGCAACAACAACTACAATCACAGCCACAGTCACAACCACAACCACAATCACAACCACAACCACAACCACAACCACAACAACAACCACAACAGCAACGGGAAGGGCCGCAGATTGTGCAAGGGATCTCAGAGTTCCAAGCGTTGTGGAATGAACTAAATATGATGCAGGTAGTGTAGTCTTTTCAAATTGTTATCTGATTTAAAAAAAAAAGCCAATTCAGATAAAACAACGATGCAGAGATAGAGCTGTTAAAAGTTATTTTTATAATGAAACTGTCATTATCAGGCTGCTAGCAAACATTTATATAATAGCTTTAATATTGACTTGAACAATAACTACTCCCTATTATCGACTTAAATCTGTATATGTTTTCTTTATCACAGAAGCCAGCAGATTCACCGATAACACAAGTGTCACCTTCTCAAGCAAGTGACAAACCAAACCCACCGTCGAGCGCCGTGAAAGATTCGGTAGGTTTTATGTTTTCCAGTTTTTACCTTTATGTTTGAGTACCTCTGTATCCCCACTACAATACGTTTCTTAACGAACCGATCGTTTTTAGACATTGCCCTGTGGATGAAATGTAGTCATGTAGTAACAAAATTTAATACTCCACTTTACATGTTAATAGTTAATAAAATCTGCATCCAACGTTTGCACTAATAATTCTCTCTCTCTCTCTCACTCTCTCTCTCTCACTCTCTCTCTCTCACTCTCTCTCTCACTCTCTCTCTCTCTCACTCTCTCTCTCTCACTCTCTCTCTCTCTCACTCTCTCTCTCTCTCTCACTCTCTCTCTCTCTCTCTCTCTCTCTCTCATTCTCATACAAAAGCAACCGTGGAAAAATCAAACTTGGGTAAATAAATTCTAGCCATATACTGCGTTATATATCGCAATATGTATATATATTCTTCGCTCATACTTCGTTCCTTTAATTTCACATATCCGGTGCTTGTTCCTTTGAAGATATTGCTTTAATTTTTTTTATCTCTACTCGTAGTTTACCAATTCAGTTTCTTTTATTTTCGAATTTGGTAGAACTGAACATTTGTAGTAGACTTTGCTGCCTGATAATTGTTGCATTTTTAATCAATCGAAAACACAGTGAAATCTCATTGGCCATTGTCTCACAGCCTCAAGACCCGAGTGCTTTTTTGAAAGCAATGTTGAAAATACCGGACGAAAGTGCGCACAGCAGCAGGAGCAAACCGGTGACGACCTTGGCGTCAGCAGCTTCAAATGCTGTTGTCAAGTCGCTACCTGCACATCAGCAGCAATGTGCACCGCTGCCAAGTAAACCCGTTGCCTTCCCATCGCAAACTACTAAAACCACCACCGATACTCCACCTTTGGTACAACAGTTGTTCGCTGTACGTTCTACTCGCTCACTTTCCCATTTGTTACGTTGTTTTTTCTCGAATCATACGTCTGCTAAAGTTTGTTCCTTAAAACGATATGATCTTATCAGAAATTGAATTAGAATTTTCTTTTTTTTTATTTTAAATTTACTCAATTAATAGTGAAATGTATAATTAATATCACTTCTATTTCTGCGGTGTAGTGTGCTAATAGAAAGATGAAAGGGTTTCTAAATCATTGCATCGTGAATTTAATTTTTTCCCTGGAAAATAATCTGGTTTTTCAAAATTTTCAATCACGACGGCTTATTAAAACATTCTTACAAAACATATATTACAAAACATTCTTATGAATCATTTCAAAAACAAAAAATATTGCAGCAAGCACGTCAAGCCGAAAAAAGTGGCAAAAACATTTGGTACTGTTCGCAATTGTTGTCGCACTTTCAATTATTGGAAATTGGATTTCCACGATACGTCTATTGCGCAAGCAAGGATGGCACGGTTTGTGCTCAGATAATACTACCAGACATGCGAACATTTTACGGTGAATTCTGCCGTACGTCCGCTGAAGCTGCCGAAAGTGCCGCTAAAAAAGTCTATGAGGTAATTTCATTCACTCTATGTCATATGTCATTGATAAGTCAACATGCTGATAAACAATAATGGTCTCGTATTTTTTTTTATGGATAGCGAAAATTTGGTATCAGTTCAATCATAGAACCCATACTGAAAATAAATTTACTATAGGCTTACGCGTTTGATACAAGTTTTGATTCATCGTGAATTTATTTACACAAATTAAATAACAAAATTACTGTTCGTCTCAATGAACTAAAATAAAAAAGTATCTGATTAAAATTTTTAATCAAATACTTCTTAAGATTACTTATTATTAACCTATTGCTGATAAAAAATTATTTCTTGAATATAGGAACTAGGATTAGGAAAAGTTCCACCGACGAATGTACGATCAAATCCCTTACGTCCTCCACCACAACAATGGTTCAACCCCCGAATAGGTCCAAATATACGCCAACCGCCACCACCGCAACAAGCCAACATTAAACCAATGTTACCAGCTGCCTTCCCACAAGTTCCCATGCAAGCTCCAATGATGCATGGTCCAATGGTACCACCCATGCCTAAATGGTCACCGATGATTCCTCAAAATCCGAATTTCCCAGTCGGACCTCAACCGCCGGCGATCAATCAGAACATATTACCTCATCAACAGCAGCAACAGCAAATCCAAAACAATCAGCAGCAACACGATAACAGAATAAATAAACCAGAGCTTTTGAAGAACACCAATTTCGTGCCACTGCAGGCACAGAAGAAGACGAGAAATGTGAAAAGGCAACCTGCTGATGAGAAACAGCAGTCATCGCCGCCAAAACACCAGCAGGAAACAAAGGAGGTTGCACAGCAATACAAGGTTGAACAAAAGCCTAAAGACTATACGCTTAAGGTAATTTATTTTTTTCAATTTCGATTGACTATTCGTTTACATTAATCAATAAGAACCTAATGTTACATTTATGTCGTAGGATATAAAGCAAGAAAAAAGCAGTCCCAATAAATCTACCGATGTTGCCAATCCAAACAATCAGGTACAGAATACGCAACAGAAGAGTCAGAAAATTGTTAAGCCGAAGAAATCAAGAGTTGCTGCAAAATTTCTTTCGGAACCAATAGCAAATGGTGATCGCCAGTAAATACATGATTGTTGACCATAAACGGAAAAAAAACTTGTGTTATGTGTGTAACCGTAATGAAAGATGTTTTCCCCTGTTAATAAATATTTCTTAAGGATCTATCCTCAAGGAATATTTACTAGATCACAATCATTTATATAGATGAATACAGTTTGTTTTTACTGCTTTAGTCCGTTAGTGCGATAAATCATTTCTATAAGTAGTGTTTCACTCATTTTCTGTCGAGTGTTGTTTGAGATTAATCGTATTTAGGAAAAGAGTATAATATATGTAACTTAATTTACACATTCTTGGCAATCAAGAGAAGAAAATGAGGATAAAGATAAGATGACTTTTATTTTTGTAAAAATGATCTATTTAACGTACTGTAAATCATTGAGTGCTTTTTATACAGAGAAATGTGAAAGCGATCGTTTGTACAGCAAATAATCAATTATAGTGTTTAATTAACTTTTAATGCTCTGTAACAATTCTTTTTTTTTTTGTTTAAAATCAACGCATCAGACTGGTTTACAATAATAATTTTACAAGGATAAAAAACTATACGTGTTATCACTTTTTAGCAATTGATTTTTTTGTTAAAAACATGCAAGGAAATAACACATTTAATATAATAGAAATTATTGTCTATTGATTTACATGAAGAAATAACTATTACAGATAAAAGTATAAGGCTTTTGAAGTTTTATTCAATTTCCAGATGACCAGAAAATACAGTTCATCTGTGATTGAAAAAATGTAAGTTACATATAGTAATTTAAATATTCGAATTTATAGATTTAATGCAAGCACTACAATTTATACCAATTTTACTTTCCTTTCATTTTTACTATTAGTTTGTAAAGTGGCTTCTAATAATAAAAAGAGAATTAATAAAATCTTATTTTCTACTTGATTCAATCCTACAAAATTTCTTATACCACTTTCAATGGATTGGGTCATTAAAGTTGATAGTTTGCTCCCGTTCACTGTGCAATAACGATAGCTTCACACAATCTATATGTAGATGGCTTCTATAATATTTATTATGCCACTGATTCTCAATCTACTTAAAAATCTACTTGAAAATTGAGAAAAAATGGCCTTGTGCTGGTACCTTTTTTTGAATGTATCATCATTCTTTTATTTGCCCAGTCCTTGTTTTTGTTTCGTTGTGTTCCTTCTAACTATACAAAAATTCAATTACCCTCTATTGTAGTATGCAATGCATCTCATAATTTGATTTAACGGTAATAACATGTAACTTTTAGTTGGCCGACGTTTTCTTCAGTTATGAATTTTATTAAATATCTTTGGAGTTTTGTTTGTAAACTGCATGCTAATAATAAGCGATATAATTCTGTTTAGCCGCTGATAAATGTAGTTCTGCAAGTATGGCGTGAAATTAAATTGGAAACACAATAAATTAATTGTCACATGTAGTTCCACTTTTAAATTTATTAAAAGGAAAGGAAGATAGTTATGACAAAAACGAATTAAAATTTGAATCGTTCAAATAAATAAAATTTATACTTTGAGTGTAGTTGAATTCATATTATTTTAAAAATAACTAATGTACATCTTGAATGAAATTAATCATGTCCTGAAATAATCAAAAAATTATGTCTCCATAGTTACGACAATGCACAATTGGCTATGGTTTATAATTTTGTTTAAATAAATTTTTCAAACAACTATTTTTATAGCTTATTATACCTTAACACAAACGAATTTTAAGACAATTATGAATTCGTAAGATAAAATAAAAGATTTATCGAATTTTCATATTACTTTATCAAATATAATCTACTTGTACCACATGCAGATATATGTTTCTATAATTGTAAGACGCATTGAATGCACTGAAAGTCCGCTAAAAATCTTTCGTCTTTATTAAGTATCAATATGGCGTAGTAAAATTTTATATATAGAAATATTTTTGTTTCTAAATTAAACCCATTACAATAAAAATGATTTTAGTTTTAAAAAAATTTCAAATTTTAAAATACAAGTTCAAATCAGTGTTAGACAACTGAAAGTAAGAAAAAAAAGGACAAATTAACTTTTACTTTTTTTTTAAATGATCTGTTTATCATATTACATATTATTAACTGCATTTTATACAGAAAAATGTGGAAGCGATTGTTTGTACAGCGCATAATAATCAATTATAATGTTTATTTAATTTTTAATGCTCTGTAAAAATTCTTATATTTTTTGATAAAAATCATTGCATCACTCTGGCTTACAATAATACTTTTACAGGAACAAGAAAATATGTTAACTGTTCATGGCTGACTATGTTACAATTCATTAATTAATTTCTTTTATTTCATTATTATACATATTGTGGTCTTTTTGACTCATGGTTACTCGTCTGTTTTCGCTTGCGACATGTAAAAAATCAGAAATCGCGATGACTGAAATGTTGAAATAACAATTGAAATGACTAAAGAATTACAGTGGATTGCTTCTGAGAATTGGCCAAATAAGTGTATTCAATATATAGCATACAGCTAAATTATAACGAAGAGCAAAGCAATCGAAAAAAATTCAGTCTTAGCCAAGAAGAATTGAAATTCGCCGAAAAGGTCATAAAGTTTAAAAACACTTGTTCTAGCACTATAGCTCTAAACGTTAGTAGGTACTACTCATTAATCTATAATATCTGTTGAAACATCCTCGGGAATGTTAGCAAAACCTTTTGCCCACTTGGATTGATTGAATCGAACTTGCTTGCGGATTACTCTGCAACTTGGATTCAGAGCGCTTGACGACAGTGAAGACTAAACTCGCGCAATCTTTCAAAGATCAGCCGCTTATTCGTGCGCTCGCGTAAAATATCTCGGGTGAAACTATCAATTTTTTCCTGTGGCACCAGCGGCGCACTGCTGTCTGCCAGTGCATTTCGCAGCCATTGAGCCGTCCAGTCGAGGCACGTTTTGTTCAGCGCGAGCAACACTTCTGCGTGCGGCTCCAAGTTGTTTCGCGGCACTGCGCCGGCTGCAAAATAAAGTTACTATTCAGCATGAGCACTCCGAGAAATTATCAGCTTTTATTAACAGCATACTGATCGACAGCTGCTGTCATTTTGATTTGCGATGCTTACCCACGCATTGCAGAATTACGCAAACTAAATCCTGCCCGATCGGTTGAATGAACGTCTGCAGATGCGGGCTTTGAGTGATTGCGTGAGTTAAAAAACTGCCGGCTGCTCTTATAGCTCCAGCTTCTGGCAAACACAAACAGGCTATTCCTAGAAACATTAAAAATCAATTTTAAGTTATTGAGATGCGCGAGTTGCACTGGAAGACCATTATTTTTCGCTCATTTACGTTATCCGATTATTCAACAAGTTCGAGTGATCGTGTACCTTATTTACACGTTTTACACCAAGTCTATAAAAAATTGACAATATCCTATTTGTGCGCGACACTTAAGTCTTCAAATCTTTCAACTGGCCAATCATCTTCATTTCATTTTTCTTGACCAAGCTGAATTTTTTTTTCAAATTATCAATAACCGACAGATTGTTAAGAAGAATATTGTTATAGAAAGACTTCAATTCTTCGAAAGCCCTCTCATGTTCTTTTATCAACGTGCTCGCGTGTTCGTTCTTGCGCTCTTCAACCTCCATTATCTCCATGTTATGCCTCAGCGAAAACTGCTCTCGGTACGCCATCAGCTTGTCGTCGTACTTTCTCTGAATGTCGACGACATCCTGCTTGAACTCGTCCTTCATTTTTTCCAGAGTTTTGCGATGCTGCAGCTTGATCGCCTGACACTGATTCAAGCTCGCAAGATTCATTTCGTTTAGCAGCTTGACATTCTCGTTGTTCTGCCTGACGATCTCGGCTTTCTTTTGAAGAAACTGATTTTGAAATTTTTTCAATGACACCATGTTCTCGATATTAATGTTCGCCGTTTCATTTTGATACGTGTGCACCAGGTGCGTCAGCTTTTTCCGCGTTTGCAAGGACTCTTGCTCGAATTTTTTGGAGAAGTCTTGCGCTTCCTTTCTCAAAATTCTGTTGGTCGTTCGTGACTCGTTCAGCTGCTGCTTCGAGATATCCCAAAAGGTTTGAATTTTGTCACGCTCGATCTGGAAAAAGTTTCTCTCCTCTCTCTCACGCTCCATTTCCTCGAGCAATTTTGCCGAGTACACTTCCAGCTGCTCCTTAGTCATTTTCGTTATGTCTATGTTGTTTTGCTTATTCGCAGACGACCCACCCGGTTTGTTTGACATTTTTTATTATTTTTTAGTTTAATTTATTTTAAAATTTAGATTGGCTTCGTAGAGTTCACTGCGCAACGTAGTGTGGCGTACTGACGCTGCTAATTTACCGAATGACTTTGTACGCTTGACGACGCCTACCGCCGTTGCTTAGTTACCGAATCAACAAAATCGAGTGAATCACTCAGTTTCTCATAATTACCATGAAGCCGTAAGAGTCACTGACATTAATAAAATCGGTTTGAAGTTTTTATTTTTAGTAAAGGATAGGATTATTCACGTTTAATTATTTGTCTCTAAAGATTTTTTCTAGGCTTACGGTAGATAAAAAATATTATATTTAACTGCTGCGCATTGTATTACATTTGTTATTTTGGCTTTACATTTCGACTATTCATCGATAACTGCGGACACGTTTTAATATTCCAATAAAGATTTTTATTGTCGGATAATGTCAAAACTATCGATCTTAAAATGCACTCTTACCGCAATTCAACATCTCAGGCACTTGATCAGGCACCTGCAGTAGCAATCTTGCATTCTTTTTGCAAACCTGCGCCAGCAGATTCATATAGGTCTCCAATAGATCTGACAATTCGGACAAGTTACCGCTGATTTGTCGACAGGCAGCAACACCACCGAGTGTCAAAGCACTAATCTCGCTGAAAAGAGGTCCGATGACGTTGTTCGGATCGCGACCATAAACTAAAACTAATTGTTTGAGGAAGCTTAATGCTGCTGGATGTGGTCGAATTTTGTAAGATGCACTGAGAATCGCCAAGAGGGGCAGAGCTTCGCTCTCAGGATTAACAAGAGAGGTAATTGATTTTTGAGCGCAAGTGTGCATCGCTTCCAACGTCATGTCGTTCCTACTCCACTCTGGATGGTTTACAATCTAATGAAAACAAGTCATTTAATGTTATCTAAATTAAAATAATAAGCCACGTACGAAACCACGTACCCCTTCAAAAATCGGCAGCAATGCTTTCAACACGGCGTTACCAATGTTCCCTTCGAGTGTTGTAAAAAACATAGTAATCATTTTCAGTTGATTAGCCACGGCAACTTGCACCTCGTTAACTGGCAACTGTAGCAGATGTCTCAACCTCATCACGCACAATCCCAGTGTAGTCTCCAAATATGACAACTGTTCTTCAGTCGTTCTCAACGAATTCAACAACTTGCCAGCCGCATACATCAATCTCAAACCTTCTCCACCGCCAGGTGTAACGTTGGGTAAAGTTCGACCAATCGTTTCGAGAATTGAAGGTGCTAATGGAGCGAGAAACTGATTACATTCGCGGGCTATATCCTTAAGAGCCATACTAGCTGCCGGTGCCGTTATAGGACCATTTGTTAAACCAATTGCTACCAAACGAAGCGAACGTTCGAGCCATGGATCTGGATGGGCTCCTATCCATTCAGCATAATTGCCTACCGCTGAACATGCGCATGCTAGCACCTATTTGTCAAACAGATGCATGTTAGAATTGCTTGAATAGAATGGATGATGAAATGTACTCACTTCTCTTGGATATATTTCATAGGGTACGTGTGAGAGCATCAAATCCATAATTCCAGCGACGTAATTTGATTGCTGTGGGCCCGCGCTATCGCAAATAGCCTTAAAGGCATGAATCGTCGACTCGACTTCGGTCCACTTGGACACATCGTTATGAGTCTGGCTCAACCTCTGACCAAGTAATATCATCAGATCTTTGTGGAGTACATTGAAGCAGTAGATTAGAGAATCTGCGGCATCTTGCCTACAAAATTATATAATATTATAAGATGAAACACTTTAATTATACCAATTGAGATGACTTTTTCATTACCTGTAACACCTGAGTAACTCGCGCTCATCTGGTGTACCAGCTTCACTTGGCGACGAAGGCAACGTAGCTTTTTTCAACAAAGCTTGCGCTAATCGCATGTAAATAGGCTTCAGAGAAATAACTGCCTGTTTCTCGACCTCCGGCTCGTCCAGAGTTGTAATATCATCCTGCAAAGCATACCAAAAGCCGAAAGGTATGCAACTTGACTTCTCATCGACAGGATATCGTCCATCCTGCTCGGAGCATTGTAATAAGAATTCCGTTAGTTGTTGAGAAGTCCATTTATGCTGTTCTCTCGTAGGATCATTGGAGGCTAATGCTAACAGAATCGTTCGGCTATGAGCTTCGCCCAAAGCGGTTAAAAGTTCGTAGTAATACTTGGCACCGTGCTCCTTAACAATACAGATCAATGTCTTGGTCCATTCCCAGAATAGTTGGGGGCGCTTGTACAGCTCAGTATGGGTAACCACCATCTTCAAACAGTCTTGTACCACTTCCCAGCCACGAGCTGCGTAATCGTCGGTGTCGTCCCTGACAGGCGAAAAATCCTTTTATTAATATTGCTTAGATTAGAATGCAATGTGTATAAGTTTGTTACACCTGTTAGGTAAGTAGCGAGTTGCTGCAATGAGTAAATGGGGAAACAACTGTCCAATTATATCTAAGGGAAATTGTCCAAGTTTCATCCACGAAAGTACACACTCAACACCAGATAGATATAATGCACGACTATTGTCGTCGTTCATTTGACTGCAAGATATAAAGATCTGTTGAAGGATCCAGACTGTCTTTGAAAAATTAACGATGATGCTGTCTCTTATTTTGAATTGTTTGATGTTTTCTCGCTTCGCAATCTGCAAGATGAAAACATATTGCTGTTTATTGTTAAACTTTAGTTAAAAATTATACTATTATTAAATTACCGTTTGAGTCAGAGTATAGTTATTCATTTCTTTTGGAACTGCCTCCAGCACTCGTACAAGTAAGTTTACAGTGGTAGGTATATTGTAAGGTAAAATTTCATTCAGCCCCTCCACTAAATATTTGTCTTTATTTTCACTATGTAACATTATATAATGACACATAAAAGCAGCTAACTGGAAGTTTGAAAAATATTAGTTAAAAAATATGAATTCAAAGTATTTTTTAAAATTAATTTACTCACTGCTTGACACAGCTTTTCTAATACCAATTTAGAAGTCCCAGAATTCTTGAGAACTTCTAATATTTTTGCTTGTAAAGCTAAATACTCTGTTTTTGGCACTTCACTCCATTGTTTTGAAATTTTTAAATGTAGTGTATTAGCAGCGAAAAATTGTATCTCTGCTGACTGTAACAATATATATATGTATAAGTATTTTCATTGTATTGTTCACTTCAAGCTGTATTTCTTGCCTTTGATGAATCCAACAATTGCCATAGAAAAGACCAGGCCTCTGGCGAATTTTGAACCTGTAGTAGCCAAGTGTGAGCTTCATTGTCACCTGAGGCATAAAATCTTTTTACTGCATTTTCTACTGCTGTTGCATTATCCATTACCACGTATTTGTTGAAACTCTTTTTAGTAAATAACAACTCCCTTGCATTAAAATCTAATATCTGAAAAAAGGGTATGTGATTAAAATACCTTTGATTACTTTCTATTGTCAATAGAAGAAAGTAAATTTTATGAACTTTTATTGATTTGAGCAACAATGTATGGTAGTGGTAATATTAAATAATAAATTATGCAAGGACTTACCAGAAATTAGTAAAAGTTTGCACAATTCATGCATAACATAATTCTTTTTACACGTTTAACAAATGGAAAAATATTTATACAAATTAATATTCTTTAATCATTCCTAACACCTTATATGTCACTTTTTTAGTCCCACATGCACACCAATTTGATAGATCAAATATCAAAGCGGAAATCTTGAAAAAGTTCTTAAAAATTCCACAAATATACTTTTCAGAACTACTTTTCCATTGGCGCTTAGAGTGTTCGCTCGATTATCTATGTAGATGGCGCATCCAGATTTTCAGGTTAAGCCGATCATCTGGATTTGGAATGTGATGCATGCTGTATGTATGTAGTACATGCAATACTTTCGGCATTGCAGTACAATGTCAAGTGTTAGTAGATTGTTAAAATCAGCTTTCTTTTGATGATTTTTGCAGACTTTCCAACAATTTAATAGCATCCCTTAGAATATTACATCATTCGCCAACACACGTCATAAATTTTTACATAATTGATCAGAAGTATCGATACAAAGTAATAGGACATTAACGTCTAAAATTTCAGATGTATTCTTATTTTTATTTTCATTTCAATCATACGTCGTTAACATAAGAGATTTTATCAATGGTATTCAACACCTTAAAACGTTCTCTGAACACATCTGCAATGGACCCTATTGAATCTATTCCAAATAAAGGTTTGTTGGTGTTAATGACATTTTATTTAAAATAACATGAAAAATTAATAATTGTGTAATTTTCTTTGTATTCATTAGTGTGATGATTTATTTTATTTAAAATGTAATAATTTAGTAAATTATTGTATTAACCTACATTTTTATTTGATTTACAAGAAAGTAGTAACCATTGACTATATCTTATTCTAGTTGCCCTTGTGGAGAGAAATATTGCACCCCAAGGTATGAAACTTGTTGATGCAAAAGCTGTGGCTAAAAGAGCTCCTAATGATTTAGTAGAATTAGCAATGGAAATTCAAATGGTATATTTTTTATTTATTTATTTTCTTTTATAAATCCATCGTATTATTCCACTTAATCACATTAATTAACATTTTTTATCATTTCTACAGGCTGATAATTATGTAAAAGCAAATGCATGTAGCAAACTACAAATGATTGCAGAACAAATGCGATTTTTGCAACAACAAGCTGAACGAGTTTTACTTGAAGCTAAACAAGAAAAAACACTTCATCATGCAGCTTGCAACTTTGTCAAACACCCAGGAAAAATTTATCACCTTTATCAGCGAGAGTCTGGTCAAATCTATTTTTCTATGCTTAGTCCAGAGGTAATTTTACTAATACTTCTCATGTAGAAAATATGATGATATAAAAACTTGTATATTTTAGATAATTTTATTTGATTATGGTATCATATGTGATATTGTTACAGGAATGGGGTAACTCTGCTCCACAACAGACTTACAAAGGCTCATACAGACTAGAACATGATTATTCATGGACTCCACTTTCTAAAATTGATATTAAAAATAAAGACCTTGAAATACTAAACAAGCTTTACCAAAGTGCTGAGAATTCAACAAATCCAACTTTAATAGAATATATGAGTATAGATTATAGTAGTTGATGCTAAAAAATATTTAGATACTTTTTTAAGAAATGACAAATGACCTTTCGATAAGAAACGTTTATCTGTGAATTACTAAATTAAATTAGTTGAATAGGTACTTAATTGTTAATTATATATTAGACAATAAAAACGATAGATATATTTGGCACTTGATTCAATTTAAAAATGTAAAATATGTATAGACATGATTTTCTTCAATCAAGATTATGTAATATAATGATATCTTATATCTTAGAATAAAATATATCAAAGAGAGAAGTGACAAAGCGTTTTTATGTTTACATTTTGTAGATATAATAACATACTTCATGTGTAATTTGTCAATAAACTTGTCAAATTATTTTTTAAAGAAAATTTATTTTTTTTTCTATTAATAACAAAGCTATAAATCATACTCCAGCATGATATAACAGAGACTATAGTTCACTTGAGTAGTTTGGTCTGCTTTTAACAGCAGAAACAAATTAATGTACATGAGTCTGTATGATATTCTATTCTCTGTACAGTCTAGATTGTGATTTTTACATGTAATAAAGCCAAGTATAGTGAAAATAATGCCATCTTTTTTTATCTATAATCATTTTATAAAATCAAGAATGATTTTTGAAAATATATTATACAGTATTTTCAATGTTTCATTATTTTCTTATTTATGATTGTTATATCTATCTTCATCCTTTTTTTCATTAATTTTGAATGACAGGTAATTTCAGAAAAACAATTATCATCTGTTTAATCAGTCAGGCTGAAAAGTTTGAAATTGTAAGTATATTATATAGGTTTTTCATGCATTTCAAAAATATATTTTGCTCATCAACAGATAAAATAACCTTCTCAACTTTCACAACAATCCAAATTCACTATTATGATCTTTTAACATAACACCAGTCTATTTTTGAAAAAATAATCAGATTAAAAATTATATACAATTATTTTGGCAGTATAGAGGATTATGCTTTAATTCATAAAGTGTCATATATAGTTTTTTTCTGCCATCAAGTATTGTATATACAAATAACGCGTCTAATGAATAACCAACTTTCATTAACAATTGCTTCTTTCGTAAATAAGTCACACTTGGAAAAGGCATCAATTTTCATTAATTCCTTTTCCATGGTATGTAAACCAAGCTGTCAGGGCGGCCTTTGAGTTCTCGAACAGGTCGTCTATGTCATGTGGTATTTACACGATGAGCTAGAAACAAAAACAGTTTTATTTGTAAAACAAAAAATGTTACACCTACAAGAAGATTATTGTAATACTAACATGATTTCGGTATCCTTAGAGGTTCATTGTCTTTCAATAAACATTCATGCGTTTGCATGTGGAATAGATATTGTAATAATAATTGTTTATCTTCACCAGGACATGGGTCGTAAAAGCCAGGTAGCTGACTCTGAAAATATATACAAAATATATTAAAAATGAAATATTATGGTACATTTTTCTCGTGAAAGCTATTAACCTTAGACGCGTTATGCAGAACGAGTTTTGAGTCTTTGACCAGACATTGTAGAGGTATAGTCACATCAATGATTTCATCTTTATGACCATCTACAGTATCTTCACTAACATTTCCCCTATCCTGCGGATAAACGAAACGTCCATACATCGCCTTGGTAATAATCAATCCTCTCTTAGCTTCTTCCTCAGCTCTAATCCTACTAAATGTAGCCTTCATCAACTCTACTGCTGCTTTGGCTTCCTTCTGTTTCTCCTGCTTAATTCTTTTGTTTGCCTCTCTCTGTTTCTCTTTATCGCGTTGCTTACGTTCTCTTTTTATCGGGTCAACAATAAAGTTCTTTAATAAAACCCAACTAATAAGAGGTGCGACTGTCGCGTAAAATACCGGGGCAGGGAAAAGTTCATCGCTCAAACGGATAGGGAAGGTGTATGATTGATAGGCACGCTTCAGTTTCATACGTAAATATACACCGGTCGGAGCTCCCAAATGCACCATCGCAGAAACCGTTGTATGCTGTGAAAGCTTCTTCTCAGCGCCGTACTCTGCGAACCAGCCGAAAGTACTGAACCTGCAATTATGAAACGCAAGAAATTATTATTTATTGTGCTTTATTGAATGGTAGACTTCAAGTTAACATAGTATTTACTTGAGATAGCCCTTAAGCTCCATTTGCCGTTCTTCTAGTCTGTGTGTGTAACTCAAACTAATGTATGATTGCATGAGAGAAAATTCTATTGTGCAGGCAGTGTTTGATTCTGGAGTATTTCTTACAACAGTTGTACTCATTCCACTTTGAATTCCTAATTTGTATGTAAGATGACCAACAGTATGTGTATCCAGTTGCATTGTCAAAGCTAAATCATAGAAATTATTAGTTTTGAACAAATTTAACTTTAATTTAATGAAAATAAAAATGGAATCACTCACTCCCGATCAATCCAGGCCTTATTTCATTAGAGTTGAAATGTAACACAGTGCCACCAGTAAAAAATATCCTTTTAGTTAACGTTCTGTAGCCTCTAAAAGCTAATGTTGGACCACTGCCTGCACCAACTTCAACTTCAAACCAACCTCTAGGTGACACAAGATGTCTAACTGAAAAATTGACTGAACCAGAGCCTACACCATTTTTCAAATTTAATTCTCCTCCAAGCACTGCAGTATCTTTTAGTGTTAAAGGGGCTTCTATAGATTGTGAGAATGCCATTCCACTAACTTCAACAGAACTGAATATGCTAGGCCTATAAATGATTTGATATTAATTATATACATTAGAAAATTTAAATTGTAATCTAATACTAAAAATAATAAGAGTCAAACCTAGCAGTTGCTATCCTACTGTAGGTATGCAACAAGAAACATTTATTATCAACATTTTGAATAATTTTAACCCTTATAAAATATATTAATTAGTATTTATAGTGAATTCAAAATGTAGCATTTAGAAATTTTAAGAAAATTAGTTTTTCTAACAATAACAAAATTTCAAAATAAAATGGAATGACTTGACTTTAAATTCTTTTACTGAATTAATCAGATCTTGAAGTTTAATATTAAAAATACAAACCTAAGGGATCCATAAATTTCATCGTATTCATCTGTGTATCTATTAAATAATTCTGTAGCATCAATTCTAACTGTAAGATTTCCTCTTGGATTAGTACGCATTAAAAGCCTCTTTTCTTCCTCCTCTTTCGCAAGCCTCTCATATTCTTCTCGTAACTCTTGAGGTGTTTTTGTGCGCAATGCAATCTCCCATCCTTCTGTATCCAATCCCTTGACACCCAGGGAATCATATATAGCTCTTTTATGAGGATCATTGAGTACTAAAATAATGAAAGTCATTAATTACTTCATAATTTAATTATTTTATAACATAAAACTTATTAAATACCTTCATAAGCTTTGTTTGTTCGATTAAACAGAATTTCAGCATCCTTTTTTAGTGCAGGGTCACTGTGTTTGTCAGGGTGATACAACTTACTTAGCCTTCTGTATGCATTACTAATTTCTTCAGGTGTTGCCTGTAAAGCCAATATTGTATTGTTAATAAAAATTGTGATGAAAAACGATTAATAAATTAATATTTTTATAACTTAATAAAATTGTTCCAAAATATGTAAGATTTTGAAATATTTACATCATTTATTTAAATAAAATTTGATCACTTTTTATTTAGAGTACTTTGTAATTTATGTAAAAATATATCTAAAAATTTTTTGACTCAAAAAGATTTGTAAAGAAGAGCTACAAGTATAATTTACTTGATTTAAAATAAAATTTTGATCAACTGTTAATTTTAATTATAGTAATTACTACGATTTTATTAATTATACTAAAAAGTAATGTAATAATTAAGAATAAGATTCATGGCGAATTGACAACTGATTGAAGGAAAAATGTTTATCTAACGAAAAATAAGTAAATGACTGAAAAAGAAAATTTTTTATCGGCGATAGGAATAATAGCACTGATATGCGATGTACAGGTCAGATAAACATGGAAGAATAACTAAAAATTATTTTAAAGAACATAACAAATCAAATAGAAAGTTATTGTCGACTAAAAAATTAGAACAACAAAAGTGAAAGAAAAAAATACAAGCCGGCAATGCGGACAGTGAATGAGGATAGGCGTTGTTACGTCAGCAGCTGCCGCCACCACGAAAGGGACATTAGCAAAAACGGATCACTTATATGGAGAGCGTAGTCACGTGGAACTACAGCAAAAGCACAGCAAAGAGATCGATGATGATGGAGAAGATGCCGACGATTGACCTTCTGTCACATATCTTTCAAAAATTAATATAGTCAACGTCAAGATACATCGATCAATTGCGAAAACGATGTACAAATGAACAATTTTCAGTCACGAATAAAAACTCAATAGTCATCAAGCTTTTTCACTCACATTTCTCGGAATGTTGAGGAAAGTGTAGTAATCCTCCTCAAAGCCTCTTTCACTATCCTCTTCGTCCATGGCCTCGTGTTCGGCCATACGTAATCAATCCCCCACAAAAAAACTCGCACACCCGGTGAACACACTCCTGGAGATGACGTTCAAATGAAACTACCTATTTCAACCCTTTTAGTCACTCTCTCGTTTAAGTAGATTACTGAGAACTTTAAAGACGGATAAATCAGAAATGAAAGGCAGCTGGATCTATGACAACCTCTTCCTCGTCGGGAGCAGGACCATGAAGTTCTTCTGCTCCGCGCGCGCTCTACTTGGATCACCAACACTTCACACACATGCATGCGCCGCAGAAAACCGTATCTGTTTCGTTTTTACAGGTTACGTTACGAAAATGAGCAAGACGATTTAGTACTCCTTTTTGCCGAATGATGGCAGTAATTGTATTTACGGAAAGCTTTTTTATGTGGAATTAGAATGAAGGTGAAGCTATGCAGGGGAAATTTCATCCGTTATATTTATAATTTAGAATTAATATTAATAAAATAAACCAATATTAGAATGAAAAATTAAAAGTAATTATCAATAGTCTGAACATGTTTTTATTAAATGTAGCCTAAAGACAATTTTGGATTTAACGGTCTTTTTTTGCACTATGCAGTTCTATAATTTACAATATCATTTTCATCAGTTCTGAGAAAGGGATTGCATTTTCGGCCAGATCGTTCTAGTATTTTAGAAAATCTATTTGAAAGAAAGTTACACGAAATTTGTCGAGGTAAGTTATTCAATATCACAATTACATTATCGCGCAGTAAAAGAAGTTATGCAATGTTACGAACAGAAATAGTAAATAATTATTTTAATATGTATAATCGAAATATCATGGTTAAATAAAATGTTATTACAAAAGAATTACTCGTAGTTGTAATGCAGACTTCATATACTTCAAATTAAGTGCTACTCATTTGCAATTAGATGAAAATGAAAGAGCACATTCAATAATTAACAACATTTCACAAAATTTTCAATATTTTCGAAGATAAATTACAGATTGACAAGTACAATATATATAGTATTTAAAAAATCTTTATTAGCTATAACAAAAATTGTTTTCGGTACAGATGGTTAACATTGATTATCTTCAATTCCGGAAAAATAAAGTCCGACAGCCGATACAATATGCTTGGTGTGCAGCAACAACGAGAAATTTTCTAGGAATTAACACCAACAAAATTTCAAGGACGGAAATCGTAAATCTAGATATTGGTTCATTATGGTATAAGACTTTTTCCACTCTTGATTTGATTGATTTGCACTAATAATGACAAACTTCGATGTCAAATTATTTTTCGATAATGTTAGCGACGATATCATGTCAGCTATGTCGGACTCACAAGAAGGAATGCGATGTACTCTGTATTTATCAAGTATGCTGACTTCCGGTGCTATAAAACTTTTTCAGGATCAAACTACTTTTTTTTTAGGTATCTTCATTTTAGTACCTTGTTTGAGTACCGAATGATGTAATTATTAGTTTTTTTCAATACTACCAATTGTGATTTCTAATATTACAGAGGATTGTGAAAAACTTATGCTAAATTTAATAGGAGGACAAAATCCTACTACACAGAAAAAAAAGAAAAAAACAAAAGAACAGTATATACCTGAGTAAGTCGCAAATGAGCATAACGAATGGCATTCTTCAACTTATTTTGACATTTTTTCAGAGTACCTTTTGAAAAGTATGTCAGTTTGACTCCATTGTCAACGCCAAAGTTTGATCCTATGAAAACATTTGGCAAAAAAAATGTTGAAGATCGTAACCTTTTGTCTGAAATAGATTTTATTGACATTCCAGAGGTAATTTTCAAAGCATTACCTCTTTTTGAGATACTGTAAAGTAGTATTATAACTAATAATTAGGAATTTTTCTATTGTTTTACAAAGCCTGATAAATCTTTTGGCTTCAATCCAAATGAGAGAGAATTGACTGATCGAGACATTGCTGAATTCTACAGAGAAATGATAGGGTAAATGTTAATTAGTACATTACGATACAAGTGCGGAAAAGTAGATTCTAGTCTCGTGTAGCGTTTACGCCCGAGCAAAGCGAAGATGGAAAAGTACACGAGACGAGAAACTCTTTTCTGAACATGTGCCGTACCGTATTTTTTGATACGACGTGTGGAAAGTGCGATTTTCAACGCACGTTTTCTGCCGAGTGTGCGGGAAAAACGCACTTTGCACACGGAATGTTGAAATAGATTTTTCAACACGCTGTGCGGAAAATACCATTTTTCCGCACGCTCGGATTATATGTATATTTATTTATGTTAATAGAGAAGAACCGCAGCCATTACTTACAGAAAACGTGTCACAAAATGACGAAACTTTCAAAAGTAACGACGAGCCGATGCATCAAGGTTGGTCGATATTCGTGTTTTATTTGCTGTTGATATTATTTTAGCATACATTATCACGGTAAATTACAATGTTATTTGCATCTACATTATCGTAGAACCATTGAATTCGATTGTAAATCAACTACCTTCAAATCACGTCCCTCAACTAAAACCGGAAATAATGAAAACTCCAAAGAGACCTACACGCTCTGTAAGTATTCTAACACTGCAGTTAATTAAAAAGCGTTTATAAATCAAATCTAATATTCCATTTTTATTATTATTGTTGCACGGAAAGCTAAAACAAAAGCCTTCGATTTTATCCGAATCTGCAAAGATAGCCTATTCTCCTCCGAAAAAACGTTCAAGAATTGCAACTTATAGGTCTTACGATGACAATAACGATGATATAATGATGGCGGCGGAGCCCACAAGAGAAGCCTCTTTACCAAGCGAAGTACCGCTTGACGCGGATTGTATTGAATCTCCTATATTCGACTTCAGAAAGAAAATTATAAGTCGTGATATTTCTTTGAGGGATCTTCATCACATTAAAAGTAAAGCTAAGGAAGTAGCTGTGATATTTGATGAGCCCATGTTGGACGCGTCTTATGTGCAGCATGAATCACCGCCTCACATTGATCTAGTCAAAGATGCAAACGTCGATTTGCCAGAAGTCTCGTTTCACGGTGTGTCTTTTATTATTATGTGAATTATATTCACTAAAATAGTTTGATGTAATAGTTGAAGTAACGCGTTTTTTTTTTTTTTCATTAAAATAATGTCTTATAGAACTTAAGCATTATATATTTATTATTTGTTATTTATAATTATACCATTTTTTCTTCATTCAGAGTCGTCACCTGCAACTATAGAGCAAAAAGATAATGCACCAACTCATTCTCCAAATGTACCTTTTCATGGCATGTATACTATACTGCAATTTTTATTACATTTGAAAAACTTGTTTACACGACGTATTTTTGCTTAGTATCACCTATGGTAGCAGCACAACCAAATACAAGTGATTCAGCGCGTATATTTCCAAAGTCGTCAAGTAAGTAACCTTACTATTATTTATTTGGTATTTATTAAAATTATTTATTGTAAGTTCAGTTTAAGTACTTTAAATCATTTTTTTCATGTATCTTAGAAATATCTGTTACTGATTTAACCCTGGGATCACTTCACAGTTTTGAGGAAAATTATCGAAAGAAATACATCAAACGAGGTAAAAAAATTTTTGCTGACAGAATCAGACAAATTGAAATTGAAGCTCGTTCACCCGAATTCATGACTTTGGTAAGTATTTCAGGTATTTCTTTATCGACAATTCAGTTTACTGCAAATTTGAATCTTTTATAGACTCGTGATGAGATGCTGTTCACTTATGCATTAACAAAACAATTAGTTGATTCGCTGTTTAATTATCCATCTACTTTGAAACGGGAAATATTCCTTCCTGACTATAGACATTGGTCAGATAAATTATTACGCAGTTATAACAAGGCAATTTGTACGGCTTTGACACTTGCAGTTACACGTTAGTATTTGAGTCATACGAAAAAAATTGTTGTCAGTAATATCATTGTACATGTTAAAAACAATAAGTTGTCATTTTTATTTTTTTCAGCTAAAAAAACAGCTTCAGCACAAAAAAGGAAGAAAAAAAGAGATGGGAATCGTGAAAGTAGCCATAAAAATAGAGATACATCTATTGAAAATATGAAACTCGTTCAAGAGGAAGGTCAGTCCTTATCATCTAAAAATATTGAAATGAATAAACACTCAGTTATCGAGATACCTGAAACTTTTGTAACAACTTTAAATGTAGCTCCTGTTGATATACAAACTGAAAATCCAAACAACCAGATTATGAGTGATATTATTCATGATGCAGTACATGAGTTTGAACCACCACCAATTTTGTATCCAGTCGTTGAAAAGCCTCTATTACAAGAGGTTACCGATCAGGTTGAAAATATGATGTCTCCGAAAAAGAAATTCAAGAATAAGGACGATCGACAATTACAGTATGTATAATTCCTTTGTAATGTTTTATTACTTTTAATATTTTTAGTGGTGTATAAAATTATATTTTTTATTTCTGAAATGGTATTATTTATATTTTGTTCAATATTTGTATCAAATTTTATTTTACTACAATATTCCAAATTTTATTATAACCATATAAAGTTACTTGTAAAGCTATCAACTTATTACTCTTAACAAGCGCGGTCATTGATAAAATTAGTTTTCTAAAATTTCATTTGATTGCAGGAACATGGAAATACATTCAAAAATGAACTTAACGATTAATAAACTGTTCGAAATTATACAGTCCTTTTGGAATAAATGTACAAAGAGGGATATTGAACAACTTGGATTCGTAAGTGTAGAATTTGAAAAAGTTATAAGACCTGGTTATTATAACGTGGTGGAAGTCGGTAGATACTTGTATTATTGTTTCCGTAAGTTTTAATTGCTTTTTCTAAAATAATTTTGCTAACTAAATTTTTCAACCTGAATAGAATTTATTTATTTTAGTTTTGGAAAATAAGAAGAAGTTATACTTACAGCAAAAAATACCTTATGATACCATATACTTGATAAAATGGTAATCAATTTCTTTTAAAGAAGACTAGCGAAGTAAGGAGAAAATGTACTCCAGATAAAATCAATCATCGGTAATCAAATATTGTTTTAATCATTATTTGATTTTCAATTCGCTGATTGCTGTTTTGTAATAAATTAAAATGATTTTTAATTCGTTAATTGTAATTGACTAATATTAAGTTCATAGGATGATAGAGGCAATTAGTTCGTTAAAAAAGTTATATATTAATTGTAACTAAGTATTTTTATCTGTAGCCTTTAAAGATTAAAAGTTCTAAATTTTATGTAAAAATACATTTCCATCCATTAAAAATTGTTTAAAATTTTATCATCAATAGTCTGATTCATATTTGTAAAAAAATATTATTATCGTAATTACATAAAAATACGATATGTCTACGTAAAGTTTCTACAGCTATTTAGATTTATGGCTTTGGTTGACGCGTCCCTTAGATATTTTTATAAGCTCTAATTTTTTACGAGGGACGAGATGATCGAAAATTAAAGTTCAACGCTGGAAACAAGAGGCACAATTCGACTGATATTCGCTGAAGAATTCCGGAAGAAGCATTTTGCTTCTTAATTTAATGCTAAAAACCAAATGCTAAGGATTCAGTACAATTTGAAAGCATCCATATTGTTAAATTAGAATTCATATTGAATCGTAAAAATATTATCTTTCAACACTGTCTTCTCGATCATATTCGATTGCAAAAAATGAAGCATTCTTTAAGAATAGAAAGTAAAAGATTCAATAAACATGAGTTTCAAAACTTTGTCACTTGTAGTCTCTAAGACATTTTTTTATCCGTTATAATTCACATTACAATGAAAGCGCAGCACACGTCATTTAATATCCTGTGTGGACTTCAGGGTCACGAAGTAATTCGAGAATTGGCTACGCCACGTTTTTCTTTTGCTTCAATATCGCACACACTGAAAAAAAAAAATAAAATCGCACTCGGCGATCGGTCAAAACGATAACGTTGTACATACTTGATAAGAAAAAAGGAACTGGAGTCCAGCACGTAGAATTTTGCTAGTGCAAGGGAGCGATTCCAAGAAATTATTTTACGACTCTTTCTCTTCTCAGCTGTGCTGCTTTGCCAAGAGAACTCCGGAAATCGATATATTCGTGCGGCTTGAGTTGGCTTCCAAACGCTTTTTTGAAATTTAATTGCGTATATACAGCTCGCCGCAGTCGACTGCCGCTTAGAGAGAAAGAGAGAGAGAAATTGAATAGAACAGTTATGCGCTGGGATTGTGAATTATTAATATTTTGGATTTGTATTACCCTGCGATATCTGTTTGCGTCATTTTTGTTAATGAGTTTTTTTCATTTATATAGTATGGATCTATTAGTTGGCCATAGTAAATATAAAAATTATTTAGACTATCCATATAATGTTCATAATAATATTTTATGTTAAAAAATGTGTTCAATTTGGAGTGAATCTTAATTGTTCGATACTTTTACAAGTGCGAGAATATATGCGAGAAAAATAATCGAGATAAATGATTAAAAGGCAAATAGAATATCAAACTAAAACAATAATGAATCAAGCCATTTTAAAAAGTTACATTTATTTACCTGCTTCATTTTCAAATCAAATTGTGTTTGTAAATATTTACCAGCCAAATATTGATACGTATTATTTGAAAGTTTTGTAGATATCGAAGCATTATGTGAAATACGCAAATATTGTAGTTGCAATTGGCGTTATTTTTAGTTGCTAATAGCGTTATTGGTAAATTTTTCAATTATCCTTTAAAATATTTAGTTTTTGCTGTGGTAGTATAATGTATTTTGATGATATTCTAAAATATTGTGATGAAATGATAGGTTGATTTAAACGGTATGTATGTCCTTTTTTTTCAATTTTTTTTGTGCTATCTCATGATCGTTTTTAATTAGTGAGATTGTGATCAATAATCAACATCTTATACAGATCCTGCTGTTCGTGCAAAATTCAACACAGTTATTGAAAATTCAGTTTTATTAAAAAATGGCATGAGAACGATAACTATCAAAGAATATATAGATTTCGACCATCTACGGTAATGCATAAAAAATGTATGACTGCTCACGTACTCGGGAGATATCGTTCTTATCGCTTCAAATTAAATTCTTCTAAATTAAACTACATGAAGTCTTTTACTTACAGTGACTTTTAATTTCTCCACGTTTCGATTAACATTGTAAATAGATACAAATTCTGCGTCCACTAATTCGTGGCATTACAATAGTTCAATAAATCGAGAAACATATATCGAAGAGAAAGAAAAATACGCACGGAGATCTGGTTGAAAGGATGAGAGAGATAGGAATAGAGAGTGCAGTCGTTGATTCGAGCGAATCCCTGTACGATAATCCTGGCGCACCAATCCGCTATAGCCAGTAGAGAGAAAGAGGGACCCGATTACGCCCATCATAGTCATGGCGACGAGCAACGTTGTTTCGTTCTCGCTCTTCTGACTCCTTCGCTTATACTGGGTTTGATACTTTGTCGCAAATTAATTATGCAAACAAACACGTTATTTTATACATAACGTGAAGTGCTATAATATGAAAAAAGACGTTCGAAAATTTTTCAATTAAAATGTAGAGTGCATTCAATCAGTAGTCTATCTTGAATTTATACGAAAACAACGTGAAATTTTCAGTCTTATGCATAGTTGTTTACCAAAAGCGACGAAAAAGAGCCGAAAATACTCGCGCATTATCGACCGCTCTTTCTTTCTCTCTCGCCCGCGCACTCGCATATTGTTGTCAAAATAAATCGTCCACTGCGCTACTGCTTCCGAAAGCGGAGTTCTTGTACCCTCTACATATCCTCACGTGTATGTCACAAGGACTTTTCGAGCGAGAGAAAAAGCAAAAAACACACAAGCGTGGCGCATGTATTTCCCTTTGGCGACCTCGATTTCTGATGAATTGCGCATCTTTGCAGAGAAAGAGACCTCGTCCGCGCGGCGGCATGTCATAACGCGCCGACGATGATTACTCAATGCCGCTGGACTCCAGAATGCAATGCAAGCGATCTTTTTCATTCATTCGACATATAGGTGTGTTGCACAAAAAAGACTGGTAGTAGGTTTTCAAGTCACTGTGTTAATAATGTAGATCATTTAAAGTATATTGATGTGTTATTTAGGCAATCGATGATATGAAATGCGTTTGTTACTTTCATAAAATTTGTTTTTTTTAACATCACATAAAATAATAAAATAAAACAATCAAATTAAAAAATAACCTACAAAGATTCAAATTCAAAATTACCTGACAAATATCATCTTGTTCTTATAGTACCGAATATCCAAAAAAATATTCACGTATAAAAAAAATAATCTCAGATAATCCGAATCCACGAATACACGCAGCTACATATAATCTCGATCGAAGGCGTTTCATAGTTGCTCCGCCCCCTTTAGCTTTGCGTCGTCGTTGTGGAGGAGAAGGACAAAGCGTGTGTGCAGTGTGTATGTGTGTGGCGGGCGTGTGAGAGAGAAAGAGAGAGAGAGAGAGAGAGGTGACGAAAGAGAACGCCAGTCGGCACACTCTGCTCGTAGCCAGCAACTCGCGCGCCAACGTACCACCGTCGCTGCAAACAGACAACAATCTCGTCGACTGTTTCGAAGAATCGCGTGAAGTTTTTTCAAAATTCCGGGAAACGATCATTACTCTTATAACCATTTTTTATAATGTGGTTTTTGTGCGAAACAATTTTTTGATTGTTAATAATCGATGCTGTTACATAGGTGAAGAAGATAAAAAGTGTGATGTAAAGAATATATGTGGCACAGTGTGAACTGCAAGTATATTAGACTTCGAGGTGAGTTTTTTTCACTATGGGTTTTGATGTTTTTCTTTGTTGTGCAGAGGAGAGGTTACGTGACAAGGCGTTGAGTCTGTAGGACGCTAGAATTTTTTTGTTTGCGTACTTTTGTGTTCGAAATTTGATATTTTGTTTAACAAAGGTGTGTTTAAAACATTTGTGAAATAGAAAATCAGTATTACTTTCTCAATGACTAGTTGCAGGAAAGCCTAATGTTTTGCTAGATCAATATTTTCACTTTTTCCGCTCAGCGCTAATCGAGATACTCGATAAAGTAACTTTTTGCCTTCTTTGATTTCCGGCGTATTATATATTATTTGAAGTCGATTTGTGACGTTCGTCATGCTGATATAAAGCGATGCTCATAAAAAAGTTGGGTTCGTTATAATAATAAAAATAAACTTAATTCAATAAACGTAACTTTTCAACAAAAATCTTTTCATATTCAAATGTACTTCAAAACGTTTATGTTACCCTTGACACTGATTATTCCATTAACAGATACGTCACCCAAAAAATTCTCATCTCAGCAAAAAAAAATCGAAAAATAGGCTATCCCAAAAATGTGTCCGAGCGTTGTTGCCCCACTTGTCGCGCACAGCAAGTGAATCATCATCCGTCGCATACCATAACGACACGGAAGAGAAAAAACTCGCGCAGCCGTCGCTCAAATTTATAAACTTGTTCGGTGATTCGCCGAACAAAATGCATCGCGATGCATAATAATCGATGATAAATATCTGTTCTTAATGATGAGCACTTAACTCCAAGGGGATCCCTTCCGAAGATACATACGTCAAATGCCAAGCGAACCGTTTTATCGCTTGCCGAGATAAACTGTCCGCGCGCGTCTTATTTGTTTGTGTGTATCTGCTTCGTTCATGGTGTTTGACAGATGTGTCTTATTCTGCTTTTGATTTGATCGGTGGATTCACATCGTTTGTAATTGTCGTTGAATTCACGTGCCACTTTTACGTTTTATTTGTAACAATGATTTTACTGTACGCTGATTCGTTTTTTATTTGCAAGCTGAACTCTAGTAAATACTATTTTTTCTTAAATTCAATTTTACTAGTTTCATTTTTTCTTAAATTCAATTTTACTAGTTTCAATATACTTTCAATATACTTTCTTTCTTTATCATTTAAAAACCGTACACTATACTTGATATTCTTAGTGAATACTTGATGTGTTATGAAAATTTAAATTATTTTCTAAGAATTATTGTGATAAATTAAAGAATTAGTTATATGAAAAATTGGCACATATTTAAATGTTGCATCCGATGAATCTTGAACAAAGAAGACGAAAAAATGTAGTTTGGCTAAAAGCCCTATAATTGCCCCGCAATAATTCAACATCAAACTAGCTAGTTTTTACACCAAGCCTCCTTAGCGACAAAAAGATAGTATGAGAAAAAAAGAAAGGAGGATGAATTAATTGCCGGCGTCCGGACAAATTTACGATTTTCTTACTCAAACGTTCCGCCGGATGTCCTGATGAGTCCCGTGGGGTACACGTTTTTGAAGAGTCCGATGCTCGCCTTAATACGACATATAAAAGTGCGTATGTTAGCGCCGGCTGTTTTGAAAAGATGCGGCCATTTAAATTTAAAAGTGTCTTCGAAAGCAAGGACATGCTAACATAAGGGGGTTTTTGAACTTTCTTCTGGGGTGCAAGTATCACATTCGGCATTATACGAAAGTTTGATTCGAGCTTTAATAACATTAATAAATAGAAGTAATATTCAGCTTAAAAAGTTTTGTTACAGTTACAGAATTTTCAATTTTACGTCAATAATTTAAATTTAGTACCTATAATTTAGTAATTTGGATACTTTTTTGTTCCATCTCCTAATGTTTACTTTTATTTGTTTTCCCTTTAAAACAAATGACGCACTCGTATACGTTAATACGCCCAAACATTCACATATACCCCGTAATTTTTTTTCTCTACGCCCAACGATTCAGAATCCTCAAATAAATTAAAATATGAAGCAAGAATGTGGCGCTTTGTGGCTGCACACAAAAAAAGACTGAAACGAAGGCACGTGGGTCTCTCTCCCTCACGGCATATTAGTGTATAAATCGAGCGCGAATGCATCGCACATTTCACGCCACTTTGCTGGAGTCTTTTCTTTTTTGGGGGACTCTTTAGCAGCCCCAGCTTGAATTAGCTGATTTTTACGAGCGCGACACTTCTTTATTACTCTCTGGCGGAGTCGCTGCTGAGGTAATAAAATCCCGAGTTAAGTTATTGAAAAATGCACTCTTGACGAACGGGGGGTTTAGTTCTTTGATCGTTGTGCCTGGATTTTTTCTTGAGAGTTAATTTTGAGAGTAAATAATTGTGTGTTTTGTTTCCGAATCGTTTTAACAAGCGATTATAGTTCGTTCACTCTTAAATTTTTAAGAAGCACAAGCAGTTCAGTTAGAACTCCTTCGTTTAGATAAACATTGAAAATATTACAGATACTGGTTGTAAACGTTGAAATCCTCGCGAAGCCCATTTTTAATTTCAGGATTTTTTTTCAACGGCACGAGCCATGTTTCACACATGGTACAAATGTTTCGTGCTCGACAGGCATTTAATTCGAGTTTGCAGTATTAATCGACGTGCGAAACGATTCTTCTACACATAACAAATAAAAAAGCGCTGCTGCCACTAGGAATGCGACGGCGATGGCTAAATCCTGAAAAAGTGTAAGTGGCCGATCGCAGCAGCGGCGCAGCTGTCGGGAACTTGTCACAAGGCGTCGCTAGTCGTTTTTTTTCTCATTTCCACTCGTGTCTCGCGTTACTATTCTTTGATTTTTTTCCCATCACCTTCTCAAAATAAACACAGCCGTGTGATTTCGTCGCGACTCGGCGTTCGCAATCAAATGGAAAAAGTATATGGATTGTGAAAGAATTAATGGCTATTTAAAAATTTTCCATGTCCGTCGCATTGTCTATTTTTATTTTTTTCCCCGAAGAGTCTTGTAGTCGCGACTGTTACTTTAACCGTGACTATATGGGCGGTTTGTCGTACAACTCATTCGCTCCTTGTACGACGAAGGAGCCTTCTTCTTTGTTTGTTTTCAACACGCTCGCTGTTGCGGTGCTGTTACTCGATTTCAGAAAGGTCTCCGTCGTTCCGTGCTTCCACTGTTCGCAAAAATATTTTTAACGAGTAATCTCTTTGCAATTACAGACACAGAACAGGCGAAAACGATGTCGACATCGTAAATCTGCCATCATCGCCCCAGCAGCCAGTTTTAGTTTCGCGCAGCGAAAATTACCACGAGAAAGTGCTGCAGTGCAGTGATTAGGACAAACAGTCTTGTCAACCCGGCACGTAGACAAAAGTACGGGTAAAAGTGGAGGGCACGTCGGCCTCGCTACTGGAGGAGCTGATTGCGGGCCAGCACCATCAGCAGCAAGAGCAGCAGTACGAGCAGCAGCAGCAGCAGCAGCATCAGCAACGCGCCAATGCCGTGGCGGCCTTTATGAACAATTATCCGGCAGTCGCTGCAGCTGCTGCTACTGACAGGAACAGCAGAATGGTTTCGCACGTTATCCCTGTGTCAGCTGGAGTTAGCTCCTCCTTCTCGTCGCCGCTCAACATGCACTCCGATCTTTATCACCATTATGTGAGTCGTCCTTTCTTAATCGATTATTTTTTCGATACACGTGGTCTTTCAAACATTTTTCTCTCAAATGCGTTCCGACTGCCGGCTAATGATTTGGTTTGCAGTGGCGATTAACTTATGAATGTGTGTTCTTCCGATTTAATTGTTTGTATAATTTATAATGCCGGCAGAGATAAGATAAAGTCGAAATATTGGTAAACATTGAATTAATTTTTGATTGAGATAATTGTTGTATCGTGCTATGTTTATCAACAATTTGCGTGTTCGGACGTTTAAACAATTGCACAAATTTCATCGTTGATGTCGACGCACTGACGTTATTTATTATTTACTCTTTAGTGTTTGTTGAAGCGTAATGACGGCATTCAATTAATTATCAGTAAGACTAGTGAAGTGTCTGCATCTGTAATATTGCAACATCGAAATGCATACTAATAAGTATCGATAACAAGCGTGCATTTTTTGTTCGTTGAGCTCTAGAAAGACAAATTCTATTCTCTCGGACTATCGAGCGTTAATTGCGTCATTGACAAGTGCTTGCCGCACATCTTTATCGACTATTTTTTTTCGTTTAAATGGGAGATAAGTTCTGCTCGCGCGTGCGCGCGAAAAACCGAGAAATCAGCGAAGATATATATGAAGAAGGCGGCAGTCGCACTGCCGATTTGCCGAGGTCGCGCCCTCCCCGAGAATTTCGCAATTGGTGAACTTATAATACTACGTCGTCGAATTATATATTTTTATATTTGCTCATGTCTCAGACGAGGAGAAAAAATGAATTGCTGATATTATGGTGGTTCTATTATTTTGGTGTTGAGTAGAAAAAAGCTAAGGTATTAATGTAATCTCGAAAGCTGTCATTGTTGGATGCTATTTGTCTGTTAAACAAATAATCTTCATTTATTAAAAGACTTAAAAATGTAAAGTTTTCAAAGGTAGGACATAACAATTTATAGTATTTACAAAGAGATTGTAACAAAATGTTTTAATAATAAATGTTAATTTTTAAAAATAGAAATTAATTGCAAGCAATTCAAAGACTGCGTATAACTTAATTTTTCAAGCGAATGTAGTTATTATTTAATGTGAAAAAAATCTAAATCATGCGTATGCCTAAATTCCAATTAATATTGTATTATACGGCTGAATCTTCCGTAAAGCGTTATAATCTCGTGTTACTTGTATGTGTTGAAACTAATATAAGAGGCTCGACAAAAGATCTGGTTTTGTCAACTGATAATCGAAGAACCATCATTATATAAATAGGTCGAAAACTTGACGATGATAAATTAAGGAACAACAACGGCATCGTTAGCTATATTTTGCTTTTACGTGCGCGCAGCATTAAGAATGTCAAACCAATTCGTGAAACACTATTTTTTTCTTGGTCGTCAGTTGAAGATTATACAATATTGTTTAAAGTTTCTTTGCCATAATCAAGCATTACTTTGCTATTAATTAAAAGTGTCTTGTAACGCGTATGTATCTTTTCAGGTAACTATAATCCTTTTTTCAAACTTGTAGTAAACCAAACTACCAGTCGAATGGAATTCATAAAGTAAATTTGAATGATAAACAAAAATTGTTACAATGGCTTACCGAACGCTCCGAACTCGAACCTCGACTCGAATTATCGATTATTACGCTTGAAAATATACGACGAATTAGCCGCGCAATCCTAGATAAAATATAGCCTCATACGATAGAGAAGTAAAAAGAAGTAGAAGTGTTTTTCAGCGATAAACATGAAATTAAGTTGAGAGTTTCCATTCGCAGAGAAGCATTCGAGCATCAGTCAGTTGTCATTTATCTGATAATGCAAGTCCGTAGGGTTGTGCTTTTTTTTTTCTTTAATGAAAACTGATAAGTGGGTTATCGTTAGCCCAAGGTCACGTGTTAATGAACGCCAACTCGCTTACTTTTTTCTTAACTCTCGTTACGTATAACAACACTCATATAGGTCGATAGGAAATCAATGTCAGGCTCGCATTGCAGCTTTTGATTTCTGAGTATAGAACTGAATCAGCAACTCGATTCTATCTTTAATCATGAATTACATTTATTTTGAAACGACTTTTTTCTCCTAGAAATTATTCAATTTTTACATGAAAAAATCGAAAGTCATCATGTTTTACATAAAATGACACCTAGTTGTATCACAAATATAGATAGAGGAAAATAAATACTATCATTACTACATCATCTACATGGATGAAGATTTATTTTAAAAATTGAATAATTTAATAATTTTATATTTGAGATACTGATCCTGCACAATTTGATTCGAGGTGAATTGTTTTATTTGTTTTATTCAAAGTGATGCATTTTTTATTCAACGCAAAAGATAAAGTCATTTTATTAGAAAATAAAATACCATTGAACATATAAACATTTTACAGAAAAATGAATTGAAAATGAATTGGTACAAGATATTTTATTTAAATAATTGAATATTTTAAAGAATTATATATTTACGATATTCGTTATTATTAAAAATTGCATGCTTTTATCTTATAGAATAGTTCATGCCAATTAATTTTTAATTCAATACGCTGTAAAATTGTAAAATATCTAATAATATTTCGTTGGTTTAACAAAACAATATCTTATTATTAGTTAGGCTTTTGTAAAGGCTCAATTCAGCTCGGAACCGGCTCAAGGTTTTCGGGTTTCGAGCTTTCGAGCTCTGGGGGTATTTCAACCGACCTATAAAAACTTTTTTAATTGTTCGTTTATTTAAATTGTGCGATCTATTTGATTTTGCAAGCTTATTCGACCGTTGTAGATACTCGTTTGTTATTTCCTACAAAAGGTCGAGCTCCAAATGTTCGTGTTCTATAAAGAAAAGCATTGTGTTGAATCAAATAAATTGAGAAGACAGTATCTGTATACAAAAAAAGGGCCCTGCCAATTTCAAAATCCAATGACGTCTAACATTAAAAGAAGCAAATCAAACTTGCATCTTGACACAACGCATGAATTTTTTTTCTTTCGATGCCTCTGCAAGCTTTGATCGTCGCACATTCGCGCTCGCACACAATTCATTCTCTCTACGGATCGCCACTTATCTTCCTCTTTCCCCGCGCAAAATAAAAGACGGAGTTTGTAATTGAACCGCTCGTTAACAAAGTAACACCGGGAGGCATAATATAGAGGCAGAGGAAGCCTCTTTTCTGAAAATACACTATCATCAATATTGTCGTCGAGAGCTAGCCGCCTGCGCTATATACACGCGCCTCGCGCGAAGTCACTAATCGCACGGGCCGATTTCTCAGCGAGCTCATCACTTTCAAAACGGGCGCACGCGGCGAGATACGACGATGACGACCGAGCCTCCGCGCCGCGCATTTCTCAACGTCTCTAAAAACGACTGATGCACACGCCTGCTAAACTCATCTCTAAATCTCTCTTTCCAGTTTATATGTGCGATGTGTGCTTAGCTGTCACGAACTATTTATTTTTTATTTTGTTCGAGGGAGAATGGGATCAGGCGACGACGACACTGTCGCGCTGGCTTTGTCGCTGAAATTTGTTGAGAATGCAAAACTACAACGACGTATAAGTTATACACAATGTACCTAGCTCCCAATTAAATTTGATTGCTCTGTAAGATGTCGATTACCGTAGTCATTATATTCTGTTGATTCGTTCGGTTGAAGACGAACGTTATTATGATGAACAAATTTTACCTTTAGGATTCTTGGTTTATAAATCAATCGGCAAACTTTGGAACGCGATATCTATCTTGTGTCTATACTTTCGTGGCTGTTATTTGAAGATTTCGTTGAAACTCGAATGGATTCACCTACCATTGACAAACAAAAGTCAGCTAGTTATTTTACAGTAAAACTGAAAACATATCTCTTCAACTAAAATATAGATAAAGCTTTGCCAAAATAGGATGAGAGAATGAGAGAGAAAGATCGCAAATTAACGATCTAGCAAGATCGTAAGTTTAGCTGGGCATAATACGGATGTCACAACAGTCGACCTGTGTTTATAAGCTTCCTGCGACGAGACTTCAAACAATCTTTCTCTCTCTTTCTCTTTCGCTCTCTTTCTCTCTCTCTTTCTCTCTCTCTCTCTCTAAAGGTCCTCAGCGCTATTATGTTAGGCTTTTCATGAGCATTTCCCTTTATTTGCTTTCAGCGCGCACAAGTCAAAACTCGATGCTCCTCGCGTATACATTCGTTCTAATTGCCCAGTCGAAGATGAAAATGACGTTTTGTTTCTTTTTTCTTTGTCGCACAGGAACTTCAACAGGGTAATGGCGGACTTGGTAGTACAGGACTCCAGGAGACGGTGCACGGCTTGAAGATCAAGCAAGAGCCGACGAGCTATCAGTTACCCACTACTTCGACCCTTCCATCGATGCATCAAGGTTCGTCGAAATTTATTTGGTTTGCAATGCCGATTGTTTGACAAGGAAAATTATACATGCCATTAGAACGCGTTTCGTCTATTATGAAAGCGATTTTTTTTTTTTTTTTTTTTTTTTTTTTTCGAGAACGAATAATCCCACGCGTGAGTTTTCAACAGCCGCATCACAGATCAACAAACACGCTCGTCGGGCAAATACGAGGGCGAAAAGAACGATCAAACATCAATAATTTTTTTTTTTTTTTTTTTTTTATTTTTCACGAAACAAGAGGTAGACGAACCTGTATCTTTATTTCTCTAATGTGAAAATATCTGATTTTAAGAGCGTACCCGCCCATTTATAAATTTCGATATTTTCAACAGCAAGCATTTGATTTCCAAACTCTCTTTTACTAAAAATGCCAAATTTACGACTGTTTTCCACGACCTCTATAATTTTGCCTCCGTCTCTCGCGTGAAAAAAAAAAAATTGTTTAAAATAGCTTGTTCAAAGTTCAGCGGCGCTCAAAAATGCTCCGTCGTCAATCAAACGGAAAGAAAGAAGGGCTTTCGCAACGAATAGAGAGGATAATCTTCGTCGCCATGCGCGCGCGTTTCTAATAATACGGAAGAGCGACGACGCCGACGACGTGGAGTTTAAAGGCGTTACAAACAAATGAGCGAGGCGTGCATACACACGCACGCTCGAGTCGTGTGATATACCGAGCGACGCCTGTGTCCTCGCGCTCGTTCCCCCCGCATGCTCTTTACTCACCGATTGCCCGCGATGGATCTTCTGTTGCGTGCCTTTACGAGGAAACATGCCGTGTGTACCAGGCAATTAATTTAATCGTCGCACATTGTTTTATCGTTACTTTTTCGAGCGAGTTTCATTGGGGCTCGGCGACGACAGTGCTTTCTCTACGATCATTTTTATTCATTTTTTAAGTGACGTAAAATGAAGCATTCCATTCCTGCGTACAAGAATTTGCGGTTGAACATTGAAAGTCACCCGCGGAAAGAATTTTTAGATTGGCTGAAACTTTCTAGCCTCGGATTTATTTCAAACTAAATTGCCCGCGAATCGTTATAAATTACATCGTGAAACGTCAAAATAAATCCTTCGCACTTTTATTTTTATTCACATTACAACGGTATTTATATAATAATCGTCTAAAAAAAAAAAGAATTTGCCGCGCAATCGGTATAAAATAAATCCGATAGGAGAATAATAAATATTTATTGTTGGTTGAATAATTGGCAAAGCTTTTATTTTAAAAACTTTTATCATCTTATTAGTAAATATTATACACGCGTAGCAAACAATTAGTAGTAGTTGATACGCGCTTGGTGGGGAATCGTGTGATGCCGTCGAAACGAGACTCACGAGACTTTATCATCTGTTTTATTACGAATTTTAAACATTGACACAGCAACCACAACAAACCTCATAAAAGCATGCAAAACAGACACAACGTAAACCGTTAATATTTACTACCTCTTTCATTTAGAAATTTAGATGTCCCTTTGAAATATTAACTTTCGCAAGCTCATTAGTCGGCGTTATCAGAAAATTGTTGTAATTTCTCAGGTACGGATCTTTTATCTGAAATGCCGACTCACGACACGCAACGAGTCTCGCCTTTCTCCACACGCGCGGTTTAATCGCAAAACCTTCCTCGCTACAACTTATACGGAACGCTGATCTCGTATAATCGCGCGTGCAAGTTCAACTATTTTCCTTTTCGCCTCTTCTTTTTCCCTTTTTGCATTGCTCTGCGTCGCGCCGTTTCACTGCTCAACGATTACAAATGCGCGCGCCTTTACCAGCCGACGTTTACGCATAGCTGTACGCGCGTTAAGCTCATTTTCACTTATTAGTGACTTTCTTTATGAGTGATTTTGGGCGTCGTCGAGGATATCACAAGTTCAGTTCGCGACAAAGAATCGAGCAACGATAGGCCATAAATCCAAGTCGAGTTGATGAAATACCATCTGGAATCATAAAAAGCCGCGTTCGAGTGCTCGTGAGCTTTCGATGATTTTCCAAATAGAGCGATTTAGAGGACGTCGTTGCGTCAAAACAGTCTCTCGCAGGCTCTGCGCGACCCTACGACTATTTGAAAAAACAAATTCTTTTCCCCTTCCCGGTACATGCTCAAGGGACGGGAAATTGAATTAAGCTGGAAGACTCGTAAATTTTCGGAGAGCACTTTTCCGATAATTTATCGACGTGCCAAGTCGACACCTGACCGAGCTCAATCATCCAAGCGTGCTCACGCCTGGGAAAATAATCTCCGAGTAAGAGTTTTTCATTTAGTTTGTTTTGCTTCGAAATGACGATTAATCTTCCATTTATTTATACGTGCATTCTGCTTTCCATAAAACGGCGAAGATGTGCGCGTTAATAAAAAGAGAAAAGGCGGAATACGAATAAATTTTGAGTTACGATCGGTTCGTTCGTTTCTCCAAAAAACGAACTTCGCCGACGTTGCTATCAAAGGAAAAGAAACTTTTTACACGATATTCAATGACATTGTATACATAATACGCGCATATATTTATAGTGCTGCTATCATGCCGAGTGATAAATCATTTGACGCGTTAACAATTTTGTGCAAGTATGTTTCGCGGTAAAGTGGTGGTCATCATACACCTTTTCATAGGAGGGAGGAGGGATTTGTGTCGCGCGACAGATGTCTTCGCGCTTTATCTGCGCAGAGGGGGAAAAAGACGATGAGTTTATACAGTTTCGAGTTGCGCTTTTAAAGCCAGAGATGCGATAGTTGACTTTTTAATCTCTACCGTCAAAACGCTCTTTTTCCTTCACTGCTTGATTTAGGATTTCGCTTTGGTCGACAGTATTTTCAAAATGGCACGTGATTTATGCAAATAAAAACTGGTTATTCGAAAAAGCGAAAGATCCTTTATCTTTTCTGTGGTTACTTTTGCCGGAGTACATTCTAAAAATACACCTAAAAATCCCACGAGATCTCGCACATCCACATTCAAAATATCTACGACGACGCGAAGCTTAAGTGCACATCTTGATCCACGCGTAAGCAACAAGTACCAAAAAGAGAGAAAAAAAGAACGTCGACAAAAAGTTACGCGCACTTAACTCATACATAAGAGCGGGACGGGAGGGGGGGGGCTTATATTAGGGTGTTTAGTGCGCGGGTGAGTTACGATTGTCGCTAATCCTGGAATCGCCTCTTGATTTATCGTCGCTCTCGAGCTTTCTTCTCTCTCGGTCAAACTTTCTTTTTTCGTTCTGACTGTCGGGTAAGAGAGGCCGGATAGGCGACGACGATTATAATTATATTGCTTCGTTCTCTCTCTCTCTCTCTCTCTCTCTCTCTCTCTCTCTCTCTCTCTCTCTCTCTCTCTCTCTCTCTCTCTCTCTCTCTCTCTCTGACGCTCCTTAGGTTTATTTCGGAATGAACTTGGAGAAGAGAGGGCCCTCGTCGTTTTTCGTCTGGGCGGCCAACATGCGAAATGACGTTTTACACGCTTCATCGATTTCATCCGCGCGCGGTTGATATGAGATTTGCTAGGCTAAATTATGATTCTCCGGAGCGCCGCGCGACCGGATTACGGCGACATGCTTTCGCCCGTAGAAATAGGACGTCCAGACGCACTGTATTTTCAGCGGATTAATATGAACTATGAATATACATACTGCATTTATAGCGAGATTCGGTTTGGGTTATTTGTATTTCTTAGTTATTGTTAGGTACGCTCGTTTGTTTGATTGATAAAAACGAAAATGCACGCACAATCGAATCGACGTACACAATTATTGCTTCGTTTTCGAAATTGTGCTTTGTTCAAGCTGAAATGTCAAGAATGTATTTTTAAACGACTATTTATCTGCGGCAATTTCCTTTTGTACACTTCATTGAAAGTTCAATAGATCTATTTGGTTCATAAAAATAACTTTTTTTACGTACTTCGACCCGTATTGACGCATAAAATTGTAAATCGAGAAAAAAATGTGCAATGAAAATCGGAAAGGGTTGTACGCGTGCTATCTCGTTTATTTATTTGAAATCGGACTTTCCCTTGTAATCTTTTGCGAGAGAGCATTTTGACGTAGCGCGCATCTTTTATTAATAGACTCGTAGTAAACAAGAGAGGCAACGAGATGCCGTAGCGTAAAGTATATAAGCGGCATGGATCTTCTCTTTCAATTAAGTATTGTCTTGACATTTGCCAAGTGCGTGTAATAAAAGAATATACTCTATAGTGACTGAGTAACAAAAAATGAAAAAAGCTTTTCTGGTCGTTTCCCAGTGTCGCTGCTATTTTAAGAATTATTAATGATGTTTGATAACGGAATTGTTAGTTGAATGTCAATTGTATTGATCGAGTTTTACAATTCAATTTAGGTTTAGAATCAAATACTTATAAGAGAATTTTTGATCGATCATTCTGGTATTTGCGAGATATTGATACTGAAAAATGTCGAAAATTATTCAGATATACCCAGCATCGTAATTTTTCGATAAGATGACGACGGAAAAAAGTAACCATATTGATATTAAAAATACTATATAACTGATATATCTTCGCATCTGCTGTACTTCTAATATTATCAAAAGAATTACGCAATTAATGAAACGATCAAGAGTCTCGTGTTCAGTTGCGTGACTTGTAATCTTTGACAGCGACGCACAACGAATTAACAAAAGAAGAAAAAAAGATATCGAGCATCGACGAGAAATAAAACAGAAAAAATTTATCGAATGCGTCGCAGGAAATCCTACATGGTCAACGAACTTGCAAAAATCGTACGACTATAACACCCAAGTTCTTGTCAAGCGGATATCGTGTGCTTTTGATAGAAATAAGTGCAAACCTATTATTGCTCTCCGTACGAGCAAAATAAAATAAAAATCTTGTAATTGCGGAATGCGCTACGTCGAATTGAAAAAATCCGATTGATAAAACGTCCGACGAGAATCGCGTGCGAACGAAGATGAGAGAGAGAGAGAGAGAGAAACAGCCTCGAGATACGTTATTATCAGCGAGAGGGAAAATCGAGCAAGACGTCGGTGAGAAGCGGCTAACAACAGAATGAATCAAACGAAAGCGCAAAACTCATTGTAGTACACACGCGGGGATGATCGGCAGCAGTTTATTCGCTTTACGCGCGGGTGGCCGTGAATCTTCCCTCGGCGTGATCGCCACGCCTTTTGTTTTGTTTTGTTTTCTCTTTCTGGCAGGAACGACAGAAAACACGAGCGCGTGGCCGAACGAAATTCAGCTGCGCCTTCGAGGAGCATAAAAAAAGTTCAGCATTAATACATGCAGGGCCGAGGCGACTTGGCTCACATTCTCCCGGGCGTGCGGGCGTCGTATTACCGTATAGCGAGGCAGTAAATCACCGGCGAGTTCCGAGAGAGGCCTCTTACTCACCGACCGTATCGGCCGCCGGCCGTCCTCTGCGCGCGCGTGTGCGCCCCGAGGGCGCTAATTGTGCGCGAAGCCCCCCCCCCCCCCCTTTCGCGCCATTTTAACAAATCGCTTCGTTTCTATTGCCGTGCCTCCATTCAATTTCGGCGGAGATGAACGGCGCGCGTATCGCGATCGCGCACGTTTGGCAAATTCGAGCGTAATTTCGTGGAAGCGGCAAGCTCTGCCTCCTTCGAACACGATCCCTCGCAGCTGAGCGCACGCGCCAGAGCGGAAAATCACCGTCGGTGCCGTACGCCTCGTTGGGGCCCGGTTGAGCAACGCCCAGCTAATTATTCCACTTTTAGCGGCTCTCTGTCCTCCCGCGACGATGCGCCGACTGCTCGGCGTAGCAACTATTATTCCCTTGAATGTTGCACGTAAAAAGAAGAAAAATGTCATTCTTATCGAATCGAGCGGGACGCGCGTAAATGTGTCATCGTTCGGCGTCTATGTACTTGGAAACACGCGTCGCGCGCTGAAGATACGAGAAATTGCTCCGAATCTCCAAAGCGCAGAGAGCAGAGTTGTCCGTGTGCACGTGCCCTCGATAATTTCATTAATTGCACGGCACGCGGATCGTTGTCGAACGTGCTTACGATCGAAAACTATAATATACGCGCTCTCGGCACACCTGACTGCCGCTGCAATTGGAGATCGAGAGACGCGACACTTTGAGCCACGTGACGTCTGTATATATAGACAGCGAGAAGGATGGACTCGTTTCTCTTGATGTCGCTTCGGTTTTCACGGCAAGATCGTGAGTCATCTCTGTTTAGGAGCCGCGGAGTCGGCTTTCCAAACCCGGAGATCCGCGCGTTCGACGGCGGTAAACGCGCGCGAACAGCCGAAAAGTCAATTGGTCTTCCAAGGTCGACGCGTTCCGGACGGAAAAGCTCGGCCCGGCGAGAAGTGGATCGCGCGAGCGTTTTCAATGCGCGCGTTGCGACACGGCAATTGCGCGCGCGCGCGCGCGTGCACACAGGCGGGAGAGATTTCCCAACGGATCGCGGACAACCTTGCTGGTCAGCGGAATCGAAGGACGACGGATTTTCGCAACGCTCCTGCCAGGGGCGGGGAGGGGGGGGGGCTATTACGCAAGGCCCGCGCAGCTCTCGCTGCTCGCGTATCATCGCAGGCCAGCAGCGACGCAGACGCGTTTTCGAAGGCGCGCCCGACGTATCGATTCGTCATGGACTGACGACTCGTCGGCTCGTTTTGCCGAAAGAGAGACTTGGCGCGCGCGCGTCTTGGGGCTGCGACTGATGATGATGTCACGTCGGCGGGCGTCGTATTTCGCTTATCAGGCCGCGCTGAAAAATAAGCGAGAGCGAGAGAGAGAGCGAGAGAGAGAGAGAGAGTTGATCCCGCGTTCGTGCTGCAGCTTTTCTGGAATGCGACGGATACGCTTTTTCCTCGGTCGCCCACGCTCACACGTACGACCCAGCGCGCTTCCCGGCTGCTGACCTTTCCTTTATTCTTTTCGACGCCGAGGGAGAAACGGCGTTGGCGTATGATCATGAGAATCACTATTCGGCGCGCCAACGACGTTCCCGTCGAAGTCGATTATCGAGGAAAAGTGCACTCGAACGCGCCGTCATTGTCCGTCGAACAGCAGCGCGAGTGAGCGAGCGATTTCACCGTGAAATGCAACGACAGAGCAAATACGCTCCGCAAATTAAGGGCTGCACGATAGGAAGGCATATACTGTCTTCCGCATCATCGCATTGCCGCGGCCGCAAACATCCGCCGGTCTATTATGACAATGTACGAGCGTCTAATTTGTAAAGCAATTGTGCTGCACTATACGCGCGATATTTTCATAACACACCCGGGCCTCAGCTAGCCGTCGCACTTGTAAACTTCGATTGAAGAAATCGAACACTCGCGCTCGATAATGCTGCGAGCTTCCAATTGCAACTGCTACTTTCATGAATGAATCTATATTTTCTTTTCGAGCGAAGTGTGCCTCGTTCTGTCCGCAGTGGTATTATTATTATCACCTGGATGCTAAAGAGAAAACAGTTTACTATTACAGCTGTGTTGTTTGTAGTTGGTAATTCGATGAGATAAAAAATATATTAGACTCGCGAGCGCTGCGACGCACCGAGGCTTCTCTCTGCCAATTTTCGTAGGATCGATCGAGTCCGCGCGTGTGCTGTTTTCGTCGCTTTGTTGTCGACGAAGCGCGGAAACGAAGGCAGGGTTATCGCGTTCTACGCAAAACTCATCGCGTGCCTGCCGTGTGCGCGGCGAGGCGCGCGTCTTCGTTGCATCGGGTAATTTCGGATATAATTTTTCTTCCACACCGGTGTAACAGTATTGCTCCTTCGACGCACGCACGCCCACGACATTTCACGAATTTCGCTCCCTCCAACGAAGATACTTTTCCCGGCCGCGCTCGAAGGACTAGCTCGCGACTCGCGTACAACGGCGCGTGCACGCGCGAGGGAGCCCGAAGGACAATGACACTATAAAATTGAAGATAAGCGGTAAACGGAATCTGCCAAAGAGAAAAGATACGCTCTTGAAATACGAGAAGATCAATTTGTACAACGTTATCGTCGCCGCTGATAAACGAAAACTTATACCGTTTCAACAGAGCACTGCGATGACGAAAATATGTCCGAAGCGAGACAGAAGGTAGCGAGGCATGCAGCGTTCGAGAAGAAAGCAGGGCAGCAACTTTGCCAAGAGAGAGAGAGAGAGAGAGAGAGAGTGAGTGAGTGAGTGAGTGAGTGAGTGAGTGAGTGTCACGTGTGCACAAGAGCGCGTAATACGCACGATCGCTGCACTCCCCTCCCGCCTCGAGGGCAGTACGTATCGGCGTCGAATTACCGCGCATACACGACAGAGAAAGCTCGCGTTACACGCCCCGCGGGCGTTACTTTTATTTCCGAGTAAAAACGCGTGCTTTTACGCGCGAGCACGCGCGCCGCGTGGCACGGACAGCTTTTTTTCAAACCTCTCGCGCGCGCGCGTCGCCAATGGCTGCGATACTTTGCCGAGAGAGAGCGAAGGAAAAAAACACAGGAGCGCGAGCGAGCGAGCTGGATCAGACGGAAATGTCGCTCCGCGACGACGGCAGGCTCGGCCGCGATAGGCGGCAATCTCAAAGAAGACGAGCGCGAGCGCGCGATTTGCTCTTCCAATGCGCTTTATCGGAGCTCGATGCCGGCGCGTGCTCTTCGCGTGGAAATTCAATCGCCCCCCGCTGGACTCCCCGGGAATCCGTCGGGGCGGAGGGGGAAACGAGCCCGAAGATTCGATGCGTTTTCGCGCTCGCCATCGCCGAAAATCGATCGGGAACGTGACCAGATCGTAAATAGTCATCCTCCCCTCGTCGGCGCGCGACGCGCACAGGAACGCGGAGCAACGGCGGCTGCCACCTATGTCCGCTCCGCGAACGCGTGCAAATATAAAATCGACAGCTTATACGTGCAATCACGTCGATTACGCGGAAAAGTCGGAGCGCCGCCGCGGCGATTCGTTTTTCACGGCGCGCATTGTTCCATTGTTGTACGCTGCGCTTGTTGATCGTTTCGCCGCGTCGCCTGTATCGATCGGAGCCTCGAACAAGACAAATAAAAGGCTTTTCAATTTTCTGATTGGCAGTGAGCAATTTCGTGACGGATCAATTGGCGAGTGGCTGCATGAGCAGTCCAAAGGACCTGAACGTTGGCAGCTTGTCGCACGATTCCTCGGTCGTCGTCTCGTCGAGCTTGCTCGACCATCATCATCATCACACTACGCTACACCACAGTCCCGATTCTGCCGTGTCATTGCCGTCGAGCAGCAATGTACCCTTGCTCAGCTCCGCGCATCCACTTCACACTCGCTCGGTAGGTACAACTTGGCGCAAGCGTTTACTCGTGATTTCACGACGGTCGCTATTAACAGCTGTCGGGGGCGACGAAGCGCAAAGCCGAAATTTCCTTGAGCGACCAAGAGGACGAGGAAAACGACGACGACGGCAGCAACGCCAACACAAGTACGCCAACGCAAAAACACATCAAGCCGCGCTCGTCGCGCGGGACCGTCAGACCATCGTCGTCTAACGACCCGAGCAGCAGCGCTTCGACCAAGACCAAGGCGAATAGCGAGACCAACAGCACCACGCAATCGGCCGATGGAACAAGCGAGTCGAGCGATGCCAAGCCACCGTACAGTTACGTGGCCCTCATCACCATGGCCATCAAGAGCAGCGAGCACGAGAGGTGCACTCTCAGCGAGATATACACATTCATCGAAACCAATTTCTCCTACTACAAGAAGAACAAGAAGGGGTGGCAAAATTCCATCAGGCACAATCTAAGTCTCAATGAGTGCTTTGTCAAGGTGCCGCGCGACGGCGGTGCCGACAGGAAGGGCAATCATTGGACTATACGTGAGTTTTCCTGACGTTTGTAGATCGTCGCGTTACATTGACAAATGTCATTGTCCGATTCTTAATTCGCAGATCCCGATGCCGGCGACATGTTCGAGCACGGCAATTGGCGACGACGCAAGCGTATGAAGCGCAATTACCGTAACACTCCTTACACGAACAATCGTTTGTACGGCGATCCTTTCCAGTCGACTCACATGCATCATTTGGGTGCCACAAGGAATATCTTTGCGCATTCCCCACCTGCATACTCAGCTGCTACTTATCCTCGTTATGACACGAGGTTAATATATGCGCATCGCCTTTTTTCCAGCTTTTGTTAGCGAATTCAACTACTTTTATGATATTACTTGTTTCTTTTCAGTGCGTGGACTTTGCAGCAACAGCCTCTTTCGACTTACGGTCACTGCCAAGTAAGTTTTATGCAATCTCTTATATGTATATATTCCTTTTTGTTAGTTTGAGTCTTAGATATTTTTATTAACAGTACTGAAAACACTCGACACTTAAGTTCAACATGTTAAGAACGATGTAAATCGTACTTTTTGTTTATTTTATATTTTATAAAATATTCAGTGTTGAGCGTAAAAACTACTTTAAAAATTTTGAAAAAAAATTTAAAAAAAGTATTTTGTCTGTATGAGTCTTATTCTCACCAAATAGAACGTAATAAATTGATGAATTTGTAAAATATATTACCGCTTGTAACATGGTAAAAATGGTACCGTTAAAATTTAATTCATGTAGTCTCTAACAGAACTGACTTGAAAATGGTCAAGCAAAAAAAAAGTCGAGTTTCCATTTCAGCTGCAGCAACAGTTGCCGATGCAATCGATGCAGATTCCAACGATGAATGGTTACAGTCAAATCAGTTCGTCATTAGGTGAGTTCTAAAATTCCTGTTCTCCAGTCCAACTTCCAAGTCGTTCCGAGACCTGCGTCGAATTTTCGGCAAAAGCCTTTCCAGGCAATTACCTCGATGTTACAGGCGGTACTAGCGCTGCCACCGCCACAAGTATGAGTAGCAACAGTTTCGCCGGTGGATTTACTGCTGCTTGCACTAGAAGACATGACGTTAGCGCTGCTGCTGCTGCCATGTCTGTCAGCGATGCTGTATCGCGTTGCTACTGGCCTGAAAGTGAGTTTTGCATCTTGTTTTTTCTTCTGTTTCATAATAAACTTTACAAAAGTTTATAATACCAAGAGTCCTTTAATCTTTTAAGAATTTATAATAATTTTAATATTTTTGTTTTACTTCAACATTATCTATCACCTCCAAAAAAATAATTATGTAATTTCGATAATTAATTTTTCAGTGATGAAAGAAGAGCCAGGCAACACGTCAGTCTCGCCAAGTAGCGTAAGCACAGTCGGTGTCGCTTCCAACGTTTACGGCTCGACGACACCGTCAAGTGTTTCATCCATTGGTTACTCGCCCGACTTTCAGACACGCTCTAAGTGTTACATGTGAAAATGATCAATTGACAAATTTTCCTTAGCCATGCCGTTCGATCGATATATAAATAGAAATGCCTTTTCTCTTTGATTTTATTCTTCATTCTCAAAATTTTATTCGTTTTCATTATTTGCGATTTGGGAAAGGAATCTTCAAAATCGTACATTTACTATTGCAATTTTTATAGTATTTTAATCGACGCTTTTTTCGGCGTTCGATAGTACAAGAAACTTATATAATTATTTTAGGAGTTCTATTTTTATGATGGTTTTCTGAGAATTTTAAATTTATTCTCAAGATATTTTAATTCTATGGTGTATAAAAAGTACAATTTTCAGACTTTCTTTATATATGGAATAAGCAATGGAAAGAAAATATTATTTTAAGTTAACTTTGCAAAGATATTTCATTTTAAAAATATAAAATCATTCATGCTTTTTTTGATACGTACTTTTAAGTTCAGATTTTATAGTGTTTTGTTAACCAACACTTCATTTAAATTGACACATTGAATTTGTCATTCATTTTGCGTATCTCTTACGTTTGTAAAGAAAAAACAATTTGACTTCTTTTATTAATTAGATTAAATTAATAATTCTTTGTCTTTTTAAAAGCACTATTAAGTGGTTGTTGGACAGTATTTTACGCGCTCATGACGATATATTTTTATGATATTCTTAATTACGTTGCTACAACTTTTAATGAAATTTTAAAAAATTCATTCCAATGCTTTTATTCTGTTAATAAAATTATTAGTATCATTTTAGCCTTCGAGTAAACAAACGAAACCCAGCGTCAATGGGCGTGTGTTTGTAAATAATTTTATAGAAAGTAATATGTTAAGAATTTGTTATTTGAAAAAGTACATGTAAAAGACGAATTTCACATAACGATGTTTTTAGTTTTGTTATCAGATAAAAAGAAAAATGTTAGTTAATCATTTATTATCAATAATACGACATATTGAGCTATAATATAATGACATAAATTATGATTAAAAGTGATGTATGTTGTGCTTCGATCATTATACGTTGTAAGATCGTGAATACCTGTAAATTTTTTTTATTCAGAAAAAATTTGTACCTTAATATGTACAAGCGCCGTAGGAAGTCTATGACTATCTGTCTGTTAAAGAGAGTATCATGGAAAGTACTTTTTTCGTTGGCAAAACTGAAATTTTCAGAACAAAACAAAAAATGTGCTATTTACGATCAAATTTATCTCTTGAAATGCTTCACTTTGACAGCGACAAACTGATGTTGAAGTCAAGATCTCGCTCTATTGTTAGATATTAAGTAAAAAAAATAAATACTGGGTTGCGTTATATATGTTGATAATCGACAAATTTTATTTTAATCTTTGAGAAGCGAAAGGGAACCAAATAAAACTTACTTATTTATCTTGAAAACACACTGTCTAATCATTGGCTATCTTCCTACAGAAGTATATCTGGTCTGAGTGTAGCACCTATGTAACGCATGCGCGGAAAAGGAGCAAAATCATAGGTAAACGGGAGAAGAGGAGGCGACCGCGAAGCCCCGCCCTGGCTGAAACATAGAGGAAGGGCCACCGCAAAGTCCGCTATTCAACCTGATGGAAGACCAATGGCGCATTTATGTATACGAATTTCACTGGAAGTGGAGGGGCTTTAACTTTGCTGCGGGAATTCATATGAAGGTATAAACGCAGCTGCAGTAATTAGACTAATTTTTACTTCGACGCAAAGTAGACGTAATATCCATGAGTAGATATTTATGGCTATCAGTGCATTTGTTTACGCAATTTTGTTCATCGTACATAGTATATAGAATACGCTGTTAGGAATTTTTGAACTCTTTATTTTTATTTTCATTGTTGAAAAACACTTCTAAATAATTAGTTTCTAAAAGAGAAAAAGGCTTCATAAATTGTGAAAAATTTTCGAACAGCATCAAGTTTTATTTTTATTTTTCCCGATGGTGAACAAGGCGATGCACTCGCGACAAGTCTATAAATCCCGGGATTTTCTTGGTTAAATTTGCTGGAGCACGCCCTAATTTAAGTAGTAAATGACTCAACGTTTATTATTAACTTTCTTTGAACGTTTGTACATTATTTTTATTGTCATGAGTATCAATAAATTGTTAAATAAACGACTGAATCTGTTGTGCAAATTTTGTTATTCTTTTATAGACGTTGTATTTCACTTACAATATTGTTTGTGTCGATTGTCATATCACTCACATAACTTATTTTAGCGGTTATCGAACGTTATGGAAAACTGAATTTGGGGTGACTGCACTATCAGAAAGTCGACGCGTTGATCAACTTCCCCCATAGCAATTTTTTTTCTCAGACGCGGAGGTTTCTTTGACATTCTATTGTAAGCTCCTAGCAATCTATTTGTCAAATTGTGATTTGTGCCAAGCAGCACGAGGAAACTTTGAAACAGAAAACTAAAACTTTGTTGAGTTGAAATTATACGACTTTTCCGAGTAGCACGAATTTCGCCCGTCGTTCGCGCTGACTATATTGAGGTATACAAGTACGGAAGTAGAGTAATTGCTGCGCTAAAACGTGCAAAGTAAGACGAGCCTTTCTCAAAAACACTGTGTATATGCGACTGGCTAAGCTTATTCATCGGTGGGCGATTTACGACTTCCGTTCTGTATATTGCAAAAGGAAAGGAGTTAGCTTCTGGGAAGATTGCTCTACGATTCGGAAGAATGAAAAGCGCGATGATGGATTTCGATAGCGGCGTGCGGGTGAAATGATTCGAGCCTCGGCTCGCACGGGGCTCAAATCACTTTGCTCCCGCTGCTATCTAAACACATCATTCGAAGAGAAAAGGCCTTTGAACGACTCTCAAATGGCTCGCTGCTCATTAATGCAGCAGCGTGACGCTGAAAATTCGTTAATATGTAGCCCACGACGGAAAAATAAAAGAACACGCTCGAATTTCACTTGACACTCGAGACACGCTGCATTTTGTTCTAACGCTGGAATTTACGTCGTGCGAGAGAGAGACTTCGCGGCGCGCAGGCGTTCCCTCGAAGCCTCGTAAAATCGACGTGTAAATAACGCTCGGGACGCCAATGTGGGTCGATGCGTCTTTTGTATTCTCTCACCATTTTTTTTTTGTTTTTGCTCCCTTACGGTTTTTACGACTCGGACCCACTTTTTACGAGAGGAAACAGATTTCGTTGCCTGCGTTCTTGAATTAGGCGCGCGTGCCAGTTCTCTGCTGTCAATACGCGATCGATCAATTTCATGCACATCCGGTGGCTCGCGTTGCCGAAATTACGATTCGAAGGACGAGAATGGCGAGATCGATCGATACGTCGAACGCTAATAGTATTAGGGAATAAAAACAACGACACTTCGTCACTTGTACAGGTCCATGGATATTACGGTTGAAACGTCAAAATCTGTTAAACAAACAATGCGAAATCTTGATCATTATACAGTTACGAAACAAAAGCAGTTCGCCTTTTATCTCTCTTTCTTTCTAAATACGCAGACACTGAACAGACTTCCAGCCTACATTATGCGGTTCAAGCGGCTGTAGGTTTTTAGGTATACGTCGTAAATGGACAAGCCGTATTCTATTTAGTCTTCGAGCGAGGGTGTTCTCGTAAGGACGCATTTTTTTTTCACGCTCTCAGAGTTATACTTGTTTCAGTGTCAATTTACTTCTGCTGTGGGATTTCCCGATATCTGCGCCGTTTCCTACGCTAACAAAGCTGCAATATTTTTCGCTCTCACAAGTATACATATTGGTAAGTGAGGCTGATTCGTGCGTATTTTGTACGGTTGACTATGGAATGTCGAATAGTGTTGTAGAAGCCAAGGGGAAGCTGCTACAGCGTAAAATGCACTTGGGAGGAGGCTGTTGCCCTCAGCGGCCAGGAAAACCCCCCTTGGCTCGCTCGATTAAAATTCGTCGAAATTGACTTTCAGCTGGCGGCACAATCGTTATGTTAATCGAGGCGGGAGACGTACTATTGGCACAAGTGAAGCACCTGTGGACGATCGCAAACTTCTCGAAAGTCTATCGCGAGTCCAAGTATATCTATTTGCCGTCATTTGCAGTGACGCTGAACAGCGCCGAATGGAGGTTTGCATTGCTCATGAGGCAGCACAACAGGGGCAAACAACAGTACGTTAACGTCTTCATCGTTCGTGTGACAGACGGGAACGCGGAACGCGATAACGAATTGAACGTCGACATTGAGTTCGCTGTGCTCGGCGACCGCGATCAAGTGGTTTACGAGCACAAAGTCGCGCAAAACTATTCGGGTAGCAGGGTCCTGGTGGATTTGGCAATCGAGGAGGCGATAATATTCGCGAACGAGCGACGCCTCCGTAAGAACGAGCTGAGGCTCGTTTGGACGATCACGAGCGACGGCTACGCGGCCGCGGCGACTCGAGCGAGAGCCGATTGGAACGGTCGGATCGCGAGGCTGCGCGAGTTCGATCAGTTCGGCCAGCTGTTGAACAGCGAGCAATTCAGCGACGTCACCCTGCGCGTCGACGGCGCAGACATACGCGCGCACAAGAACATCCTGGCCTGCCGAAGTCCTGTGTTCAGAGCGATGTTCACTCACCCGATGAAAGAGGCGCGATCCAATCAAGTTCAAATTACGGACGTCGACTACGGGACCATGCGCGAATTGTTGCGCTACATTTACACGGGCGAGCTTGGCGGCGACAGGGACGACGGCGACGACGCGTTCACCAAGTACTCGAGCGTGCTGATGGCGGCCGTCAAGTATTGCGTGCAGAGCTTGAAAGCAAGGTGCGAACGGAAGCTCTCGCTGGTCTTGAGCGCTGACAACGTGCTCGACTGTCTCGTCTTAGCCGATATGCACGACGCCGTCGATTTGAAGAGAAAAGCTATCGACTTTATCGTTGCAAAGGCCGAGCAAATCGTCGGCTTGCCGTCGTACGAGGATTTCATTGCATTGCACGCTGATGTTTCCATCGACGTCAAGCGTGCCCTAGACGCTAAGAAGCGAAGAATTAATTGACTGGAATTGCCGGTCGATCAACTTGCTATTTTTACACAATTGACGCGCGCGAGATTTTTTCGCAGACGCATCTCTTTATTCCAGTATTTTTGCGATACGCTGCGGATAGTTTTTTTTCCAAAGATGTATTACTCTGAAAGATGTATTACTCTTCCATAAGCTTGAATGAACTCCACAATAGAAATCATGAATTATTCCTTGCATGATACTCATAAGATAAAATAAGTAAGTTATATGCAAGTATTTTTAATTTGTAATAGCATATGTTTTTTTATTGATTAATCGATCTGATTTTATACTGCTGTAGAAGTTTAAATTATTTCATTTAATATCTAAATATTAATTGCTGATACGAGCTTGTATATGACTATTTATCTACGAGGCATTCTTACCAAAAAACACTTCTTTTTCTAATTATTTTTATTATCAACGCATCAAAACTATAATCGAACTTCGTGAATAAAAAATATAAGTTTTAAAAGTAAAATGTTACTGTACAATTTTATTTTTACACTATAATATTGTTCAACGTAAATTTAACTTGAATACTCTCCGAGAGATGTTTTATACTTAGGTTTCATTAATTTTAATATAATTTACGTTCAGAATGTTGTGCACGTGTTATTGTATGCGTGAAAAAAAAACACGCTGCCAACTGCGTTGCATGAGTGCTTCCTTGAAACGTTAAAACTAATTTTTCTCTCTCGATCGCAATCTCTATTATCTGATTTAAAATTTGTTGTAAAATTAATTTAATAAGCGTCTTATTTATTTTTGGAAAGAATGCTCACATCTACGTGGACGTATTATACGTAAGTAAATAAAGTCACACAGCCACGACCAATGTATCATGAAAATTAATTAGTCTTGATATTCTCTTAGAGACGTTAGTGGCAACTGAACATTTTACTTGATAAAATTATAAGCTTTATCCAATTTCGATTACAAAGTAAAACGTTGATATATCAGTGTACAGATCGTTGCGCACAGCGCACTACAATCGTCGAAATGCTCTCTTGGTTTTGCGCGTGACGTGCCGTAAATTTATTGTTTGTACGGAGCAAACTTGTCTGGTACCAATTTGGGAAGCGTTCAAGCATCGCTAACTCAAAATCGCGCGTCTTTTCAATCGCCGTCGATATCGACGATACGAAGAGTCGCGTTCACTTTGCACTGGCAAGTGGACGCATTTAGCATCGCGTATTGCGCTGGCTTAAGCCCATGCGATCTGCATTCGACTCCAGTAATAGCCGAGTGCTATTTGCGGCGATTCGATTTATGCGGTTAAATGTATCGCCACCAACGCTCTCGGCGTCAGCGCTCGATTGTCCTTTACACGCGGATTTTCAATTATTTGGATTTGCAAAGAGAATCGGCATTACATCAAATTTAAACTTTAGCTTTATCTGCGCGTCGACGTAGCGTTGCTGCAAACACACTTGTAGCGCATCTGCCTGCTGATTAAATTATCTATTTTATGAGCAGCGGGTAATTATGGTTAAATTGTTATATATAGTATAACGAATTGAAAGACGAGTCAGATGATCGAATCAGATGATATTTGTAAAAGTGAACTTTTAGGTTGAATCGCACGACTGGATCGCTCGAGTATTTGAACATTTTCGAAGATAAAAGCTGTGGTTTTTAGTCTGCTGCAACTTTTGAGTAGTTGCACGATATAGTTATAACAAAATTGCCTCGGGTCACACATCCTCTTCGCTAGTTAATCTGTAGAATGCGCTCGGCGTAGTTGGACCAAATGTTGGCATTCGTATACATCGAAACTCCTATTGCTTCCAAGTGGTTGGGAGGAGCTTTTGTACGTTCAAAAAAATTTCTATTAGTACGACCATAATCGGATTCGACCAAATAACATGACCAATCCCATATTGCTATATTTTGCTGCCAAATGTGTAGCATTGACATTTCATCACTATCGATTTAGTTTTATTTTGTTCCTATCTGCTACGAGCTTTACTGTCACAAGTTACTTCGGCGCTATTTGAATCAGTCTGCTAGATATGCTTGATACACGGGCGTCCTTATAATAGCGCTTGCTTTGAGCTTTATTCAACGAAATGTCATAAAGCAAAATCTGCAGGTATTTTTGAAATATCCTGTAAACGAATTTGTAATGTGTGTCGTTTGCGTTCAACTCAAAATGCTAAGTATATGTACGAAATATGGTACGTATAAAATTACAGGACATCGTTCTGGCAAATTAGCAAATTTTATTCATAAAAATTCTGGGTGAAATTGATTTACGGCATCTCGTCGAAGTAAAATATTTAATAAACAAAAGCATAAACAAAAGCATACACAAAAAAGCGCAAAAAGGAAAATCTTTTTGAAAAACCAATATTGGCATAAAAAAATGTCAAAGCGCACTTCGCGGTCTCATCTCTCATTAGTAATCAGTAATATTTAGTTTCATCAAATTAATCAAATTCAAATTATTATAGGCGAAATACAAAAAAAAACTAAAACATACTACATACCTAAAACAATTCTATAGGTACGCTTACTATAGGTCGATATTAATTGGTAAATAAAAATCCAATCACGTTGATATTTGTCGATTTAGCAATAATTTCAAATTTCATAAAGTAACAAATTTTTAGGTGTTTAGTAACATAGGTATAATTGGTAACGCACCGAATTAGTTTCTGTTTGTCTTTTTTAAATAAATAGAACCATCTGCTACGTTTATCGATTTAATTTTCTTTATTTTTTAACATATTGGTCTATGATTTAAAGCTTTTCATAGGATATGTCTATATTCACATCAAGACATGTTATTTTAATTGTTTTTCAACTGTTAATCCATGACCATTTGGAAAGAACTTTCTTTGTTGTTAATGATATTTATTCAAAGTTAAACTTTACAATAAAGATATTTAACGAATTTAATATACTATAAATAAATTTAATTGCAGTGCATTAAAATTAGTTTATCGTATTATTTTAAGGTTAGACAGATGGGAGAATGTAGGCGTTATTATCTTTTCAATTTCGACAAATTGTCTTACTTATTTCAATTCATTTAATTAATTTAGTATAAATTGATGTAGAATGCCTCGGTCTGTTATTAGCGCCGATTTGATTATAACAGTGACTCATGCGATTACATTCGGTCAATCAGATCACAAATATAATGACTTCACTCAGCAGGCCATTAATTTTTTGTAAAGGAAAAAACAATAATTTAAAATCGTACATAAACATACACGCTTATTTTTCACCACATAACAGTATATCACCTGACCATAACTCAGCCAATCAGATCACACATAAAATGCCTCAACATAGCATCCATCCCTTTTTTATAAAGAGAAAAGGGATACAGAGATAGCCTCCTATAGCAAGAGTGTCAGCTGAAAAGAACAAGTCTTTGTATAGTTGCTGGGGTGGAAAAATAACACATTAATACTCTTCTTCATAAACATTTTAGAATTACGGAAAATGTCCTCTAATTTTAGCCAACCTATCAGCAATGAATTGAACTAAAAGTACTCGTGCAATATAGTGTCACTGAAATCCTACACATCCTCAATACTACCTTTTTTCACTATCTTTGTCGCTCGATTTCACTTGAGAATTCGCAGGTGAATATCAATAATTAACCAGAAACGTTGTGCAGAAATAATACAGGATGGACACTGTCGGGAATAACATTAATAATCCTAGCAAGAAATTGATAACCAAAATGAATAACAAATGAAAATATCAATAAGGTAAGAATCAATCATACAATAATTTATTATAGTCGTACCACTTCCCTATAGTAGCAAGACATCATCCGCCACGTAAGTTAATTAAACTATTTCTTTATTTTTTTGTTCAATTCCGAATGTGACAAACATTTCGTGAGTCACTGTCAACTTTTTAGAACGAAAGTAACGAACTGATAAAGAGTTAGGTTAAGTGAGGATATTTTACTTATGATTGCACCGTTATAAAAATTTGCAGTTACAGCTATATATGAATTATCACCAAATTTATAATAATTTTTTTATTTTCATATTACCATTGAGATTCTATACGTCCATGTATGCGTATTTCAAGAAGTCTTAGCAAAAACTTTATTTACTCAATAACAAATATTCATTTGTCATGAAATAAATTTTCCCTGAATTTCTTTTTTTTTTACATATGCACTTACATATTTCTGGACTGATTCAATCAGAGATTAGTTTCTGGAATGTTTCGATCAGTGATAAGTTGCGGTAGAGGGAGATTTGCTCCTATTAGAGGGTGGACCGTTTCATCATCATTTTCATTGAAGCATAAGTTTGCGAGTAATTCCTAGTACTAGCATGCCAAGTAGTTATATACAATTTCTAAAAACAATAATTTTAATTTATTTTCTATTCAAAGTTGAAAAATGCGCTTTTATTCCACAATAAATGTCAAAGTTGAATATTTCAATTTCAAGTGTTACATTTGTAAATGATTTCATTAGATAAATATATTTATTATTTCAAAAATAGGCGTTGACTGTAATTTTTTTAATGCATGGAATGCTGAAGAACGATGCTAGATGTAGACTCGTAAGCATACTGCATTGATCTATGTGATACATTCCGTATTGTAGTAATTCTGTTTATATCATTCTTGAGTCGGAATTCTTGACGTTTCCTTAGGTTAGCGGTAATACAAAGCGGAGAATAATACTGATGTTCGACGTTAATTTTATACTAAATATTCAGTATCTAGTATGCATTGAATCGCCCAAAATAAGTCTCTCAAAGTTGGTCAACTTTAATAAATTGGTTAACAATGATTAACAGCGATGTGACATTGCGACTGGGTGGTAGAGATATTTATGCGCATTAAAATATTTTGGCGATTCAAAGTCCAGTCTTCGAAGCAATGTTTATACACAAAACGAACGAATTAGAAACCAAGTTGAAATCAAAGACATTAGTTACGATGCTATGTTCGATTTCTTGCGTTATAATTACTCAGGAAAAATTATAAATCATGGTCATGATTGTTAGGAAGATAATGAGTTTGATAAATATTCGAATCTCTTGATGGTAGCTAACAAATATTGTGTAGATTGTTTGAAAGTAAGATGCGAGTAGAAGCTTTCGGTATTTTTAAGTAACCAAAATGTACTCGACTGCTTCCTCCTAGCTGATATGCATAATTTTATATATTTGAAATAGGAAACTCTTAATTATATTGTTGAAAACGCTAAAGAAATCATTGATTTACCGCCATACAAAGATTTTCTTGTGCACGCTGATCTTTTTGTAGAAATTGTACGTGTTTTACTAGATAAAAGAAGATAATTTGTGTTTCTTAAAAGATTAAAAAAGATTGAGTTTTGAAATATAATTTCATACGAATTATTACGAGCATATTAAATAACAATATTTTTTAACGAAAAATATACTCTAATTTGATATTGATGCTTTTTCATTTGAAAATCATAAGCATTCCACTCATAAGGAAACGCCCCACCCTCCCAACCCGACCTTACCGATTTCAATAATCTTTTGATTTGTTATAGTTCCTGAAAAAATAAGACAAGTGTCTTTTTTTATGGACGGAAAAACACTTTGAGGGAATGAAAAATGCCCTCAAAGTTCACCTTAAAAATGAATTTTCCAATTGTATCTTAATTTTTTTTTTTGTATTTTATATATGGTAATATTTTTTCTAATTTTTCGACCTTCCGTGCGGGAAACATATATATTCCGCATACTCAGCCAACAACGTGCGTTGAAAGTCGTACTTTCCATACGTCGCGTCGTATCAAAATATACTGTACGACACACATGTTCGAGAAAGAGTTTCTCGTCTCGTGTGCCTGTCCACCCCCACTTCGCTCGGGCGTAAACGCCACACGAGACAAGAATCTACTTTCCCGCACTTGTATAGTAATGTACTATTATTGGCTTATTTTGACTTTTTTTCATAAAAATAAGCATGACAAAGTTAAAATCTTAATTAAAAAAAGGGGGCACACGCCTTATGGTCGGAATTGCATGCGTTAGTTTTGTATTCACAAGAGAAGTGATATGAAATTTGTTTCATCGTAAAATATCAATTAGAATCTGAGATACGTTGGAAAATCCATTTTTATCCATTGTGAGGGCGGTTTTCATCCCTTCAGTGTTTTTTCGCCGATAAAAAAACGCGTATGTCTTATTTTTTCATGAGATATAACATATCAAAAGATTATTGAAATCGATGAGGTTGGGTTGAGGGGGTTTCCTTGTGGTTGGCATTTCAATTTAGAGTTAATGTACTTGAGTCAAGAGGTATATATTCGTAGCTATCTTAACTACATACCCAGTCTAACATACCTTATCTAATATACCTAATGATCAGCTTGCACATAAAGTGATCTCTTAAGAATTACAATTGTTGGACCACAGAGAAGATTTTAAATATTAATTCGGTGAATGTTCCAGCGCTTCAAATATTATAAAAAAGAAAGTCATCTCTTATTACATGTCGCGAATAGAAATGATGAACTTGAACTGATTTTAATATGTTCCTCTGAATCTTTCGGTAAGTTTATATAAGATATCCTCTCTTTTTCTTAAAAAAAGTGATGGTCTGGAAAGTAAAGACAGTTTATTTGTTATTAAATTGGCCGAAGGACTATCACGTGATCAGCTGTTATGTGCTAGTGGATGTGTGGCTGTATGTTGTGTACGCACATAAAAGATTACTGCAGATTTTCGTAGATGATTAAACGTGCGAAAAGCGTATCGGTTTAAGTATTGGGCATGAATCTAATAGGAATAGATTTATTTATTTATACTAACCTCAAAATAAAAACCAACTGAAATATCTAGATAGAGAAATTAATTGAACTTCGCACAAACAAAGTAGGCAATAATAGATACAAACCGTAGATTATCACAATAAAATATTGTTCAGAGATTTCGGCTTTATTCAGTTATGTAAAATATCAGAGAATTTTGATGAAAATGCATTAGTTACAATCGTGAACATTTACCAAAGTAATTGTCATTTACATTGCGAAGGATATGGTTATACAAAACTATGTTTTTAAAGTTTATTTAACGTTTTTTGTGATTTTTTTTGAAACTTTTTGATGTTTTTTCATCACAGAAGTTCGGATAATAAAATCTTAAACTTCATTGATCGCATTTGTTAATAATGAGTATCATTGAAACCGAATATTTCTTTACCAACCTCATATAAAATCATAGGAACATTTAATGCACATTTAATTTTTGAATGTTCTATTTCGCTAAGAAAAGTTTTGATCTATATTCGTGCATTAAAGTGAATGTGAAAAAAGACGAAAGAGATAAGATGAGCGCGCTTTACGCGTTAAACATCATTGGTATAGATAAAAGTAAAAATATCTGCTTATTTCGTAATGATTCAAAAAAGTGATAATTGGATTTTGCGTCGTACGTTTAAGTTTTTTTTAAGTTGTTGAAGTTGGTTTAAAGTATGTATAAGTGTTCAATGAGCTCTATCAATATAGTCGTATATCTCGTTTAGGATAAGCAGTTTTGAAAGTTGTGTATTAAGATTATAGTTAAAAAACTTGTCATTATGCGACCTAAGAGAAAACCACAAGAGAACATCGAGAAGGAGTACGTCAGTAACTGAAAACGATAATCCTATTATTCCGATGCCGCTGTTGTCAACTCATTGAATTCAGGAAATAATTATCAAGGATCTCAGTATTTCTGACCAAAGATATAGAAACTAAAAGAAAAGTTGTACATTCAACTTTAAAATCTATTTTAAATATTTCATATATTATATAGATTTTTTCAATTAATCCAACGCATTATATATCGACAGATGCTTTGGGACATAAGCTAATAAATGAAGCTTATTTTTTGCTATACGAAATTGCATGTTATTCATTGCTTTTATCGTCATTGGTTAAAAATTTTTAACTTATTCTTGACCTATATTCCAGGTTGATGATTCCTCCTAGAGAAGAATAGCACAAATTGATGTTCTTGATTCTAAACACGAATATCAGTATAAAATTCAACGTCGGTTATCACTTGATTTCCTTTTACCTCATTCGCACAATGCTATCAATCAAAAATAGCAAAATATGAATTACGTTGTTAAGCTTATATATTTTATTATACATTTTTATTATTTATGGATGATATTCATACTTATTTTATCATTTTTATAAAATAAAAATGAACAGTTTCGGAATAAAGTAGATGAAACAACCTTATTGAGGATTCCAACAAATATTTATGAAATTTGTTATAAGGCTACCCGTTAACATGCAATAACGAGTGCGCAAAGCGCCAAGAGTTGAATCTCAGTACCTCAAATTCTATCCAACATTTTTTAATTCTGAAAAATCAGTGCATACGTTAATAGTTAGCGAATGCACGGTACATTTTCGAATATTTTCGCTGAAACGATTAATAAATTTCTATGATTATTTAAACTTTTAATTTGTTTATAACTAATTACCAGTGCATTTTCGAATAAACTACCATCAAAATTCGTGTTCAATTTATCAAAATATATAAAAATCGTATTATAACCATTGTGAAGTAATTATATAATTTATTATTAACAAATCAATTGTTTAAATAGTTATAAAAGTGTATTAAACACAGCGACATCATAAAAATATCGGTGTATTTGTTATATTATTTAAAGAGAAAAATATAGATTCTTAAAAAATCGAAAAATCTAAAGTATAACGTAAGATGATCAGAAATTTTTGTTTTATAACAATGCATATATAATTAAACAAATCCTAAGAAATAATCTTATTTTATTTTATAAAATATTATAGCCATATTATATAAAATATTTTAGCCATTCATACGGTTTTTATGTATTTTAAACACATAAAAAGACGAATTCGTCCTCTGAACACGAATTTCGATGAAGGCTATTCTAAAAATGTCCCGGTAATTCGTTATAAAAAAATAAAATATTTAAATGACCACAAAAATGTATTAAATATATAAGCGGAATGCGGAATACGCTATGCATTTGCTATTTAATAGCGAGTATACCAGTTTTTTCGAAATCGAAAAATGTTGTATGGACGGTGAAGTGCGAAAAAGCAAGGCGAGCGATCGACGAAACGGTTCAACTAAAACTGAAATATTTTAAATTCTATTTAATATTTTTCGGATGCGAGAAAGTTTATGAAATTATTATGCAATGAGGAATATATGGCATTTTTCAAAACATTGGTAAGTTGATTGATAAACTAATTATAACCATTCAAATAATTAAATTGTTAATAACTAATTATGCGTTAGTTTTTTTAAAAAGCAAACGTTAAGATACGTGCTCAGCAGTTCAAAGTACATAAACAATGTATTTAGGTGAAGCACGTTACCACTATATCCGCTGAAACGAAATCATCGTTGATTCGCAGACTATATATATATATATATATATATATATATATATATATATATATATATATATATATATATAACTTCACGTGTCGGCTTCTTTCTTTCTCTCTCTTCCATTTTCATTCCTTCCTCGTATTGCGTCATTTTTCAGTTTCTTATCGTATGTCGCCACGATCTGAACGCTAGAGAAAAACAAAAACGCCGGTAGCGCCGCTGTCGCCGCACAAAGCAGTTAGCTATTTTTTACGTTCTTGTATCTGGAATTTATAGTCGAAGCACGTGTGTGCATCAGTACAAAGGTACCGTTTTCGTACATTTGCTCAAATCGATGTGAGCGATCAAGAAAGTTAATGATTTACACTTTTAATTTTAGGTTAATTTAGTCTTAGGTGTAAGTGTGAATATATCTAGTTTATTATTGGTGAATTCTCAGCGACGAAAAATAATTTAATAAGATAAAAGTAAAGCAACAGGAAGTCCAGTCATGCTGTCGAATGATAGTAGCATTAAAATCATTAATCGGAATAGCAATAGAGGTGAACCATCGAAGAAAATGAACAAGGACGAGGATCATAATGACAGCATCGAGATTTTGTATCAAACCACGAATGAGCAATGTGTCAGAGAACTTAAAGTACTTTTGTTTGTAGAGAGTGTCGCTGTAAGGATATACACCATGGATGTGTCGTATTTGTGCAACGAATATGACATTATTACCACAGTGAGTTATCTATAATCTCGTTACGTACTTTATAATTTGTCGTACGTAATCATTACCAACGTATACAATCTAGAACGTAGATTTGTTGGAATTACAGTGATTTCAAAAAATATGCGTTTATGTTTTTGTGAACATTTTTTATCGTTATCTCAGGACCTAATAAAAATATACAAAAATAATACAAACGTGGCTGCTCTACTGCCTGGTTTATGGATTTTTTGGAATCTATGCAGAAATATTTTCGTCTTATAGCGTGGATAAAAAAATTTCGCATACTACATATAAGTAATTTGTCAGAAAAATATTGATGTAGATTTTAACTAATTAGTAAATCGTGTTGTTTGATAGATTTTGCAAAATAAATTTTATGTAGTTCCCTATAAACAACTGATTTATATTTTGTGCCTATTAGATTTTCCCATTTTATGAGATCTACAAGGATGAGCTAGGCTATAGAGTTGTAAGTACAAACGTTGTTGCATTGATATGTATTACCTGGTTTGCGTATTCTTCAAAAGTCTGGAAATCTTTTTGGCGCGTATATATGTGTAGGTGGAGAATGGCACATTGAAAAGAATAGAACTGAATGCAGTTCGTGATCCTAAATGTTCTTATCAGTATATAATCAAAATTGAAACAGTATCAAAGGAACGGAAGCCGTTGAAATTCTTTGGTGATTTTTACGTTAGAGAGGAGGTTCAAACGAAACAACCATTTCAGTGTTTAACGTAAGATTTTTATGATTTTATCGATATTAAGTTATATTTAAAAAGATTTAAAATTGAAATACAAACGTCATATCTTATATTTCATATAATTCAGCAAACGGATATTGCCGAAACTTAAAATATATAATGAATCATGTATAATAAAATGTTAATTTTTACATGTTCCAAGGCCAAAATCGGTTGATTTACAAGAACCTTATTTTGAAGAAGAACAACTAGATCTACATAAGTCACGTGAGACTAAAACTACAAGGCTCTATCCGTCGTAAGTGACTTATTCGATTTTTTTTCATACGTACTTCCAACGATTGTTTTCTGTATATTTTTTAGAATAATCGAAAATAACGAACAGAAATCTTCAAGTCCGAGCCAGAAACCCGTCGAGCTGAGTGACAGTCCAATAGTAAGTTTCGTTTCTATTCGTATATTCGTATTACATGCAACACGGAAATTCGACAGTGCTTTACACAACCAATCCATTTTAATACGCCATTCAGTCGGTGTCTATTGTAAAGCGGTTGGCCATTCCGGTATAGTGACTGTCGAGAACATAAAACATCTGGTCGCATCCCTCTCTCTTTTCCCGATCTTTTGGCACCGTTCTCCGCTCGGTTGTCAATGGTTTCATCGTTATATGTATACACTTCGATAAGTTCACATGCGAAATTCGTAGTTTCTCGTTCGATTTTTTATTGCTGATTTGAAAATTGTTGTAACAGTGGTGACGAGTTCAAAAATATTATATGTATATGACATTAAAAAGGTATTTGTACTAAACGCATGGAAAATGTAATGAGACTTTGTTGTAAAAATACAAAATACAAATCTTTTATAAAACATTCTATTTCTTATAATTCACGATTTATTGATTTTATTGATGTTTCATTTTTACATTTTTCATTTGTACAGTTGACCAGAGACAATTTACCTATGCATTCAAAATCTTCAAAAGATACCATGTAAGATTTTATTACACTCCTTTTAATTACAATCACTTCCTACAATTATATTACATTTTTATCATTTACAGACTTGCTGTTTACCCGCCACCTCCAGAACGGGGCGGCATAACAATATACAAAGAAAACTACAAATGTCTAGGTGATAGTGAGTACCTGAATGACGTGGTAATTGACTTTTACCTCAAGTACTTGACGAACGAGATTCTTAAAAAAGAGGACAGAAACAGAACACACATATTTAGTTCTCAATTTTTCACGCGATTGTCGAAGCCTCCCGATACTAACAAAGATGCAAAAGTTGTTATACCGGAATCGGAAAGGAGACACATCGGCGTGCAGAGATGGACTAAGAACATTAACATTTTTGAAAAGGACTTTGTCATTATTCCTATTAATGAGCAGTAAGTGACTTTTCTATCAGTACAAAAAATATTTTTTAATTTTCAAATAACATTGATCACTTTTTAGTTTTCACTGGTATTTGGCTATAATTTGCTATGCTCACTTGGTTGATGTGATCAACAATTACTCTCAAACTCTGATTAGGTACATCATTTCATTTATTATTAGTTAGACTCAAAACAGTGAACTAGTGTAATTTTAATATGCTTCAGGCCATGCATCCTATTTTTTGACTCACTTTCAAATAAAAATAAAGATAGAATAGCAGCAATACTAAGAGGGTACCTGTCTCAAGAATATCTTGCTAAAATGGGCAAACAGAAAAACTTCTCTTCAAATACTCTGAAAATAATATATCCTAGAATACCAAAACAATCAAATGCTACTGATTGTGGATTGTATGTATTGCAGTATGTCGAACAATTTTTCAAGGTAAACTACAATGATCATCATATTTTTAGTTCTGTCAAATGTTCGTTTTAATCTTCCTTTAGGATCCAATCATGGATTTTACTGAGCCTCTAGACTTATCACAATGGTTCAAATGCAATATTATAAAAAGGAAAAGAGCACAAATTGCTAGCTTAATTGCTGAATTATCAAAAATATATAATTCTAATAAAACAGTTTCGATGCCTCTTTTGTACTTTCCATCTGATAGTATATTTTCTGATGAAGAAAAAAATGATGATTTGTATTATCGTCCAATTAAACGGAAAAAGCCTCTTTACAAAGACAATTATGAGGGTTTCACTACAGATAACAAAACTAATAGTGTTAGTATGAAATGTTCTTCAGTTGTGTTAAAGAAGAAAAATAATAAGCAAAGTGATTTTGATAAGTCAATTGATAGTGTTCGAGATAAACTTTCACCAAACGATGAGCTTGATTTATCGATAGAATTTTGCAATTTTTCGAATAATAAAACCTCCGAAAATCAGGTTAATAGGAACGATTATTTGATAAACTCTGAAGAGGATAATGTTATAATTGAAGAGCAAAATATTCCTGTTGAAATTGATGATAAGTCACTAGAAATTATATCAGATGTTCAATTATCCAAAGACTCTTTCTCTTTATTAAAATCTATAGATCACAACTACCTCTATAAGCATAAAAAAATTAGTTTAACTCAAGAAAATTTTTCAGATTCAGAAAATTACGTATTTCAGAAAACAAATATTCTTTCTGATAAAATTGGAGAACAATCTTCTAATGGTATACATCCGAAACATTACTGTCATATAAAAGAGAGGTCAAAAAAAATGGTGGAATTAGTGAATAAATTTCAAGAACAGAAAATAAATAAATTGAAGATGAAAAAATATGGAAATGAAGAACACAAGAAATCAAACAAATGGATAGATACGTTTGATTTCAATTCTAGCAAACCTAATTCATTATATAATGTTGATGAGGTCAGTTATTTATATGTATGCACTGAAAAAAAATGTGAATTAATTTTTATTGGATTGACAAATCTCAATACTAATTATACTTCATTTTAGGAACGAGGAATTCCACCATCAATAAGTTATGCTACATTTAAAATTCAAAAAAAACAATCAGAGGCATTAAAACAGCTACTTTCTACAAAAATGGCAGATGACAGTATAGATTGTTAAAATTTGAACTGATGTGTTCTAAATCTACAAGCTATCATAGTGATACAAATAATAAAAATTTTATACTATTTACTGTTAGTTTAAAATTATATAGTTGTTCCAGTATTTTATAGTATTATTAAATATTATAAGTTTATACGCGCTTTACCTGCTTAAAAGTATTTCAATTATTGTAATTTATGTAAACTTAAATTTATCAAAAGAATTACAATTTAAAACTTCTATAATTGATTAATTATTATTTAATTTTTAGCATTTCTATCTAAATAATGTATTTATCAAAATATTAAGTAGAATTAATTTTCTAACATAATAAAGTCAATATATTAAGGTACAACTTTTGCTTATAAAACGTTTAATATCCATATATTTCTGATTTGATCTAATTGATTAATTTTTTATCAGCTTTCTAACAAGGTAATCATGAACATTTATTAACAATTCATTGCGGAAGGAGATGTGAATTGCTTGTTGACTTCATATGTTTTAAATTTTTTAAAATTTTTAATGAAGCATTAATATGTAAAGTTCAAAAAATAAGGTTTTTGTAGAAAATTTAAAAGTATTTTCAGGGAGAAGCTTTTATTGGTAGGAAACGTTTCGTACAGGTATCCATTCTACATGCTTTGATTTAACACGAATGTTTTTATTTGATTAATTTAATATAATGCTAGTGAATTTAAGCATTAAATTCTATTTTCTTAAAATTGAAATATATTTAACATGATATTTTTCTACAGAAAAATTAATAACCAATTAATTGGCATAAAATATTCTGCACGATATAATCTTACATTGACGATTTTTTAATAATGTATAGAATCTTAAACATACGATTCTTTCACTTATTAATTTGTTCCTAACAGCAATATTTTATGTGGAATAATTTAGGCCAAATATCTTTCAAAGAATTTTTTATTAAAAGTTGATAAGATCGATATTACCTTTGTTTCTAACAAATATTATTTTATATTTTATATTGAATTAAAAAAGCAATATGTTAAAAAAGTTTAAATTCATGTAAAATCGTGTACAATTAGTACATCAATATGCAACGAATCCAACCTTTTTGCTGTAATTTTTTTCAAAAATAAATCAATCTCATTAAGTAAAGTACGTGTTATAACAAAATTTAAAAAAAATTATAGTATTTTCATACGTAAATTTCATAAGCACGAACAAGCAAAATGGATTAGAAATCAAGAATTAAGTTTGCCTTTACAATCATTAGACAATTGGTTTCACGTTGACATTATCAACGACGAAAGGGAATAGTTGAAAGAATAGAACAAGTGATCGATCTGACAGTTGATCAGATATAGTTATCGCGTTCTTTTTGTAATATTACATTACTATTGTCGAAGATAAGATTTGAATGTTATTGAACTTTGCTTGAAAATTCTAAATTAGCGGATACTGACGATAAATATTATTTACATGTTTTTAATGTGCGTGGACTGAATTCCTACCTAAAATATATTCTTTCGGAATTAAGTTGAGTATTGTATTCCTTATTTCATCATTAAAAATAATATATTTATTTAAACTTACACGAATGGCCAATGAACGTGACATATTATTGCATTTAGATAACAAAATTTAATAGAAAACGCAAATGATCTTCTACAGTTATATGTAACGGAATTAACAAGCATGGTTCAAACTATTGCATAGAAAGTTTAACAAAAGTTCTAAGTTATCTTCGCAAGCTGCTAACAAACTTATTTATCTCATCAACCTATCGATTAGATCAAACTACATACATTAAACATTGTATCGCAATAAATATTGCATAAATAATCACAAACGCTTTTCATGATCGTCTCCTCGAAAAAAGAACCAAACTTCCTGCGAATTGCCCATTCATATAGTTTTTTCTTCGAAAACAAGAAACCACGACAAGAGAAAAAAAAAGAAAGGGTGATTAGTGTGCGAGGCGGTGCAAAAACAAGTTAACATGAGTCTTAAAAAAAGTTTAACGCGAGCACGCATATCTATTCGCGTCGCAGCAGTAGCGATTTTGTTGAGCGAGGAATGAAAAAAAGTGTCGCGCATGCGAGAGAGAGAGAGAGAGAGAGAGAGAGAGAGAGAGAGAGAGAGAGAGAGAGAATGACGCGGCCAATCTGTTGCCGGGTGTTACACGCTTAATGGGGGCGTTTCTATTTTTGCGTGGCGCCGCTAACGTGAGCGCGACCTTACTTTCTATTTTTCTATTTTTTTTCTTTTTAGGGAGAAGGAGAGACGAAAGTGGATTGCGAAGGCAGATGTTAGCGATTTTCGGGTATGTCGATTGAGATTAAAATATTCGGTTTTTTTTTAAGTGTAAACGGAAAAAATATTGTTTCTGAATTATTGACATCATGATTTTACAAATATTTTACATATGAGTGATTCTACAATTTTTAATGAAATACAAAACACAATTTTATACTTCGCTTGAACGTATCACTTATGCGAAAAATGTAGCATTTTGTAACATTGGTTTTGCTGCATACGTAATCATAGCATCATTTGTGAATCTCTTCGGGTCAATTTCACAACTCAAATCACCACACAAAGCGAATATTTATTAATTTACTTAACAAAGTTTGTTGAACGTGAGTCTGTCTACTTATAAATTTCGCTTTCATTTTTCTTTGTATATTTTTGCGCGTAGCAGCGATAGTTCGTGTATTTTGCTTTTCGTCACGTATTATAGCTCCTCAGGTTAAATGTCTGGTTTTCTCAAATACAGACCAGACCATGCGTCACGATACATAGTCCTCAAGAGCTTGAATTATTGTGTAGATGTTAAACTATAATTCGATGACGATGATTATTAAATGATTTTAACTAACCCACCAGCTCCTACGTTATCTCTTTTTCGGATGCGCAGTTTACTTCGACTAAGTAGCAGCATCATTTGTACTTTAATGTAGGTAAAATAAACTCTTTGTTACTTTTTTTATATTAATGTATCTGTAAATTTAAACCAAAAGAACAAAAATAAAATTCGATAAAAGCGCTAATAATACTCTAGAAATTGATTTGTAAAATGGTTCAATTAATGAGACACTTTAACTTGAGCTGATGACCCATTTACTAATTAATAATAACTTTGCAAAACTTTGTTAAACAAGTGTTGATACGTAATAGTAATTTGTACTTATAATTATAAATTCAATTACCTAATACAAAATGATTATAACTTTGATTTATAGCATTTTAGTGTATCTTATGCGGAAAAAGTTATTAAAGAAATTTCGTATTTTATAAAATTATGATTTTTAATTTTTGTAACTTTTTGAAAATAACAAAGTCTAATTAAAGCACTACTGTATCCGATTGCACTTAGGAAAATTGAAATCTTTATTGTAGGATTTTTATTATAGAATGTGTATTATTTATCAAGAAATCAATAAAACGTTAACGTGTTGCAAAGTCACGTTTAAAACAAAAAGCCATAAATTTTTATAGTTTAGTGTATATCTTATTACATGAAAAAAATTATTACAGAAGTTTTATTCTTTCCTCTACGAATAATGCACATCCTTTTTACCTCTAAATTGTTTTGTTAAAATTCTAATACAAAATTTTTAAGGAAAATATTAAAAATTGTTAAAAAGATTTTGAAAATTTTGGAAAACAATAATGACAAAAAATGAAACGAAAATAATAATACATTGAAAATTTTATTAAAATAACAAGAATATGATTGATAAAAATCACTATAGTCTACTATGTTCTACATTTTTGAAAATCAAATATCCAAACAAAAATAATATTATCCTATAATTACACATACAATGGTATAGAAAATCGCATCAAATATTACTACAGTACACTAAGAAGAAAAATAAAAGAAAGCTATAGAATTGAGAAATAAGTAGATTAAAAAGCAATAGTGCAGGACAGTAGTGTGTATGTGTTTATCTGACATCATGGAATGAAAAACTTGTTCTTTTTTTCTCATGGCGGATGGCCTCAAGAAAAAATAAGTCTCGAACACCCCCATTTATAATAATAATAATAATAATAATAATAATAATAATAATAATAATAATAATAATACTAATAATAATATGCATATGACCATTATATTTATTCATTCATTTAAAGTAATAAATCTCGTGCTTGCAAAGTATTGTTTAGTCATATTTATCATGCATACTGTGCAACACTCTGAGGAATAGGTCAATTAAAAAAAGAAATTACGCAAGTATTGTGACACAAACACAAAAGTTCAAAGAGCATGAAGAAATAGTTTTACGATTTTTTCCATACATATTCAATAAAACAATATTTGCGATACTATTCTCGTATTATAGTGACGAGAATTATTCACCGCTTAAATCACTTTTCTTTCTTTAATGTCGTGTACTATACAAAACCATCCGCGCGATACAATACTCCACTTGTATCACAGGATGGGCAAGTAGTAGATTTTGGTGTGTATTAGTTCATCTGTTTATCATTCGTCCAGAAGATCATCATCAAAATTTACATCCTGAAAATTAAAATTAAAGATATTATTTATTTCCTTTACAAATTAGACATCTATTTAAAAGAGTTCGACAATTTGTCGAGAAAATTGTCAAACAAAAAGAGAGAGATTGTTTTCTAAATTGAACCAGAAATTTTTCAATAATATTTCAGCAAGCTCGTTGTGTTTACGGTTGACTTTAAAATTCGCACGAACGGGGAGAATGTTTGTAAATTGAAAAAATACCTTTTGAAAACTGGATACACAACTACTGAACTTGTCGAGTGATTTATGGCTTTTTGCTTTAAACGCGACTTCGTAACACGTTAATGTTTTATTGATTCTGCAATTTTAACAACTACAGTGCTGAATAATTAATTGAACAGTGCCATGGCATTTCTATAGGTATAAATATTAGTAATCTACTAGTTGATGAGAGGAATAAAATAAATATTAAATTGTTCAAAGTTTTGAGCCTGGAATGACTTTAGGTTACAACCCACGTTTAAAAAATACGAATTGTAAATATATATCTCACGAGAAATAAAAAAAAATCAAATGTTGAATTCAGCTTAACAGTTAATACAATTAATTATGAAAATAGAATAAATATTTCGAACGTACAGTAATGGTGAAATACTCTACGATATGATACATGCATCCCCTAAAATCAAGAGATGGTAACAAGATATCCGTATAGGATTTCCTATATTTGTATTTTGAAACTTAGAGCCATTAGCCAATTAATCCAACTCTTCTTTTAGCCTCAGGCCATTCATTCTCTCTGTGCATTATACGTTTCTCTCTGTATAATATTAATTTTTAGAAATACTCTTATTTACGCAATCAAGTTAATTGTCGATACAATATTAACTTTAATCATTTTTCGCGAATTTATCTACATTAAAGAATACCAACGTCATACTTTCGAACAAGGAAGAAAAAAATCTATTGAAACTAAAGGAGAGAGAAAGAGAAATCGAACGTGCGCTCGCAATTAGCTCTCGCTTCGCCTGTTTTGACGTCTCTCGTTACGCGTGCAACACTCTCGGAGCGCGCAAAAGTGCTCTTTCGTTTTCTCTCTCTTCTCTTATTTTGCGCTGAAGGCGGGTGCAACGTGCACGTGTGTGCTTTAATGCCTCGAGTTTCGGACTTACATTTAGCCGCTCCGTGGCACAGGCTGCAAAGCCAGCAAACATGCAACAATATAAAGTCATATCGATAGTCAGCCGAAAGTGATTCATGAGCCAGTTCTCGTATTATTTTGTCGCTTAAGCGCTTTTTATGCTTCAGTTTAGTGACAGATGTTTACTTTTATAGATAATGTGCGAATGATTAACATAATGTGATATTTTGCAAATGTTGTTAATTTGAGTGTGAGTTTATTACTAATTTTTTTTTTTCGATTTGACGATTCTTTTTAAAGCACACCATCTTTAATACAATTGAAATAGTAAATAATTTTATGAAACAAACGATTGTTCATTTTCTTTGAAAACAGACATCTTTTAAATTACCAACACACAAAACAGCTATCAACCACACGCGCAACAACAAATTCAACTATTAAATACTTACACTTGTATCTATATTTTCATCGATTTCTAAGTCGAGATCAAGGTCATCGTCATCGACTGTAAGTGGTCTCGAGGTACTCGTTTTTGTTGGCGCTACTGGTGCTGCTACTGGTGCTGCTACTGACGTTGACTTATTGATATCAACGTCATTTAGCGCCACCGATGACAAATCATCGTTTGATGCTGTTGGGTGCTCTGTAGATTGTAACACTTCAGCTTGACTGCTGGTACTTGCACCTCCCGTCGCTGCTAACCATTCTTCCTTAGCGTTTCGCTTAATATTTGGCTATAAATTTGAAGGGATTAAGTATTAAGAATATAACTTGAACCACATTTTACTTCCGATTTAGAATAAATATTATTTTTTAATAAATAATTAACAATCATATTAATGCGCTTTTTATCTTTCTCAATGGCAAAATCATAAAATTTCTCTTCATTGAAAAGTGGAAAATTCTATTTTTTTACAGATAATAAAGACAAATTTACATTTACCGATTCAAAATAAAAAGGCCAATTCATAAGATCTATGAAAAATGAAAATATAATAATAAATTTACTGTCAATGTAGGATATTCTGAAGCTGGAATCCTCTTCTTATTTTGCTCCCTCATGAACTTTTCAATTTCTAAAGATTCTCTGTATCCAGGGAATAAGTTCTCATATTTCTCGGGATCAGCTAAACTTTGACCTGCTTTTTCACTAACTGCCGATAGCTTTTCCTTCCATAATGCTACAATAGATGAAATCTTGCTAGGTGCATATGTTCTGGCAAAAAAGGCAGCCTCGGGTATACGATCGGTTTTTATCAAAATCTCCAGACACTTGTCGACGTCACCAAGTATGAAAAATGATAGAAAGGAAATGTTGTTCTTGCCTGACTGATCCGATGACAAGGCTAATTAAATTTTCATTGTGAAATTAGTTAAGAAGGAATTAAAAAATGTTTTCAAATATTCTATTACGTAATTTTCAGACAGATACCTAGTTTTTCAACCATATCAGCGTTTCCAGTACTAGTAGCAAGAAGCAGCAGACCGGCGTAGTCTTCAGCTTTGTGCAGACACTCTTGAGCGAGTTCGAGTTTACCTTGTTGCGTAGCTAAGGCAGCAAGCTGTCGCCATTTTTGTTGGCTACTTGCTTCCTTAGCCAGTTCATTAGCGATTTCAAGATCTCCAAGGGATAACGCCAATTCAAATCTATGCTCTGGATCGGTTGACACTGCAAGAGCTTGTTTTTTGAAACCCTAGGAAAATTCATGAATGTTAGTAGACATTGAATTGATTTTTTTTTGTTAATACGAAAGCTTTGTAATACCTGTTTCTCTAAGAAATGAGCAACTCGAGTCCGATGCTCTTTGGGAACAGTTGGCAAAACTTTGTTTGCCGTGTCAAAATCTTTGCGCATAACGGCCGTCTGATATTCTAATACCGATAGCAAAAGGGAATAAGATACTACAGACAACTCTTTGTCACATAGATACAATCTGTTATCTTTGGGTACGTATCCAAGCAAGTACATCGGTCTGTCCAAGTGCGAAACTGTTACGACCTCTCCCCCGACGAAATAATTTACACGATTGACGCTATTCGTGTAGATAAAACAGTCACCAACCCAAAGACCAGTTTTTACAACTTCGCTCATTTCGGCTATCATCTGAAAAATAATAATTATTGTAACGAATTGTAGGCGGGGTTTGGTTGAATTTTAGTAATTACCTCGAATGCGTCTTCAACATCCTCAGCATTTTCACCGGCATTCTGGATGGCCTCAGCCTGGTACTTCAGAATGAAATACTGGTCGGCTGTAGCTAATGCTAAAAGCGAGGCATTTTCAGCCCAGTAAACATGGGTCGGTTGAATATCGATGCGTCGCACTAATTTGAACGTATCCCAGTCGTAAAACGAAAGACCAGAGCTCGAGTAAATTCCAAGGAGATGGCCACCGAAAATACCTAAGAAGAAAGATCAATACATATTAGTGTAGTAGTATTAAATATGTTGATTCAGAAACTTAAAAAAACTACAATAATTCTGAAACTTACTATCGCATCCAAAATCAGGCCTGAAGCTCTTCTTCTCTTTGAAGTTTTTAAAAACTTTGACAGTGGTACCGCTTTCCCTGACAGCATACTGGCTTGAATCTGCAGCCCAAACAAACTCAAAAGCCTGTCCAAAAGCTTTGTTTCTCAAGGCCATAGATGTATAAATAATATATTCTCCATCACCACAAACTACCACGAATCTTCCATTAGGATTGTGCTGAATTGTTTGTGGATAGATCTCACAAGCACCCATATCTTTGACAGTTAATGGCAACTTTTCACCATCCTGAGCTTCTTCTCCAAGTGCTTTCAAGTTGACTTGCTGAATTTCACTGTGTTTTGCCCATACAATTTTACCACCTAAACAAAAAATTTTTTAATCATAATGATCTTTAGAGTGAAACACAAAGGTTATTGCATATAAGATGATTATACCAAGAGAATCCATAGACACAGCTGGTTCCTCACGACCAACTTTTACCATGACACTACCTTCATCATAACCAATAGCTACATTATTGGAACCTTTTGTAGATGTAATTGTCCAAACTCTTTCAAACCCATAGTTGAGACGAGTCTCAAGCCTATATGTACCAGCATGCCAAATCCTTACAGTGCCATCCTCTGATCCAGTCAGAACAATTGGCAATTCAGGATGAAAGCAGACAGCTGTAATATTTTCTGAGTGTCCTTCCAATGTCTGAACACATGTTTTGTTCTGATAATCCCAAATTTTAACGTAACGATCATCAGCACCAGAAATGAGATAAGGCTTGTCACCACCATGATAGTAATCAACGCAATTTACACCCTTCTCATGACCATCCAAGGTAAAATTTGCTGTTGAAGATCCCAATTGCCAGACTTTTAGGGTTCTATCTAGAGATGCACTTGCAAATGTGTTATTATCCTTGGGATTAAATACAATTTGCATGACGTAGTGAGTGTGGCCTTCGAAAACTTGTTGGCACAGCCAAGACTTTTCCCAATTCCAAAGTTTTATAAGCATATCATCTGTAATTAATTTTAAACATTAATTAAATCATTCAAGATATGATATTTGAATTATCAAAACTGCTTGTATCACTCTACCATTAATATAACAAAACAAATTTTTACTCTCCAATTTTTACTGTTATCAATAATATATAAATACATACCACTACTAGTTAAAATGAATGGTTGAGTCGGATGAACTATGATACATCTGATATAATCACTATGTGCTTCAAAAGAGTGAATTCGCTCTAGTGTATTATAATTGAAAATTCTGATCTGCATATCATCTGAACCAGAGACAACCCAGTTCTTCCTTGGAACAAATTTTGCAGATCTGACAGGAAGATCACAGACTTCAAAAGTCTTGACAAGTGTTTGTGTGTCATGATTCCAAATATTGACATTCCCTTGGTATAGAGAACATAGCATCCATGGCTCTGTTGGATGGAGGTCAACACATTTAACCCTATCTGAGCGAGCTGTGAGCTTACGCTTGATGTCTAGTCCCAGTGGCTGGAAAAAAAATAGTAAATCAATGATTGATTCTTTAAATTGTATAACTAAATTGTAAAGATTTGTATTTTAAATTCTATCAATAAAAACTATTTCATGTGTCAATAATTCAAGGTAGATCTTTTAATATATTCTCGCAACGTCACCAAATTCAAACAGCTGGAGAATTAATTTAATTCAGAAAAAAAGTAATGATAAATAATGAAGCAGAAGGTAGGACTTGCACATGATGTATAGGATAGTCAGGTATAATCACTTGTATATGTTAAGTTAAGATTCGCCGATTGTTGTAAAATGCATAATAAAATTTAAAAGCCGACTAACCCCTTGAACAAGCTACACGCTTACCATTTTGATGAGATTTTGTTTGACAGGATATCAGTAGTAGGTGGTTCACGTATATTAGTTGAGAGATTAGTACAAGAGCGGGGGATCTAAACGTGAAACCGCTGCCATCGATAGGAAAAAAGTTCTCTCAAGAAAGGTATACTGGCGTTGACGTGGAGACGTGGCGACCACCGATGAGTTGATCGTATCGAGAGATCTTTGCCCTTTCTTGCATGCTGTGTATGGCTAGTATTTCAATATGGCCGAAATGTGTGGCGCACAACTGCATATTTTTGAATGGAGTAAAACAATGAATTATGCTAATAGCGATGTAATAATTTATATATATATATAAGAATAAATAATTTTTTGTTGATATGTATTATCATTTCATGAATTTGTTATGAGACACGGAAGTCGGATAGTAAACATCTAACGTCTGCCGGGGTTATCAAAATAAAAAACTAATTGTTTGTTGATGTATCCTTGATTGCGCTGGATCCAAGCAATGATAAAAACATAAATTTACTATATTACCGTTATAACTACAATAAGATATTATGTTTTAATTTTTTTCACCATTGTACACGTCTGAATGGCCGTGATTTCTCTCCTTATTTCGCCTACGTATAGATGTCGGAGCTCCGAGGAAGACGAAAAATAGAAAATGTAAATAAGTACAACAATGTACCTAACTTTTTATTTTATATTATTTCCAAGAAAAAAAGTTATCAAATCAAGTCACAATTAATTAAGTAAATTTACTCTTTACTTGATTTGTTAAAAAAAAGATTCATATTTTGTACATAATTATTAATGATACATTTATGACTAATTTTTCTAAAAAGCTATGTAATTATCAAATAGTGTAAGCTTCAAATGTACGTTTTCTCATAGATTTATTATTAAACATTTCCATAAAAGTTATCGGACTATGTTATTTGGATATTGTAATTGTAGGTCAATAGTCGTTGAATTTTAGAAATGTTATAAGCTGTTTAAGGATCTATGGATGATTTTCAATTTAATTATTTTTTTTTATGGAAAATCATTAAATATATACTTTGCATTGCAAATCGCGCACGCCTAAAGGGAAAAGAAATCGCGTTCTATTTTCTGAATTAAATTAATGCGTGGTGGATGACATTTAATCATAAAAAAATTATACTAATGCATCAAAGCGTATCTTAAGTGAATACACGAAGATATCATAAAAACAAGAAAAATTTCTTTCTTACCATCAAAATATAAGGTAAAAACAAACAAAAAAAAGGAGAGCAAACAGCGATATGAGTATTCGCAGTCACCCATCCCAAACTTCTTTTTCTCCTATTCGTAACGCATCTAGGTGTGTTGTACACTTGTGGCTATTCTATCATTATACCGTGTCCGAATTCCGCGTTTCAAATTAGTTTTGTTGTAAAGAGGGAAAATAAGAAAATTTTCAATTATACAATATATATAACTATTGTTTGGTCATCAGCATATTAAATTGATGTTAGCCTCGGGAAGTACTGATTATATATTTTCAAGTACAATTCGATATGTAGCCTAGTAGTAAAAGTAAAAATCCAAAAAAAGAGGTATTGTAATAAATATAATTTATATTTTCATACTATTTTTTGAAGAATTAAGAAAAATGTAAACTATGTCATAAATTGTCAAATCCTAATTAGTTTATTCTTATTTGAGCTCTGTAAGTCCATAGGTCATATGGTAAATTTAGTAAATTATAATTCTTGTTTGAATCATTTTAAATTCTTTATTATATAGAATTTATATTTATTATATAGAATAGCTAGAACAGCTGACAATAAATGAGTCAATAAATATAAGATAATTATATCTAGAGCCTAATATCAAATTGAAATTTCCAGAGCAAATTGAACAGAATGTAAAGAGTTGACTTCGGTCCAAACAGAGTCTAACACTGAAAATGTTGACAGTAATTGTGAAACAGTGTCAAAGTATGTTTAATTATTAAAATTTTTTAAATGTTTTACATTACAAATGTAACATATATATAAGTTGTAAATAAATAAACTAAACTAAACTATTAAAATTTTTTAGATTGATATTTATTGTTTTTAATTCTTTTTTAATATAGATATTACAGGTCTGAACCAAATGCTGAACTGTAAAAATTTACTGCTGACGATAACAATGACAACGTCAACTCTTTATATTCTGTTCAATTTGCTCTAGAAATTTTAATTCAGCATTACGCTTTATACATTGTCTAGCTATAATTAAAGAATTTAAAATTATTCAAACAAGAATTATAATTTATTAAATTTACCATATGACCTATGGACTTACAGAGCTCAAATAAGAATAAACAATAATTAAGATAAAATAAATAATAATTAAGATTTGACAATTTATGACGACATGTTTACATATTTTTCTTAATTCTTCAAAAAATAGTATGAAAATATAAATTATATTTATTACAATACCTCTTTCTTTGGACTTTTACTTTTACTACTGGGCTACATATCGAATTGTACTTGAAAATATATAATCAGTACTTCCCGAGGCTAACATCAATTTAATATGCTGATGACCAAACAATAGCTATATATATTGTATAATTGAGAATTTTCTTATTTTCCCTCTTTGTAACAAAACTAATTTGAAACGCGGAATTCGGACACGGTATAATGATAGAACAGCCACAAGTGTACAACAGACCTAGATGCGTTACGAATAGGAGAAAAAGAAGTTTGGGATGGGTGACCGAATGCTCATCGCTGCTGAGCAACAAATGCATACATATTGTATGTATACATTACACGCTACTCTTGGGTACACTGAGTCTATCTTAATTTTCTATATTCATTGGTTTGGTTGATAAGTTTAAGTTTATGGTTCTGGGCAGATTCGGCTTATGCGCAGAGAAGGTTGATATTGATTGTTGATCATCATTTATTGTAGTTATTTATACAACTATCAAGCGTATGTAACTGAATTAAAGTTTTATTAGTCAAATAAAAGGTTAAAATCAGTTTTCATGTAATTAGAGGTATGTTATCTTTTCTTTTATAATAATGCTTAACTTTTTCATTTTAATTATAACCTTTTTTAAAGTTTTCCTGTAATGCATGAATAAGTCTTATTCTTACAATTAGTTTTTTCATTGATAATTACATTTTTATGACTATTGTTATGATTATATTTTTCAAGATGCTTGTGTAGAACTTGACAATTTAGTGTAATATTAGTACGGCCTATTTGCATTTTGTAAACTTTTTAGGTATTGTGATCCTAATATTGTATAATAATTACTTTAGATTATTTACATAATTAATTTTAGAAATTGTTAAGATGTCGGGAGAAGAACCTGTTTCAAATGTCTCAACAGAAAATACAGGACAACCAATAACAAACTCAATGCAAGGAACAAGTAATAATGTAGAAACAAATAACACTCCAAGACCAGATCAAGCCAGCAGGCAAAATAATCTTCAACGAATTCAACAGCGGAAACAGCAAGTTTTCAATTTATCACAACTAAAAAAATTACTGAAACTGGCTAACTACAGTCAGTGCCAGGAAAAAGATTGCAAGTGTAGTGGTTGGAAAAGTACCCAAACACTAGCTAAATCTCCCAAAAGTGAAGCACAACCAATTGCTACATTTAGTGATCCATGTAGAAGTTGTGATCATACCTTGGAGAATCATATTTCTCATTTGATGTCTTTAAGTGAAGACACTATAAATAATTTATTAGGAATGGTGGTAGATGTTGATAACATTTTTATGGGTATGCACAGAGAAGAGGATCCAGATACAAAAAGAGTGTATTATTATCTGTTTAAGCTGTTGAGAAAAAGTATATTAGGTATGACAAAGCCATCAGTGGAAGGACCATTAGGACAACCACCTTTTGAGAAGCCTAGTATATCAAAAGCAGTGACAAACTTTGTCGTTCACAAATTTACACATCTGGGTCAACGAGAATGGCAATCAATGTATGATCTGGCAAAAATGTTTCTACATTGTTTGAATCATTGGAATTTTGAAAGTCCAAGTGCTCGAAAAATACTTGTTAGTCAAGATGAAGCAGCTGCTTATAAGATCAATTATACTAGATGGCTGGTATTCTGCCATGTCCCTGCATTTTGTGATTCATTGCCTCACTTTGACACAACACTTGTGTTTGGCAGAACTTTATTACAAGCAGTTTTCAAATCAGTATGCAAGCAGCTTATGGACAAATGTCACAATGAAAAAGAAAGAATGTCAGCTGAAAAGAGGGTTCTGGTGTTAAACCACTTTCCCAAGTATGTACATAATTTAATATTTCATACAATAAAAAATATTTGATATTTAATATTGTTCAATTAATGTATATATAACATATTTTAGATTTCTTTCAATGCTTGAAGTTGAAATTTATACAGAAAGTTCTCCTATTTGGGATCCAGAATACAAGCATATTCTTCCTCCACATTTGCAAACATCTGTAGAAACGAAAATGAATCAGAATCGCCGAACAGGAGGTGAATTCGAAAAAGTTACAGTCATGCCAAATGATAGAGACAATTTTACAACGATTAATCTTAGTCCAGGTATGAAGAAATTGCAGGGTAAAAGAGTACACACGGAAATGCGAAACGACGCGAAACGAAGAAAGACCGAAGAAGTTTTTGAGGACCTGTCAGAAGAGACTGTAACGAAAATTATAGCAACTATCAAAGATCCTAACTACATGTTTGGATTGGACGCGATATTTCCACCTAATGCACCAAGAGATGAAACTCCAAAAATGGAGGAAGCTCGTGGAATTATCGAGTTCCACATTATTGGCAATAGTTTGACACAACCAGTGTCAAAACAAACGATGCTTTGGCTGATAGGTCTTCATAATGTTTTTAGTCATCAGCTCACCAGAATGCCAATGGAGTACATTTCACAACTAGTCTTTGATCCGTACATATTACTTTTAAATTAATTTATCTCCACATTGCTTCAAACTAAAAAAAATAATATACTTATTTTACAGAAAACACAAAACTCTTGCTTTGATCAAAGACGGCAGACCTATTGGTGGCATTTGCTTCCGTATGTTCGGTTGCCAGGGTTTCACCGAAATCGTATTCTGCGCCATGACGTCCGAGCAGCAGGTCAAAGGATACGGCACTCATCTGATGAATATGCTCAAAGATTATCATATTAAACATAACATTCTGCACTTTCTCACGTTTGCCGATCAATTTGCTATTGGCTACTTCAAGAAGCAAGGCTTTAGCAAAGAAATTAAGTTACCGCGTACAACGTATCAGGTGAAAATTCTGATCTACGGAATCTTTGATATTTTATAAAATATTTGGAATTTAAATGGAATTTATAATAGTTGGATTTAATATTCAATCACTCAGGGTTATATTAAGGACTACGAGGGTGCAATGCTGATGCACTGCGAGTTAAATCCAAAGATAGTCTACACGGAATTCACTACAGTAGTACGCAAGCAACGCGAAATCGTTAAGCAGTTGATCTACCAACGTCAGCAAGAAATTCAAAAAGTTCATCCTGGTCTGACGTGTTTTAAAGAAGGCGTACGTGGTATTCCTGTGGAGGCGATTCCCGGAATTCGTGAAACTGGCTGGAAGAATTATGCTCAGACGAGGACGAGAGGTGTCGCAAAAGGATCGCAAAGTTCGGAACCTATGGAGGCATGTCTTGATGTTACTGATTCGCTGCACAATGCGTTAAAGAGCGTTTTAACTAGCGTGAAGAATCATGGTACTGCCTGGCCATTTTTGAAGCCTGTTGATAAGAATGAAGTGCCTGATTATTATGACCACATTAAGTATCCAATGGGTGAGTTTATTACCACTATAACATATTCATTAATAATATAATAAGTATACATCGTTTAAATGCAATGAATTACTAATAAAACGTATAATAATCAATATTATTCCAGATCTCAAAACAATGACAGAGCGCCTAAAGTCACGATATTACGTCACGCGTCGTTTGTTCATTGCCGACATGACGCGAATCTTTACCAATTGTCGATTGTATAACGGACCAGATACAGAGTATTACTCGTGTGCCAACTCGCTAGAGAAGTACTTCCAGACGAAGATGAAGGAAATCGGCCTTTGGGACAAATAGTCGAGAGCAGTGGGGCCGCTGATAAGCGACTGCCTTCACCCGACCTCATCCTCGTCCTCATCCTCAACGTCATCCTCTGAGTCCGTACTTTTCGAGGATATACCTTGTATTGAGATTGATGATTGAACAGTGATATACTTGGTTTTTGAATACTGAAATGGGTATTGAATGAAATCGGTATCGAAAAATTGATTCAAATTGAATGATTCTGCATTTACATCGCTTGGATAAAAAAAATCAATTTGATTTACGTGTGAATATGGGCATGTTGAATATATGACTTAGATTTAGTTATATTATAAATAAATATGACAAAAATACTAGGCTTAAAGAAGAAGAGAGAAAACAAATGTTGGCAGGACGCTTACCAGTTCCAACAAATTAGACTGAAATGGTGTGAATTAAGTATATTCAAATGTACTTTAAAACTAATATCGACGCACAAAAATTTAAAAGTAAAAGAGCATAAATGTATTTTATTGTTCATCTGTCAGAAAAAATACCGATTCGGGATTGATTTGTCTTTTTAAAGTTTTTCACTTTTATCAATTTTTTAATATTTGTTGTACTATACAACAATCGATTTGCATGGCGTTTCATCGAATTTGAATGAAATTTCATACATTGAATTAATGTATTGATTTTTTGTGTGATTTGTTGACTGCCAAAAGAATGTGTAAAGAACACGATGAAGATCGGAAGAATTATGTTATGTAGATGCCGCGGCGGTTAGTTTCACAGTCTAATTAATGTCATTAAACAGGCAGTTAATTAAGGAATTTAATACGCCAAGGAGCGGACTTGATAGTGTGCTCATGGCTATGGAACGTTGAACGTTCCCTCGGCTCGGCTCTTTTTTACCTTATAAGGCGAGATCGCTCCCGGAAAAATTCCGACTGATCCGCACTCTTTTCGAACGCTGTACGCGTATAGATTTTTTTTCCTTACCATCACAGCGTGACAAACGCTTTTCACCTTGAAAATGGGATGAAAAAAATTTTGATTATACTTATATTTATCATGAATAGTATCACGGATAGAAAGCACATTATTTCTGATTGACTATGGGAATGTACTTAGAAAATTATTGGTGTTAGAATTTTATGATTGAGCAAATTGACGGATACACAACCCGTAATAAAATAAGTGCGATTAACCCATCCAAAATCTAAATAAACCAGTAATTAGTTGCATAGTTCTTATAAGAAATGAGTTTTTAGTATAAGTAATAAAAAGAGAATTGTGCTTTGTGAAACGTTAAAAGATAGATTTTTGTAGATATTCTCTCTGATGTATGATAAAAACATTTATTTCCAATACATAAAACGTTTGCTTGAAAAAGATATTTTTTTATCGATTTTTATTTCCTTTTTATCAAAATAATTTTTCTGATTAATTTTCCATCATAGCGGATTTAAATCACAAAACATTTGAAAAAAATATTTTTTTCAGCTTATATTTTTCTATTATCAAAATAATTTATTTTATTTAATTTTACATCGCAGTTAACGGATATTCAAATCGAAGTGAAAGTTAAAAATCGCTGAATATCACGAGAGCATGAAATAGTTCTCGTTGTGAACTACAAACGTTGTAAATAAATTATTCGGCAAGGTGTGAAAAGCGGAAGTTCGCATATACATTACAAACACTGATGAGCTTGCGTTTAAACGATAGATACGTAGATTAATATTGTATAAAGCCTTCTGATGGTTTTGATTACAACAAATTTTCGCAATACACAAATTAAAAATGTTTTCTTTTTTAACTGACCCACCTTTTCCAATACAATCACAAAGAGTCGACAAACCATTTGGATATTCAGATTAGAACGTAACAATGTGCGAAAGAATTAATATTGAAAGCTGTGCACATGGATGCGTGCAATAAATTTATGCCACTAAGTAATTGTAACTAATTAGTGTGCATGCGAGATACCTCACAATGAATAGGCAATCAGAGCAATTGAGAAAATTTATTCTTACAGTGGATTTGATTTTCTCCACTCTTGCATATTCTAGTTCATCTTAACATTTTATTTAAAAAGAAAAAAAAAGGAAACCTATTTCGAGATCTAATTCTCAACAGTCAATAATTTGTTCTCGATCCATTGATCTGAAATTGTAATTTCGTAACCTACAGATGAATAAACTACACGAATCAGTTAATTATCGAAGGTCTTTTACTCTCATTTAATTACAATTTAGGCTGATTGTTTCCAATTGGTCCGTCCGTGAAACATTGTCACACTTCAACGTTTTTGTCAAAAAACTCGGTCGATGAAACACACAATTCCTCGTTGAAAGCATTAAACTAGAATCAGACATACAAGGATAGCTTTTTTTAGGTGCAAAATTTTTGAAGTAAATTTAGTCCGACTAATTACGTTTAGTTTAGTACACGTTTGTCACCAATGCATCACTTTGATCAAGAATTATCTTCTTCGTAACCTAGGCAAGTTTCAAGCCTTGTATGAGTAATTTGGATAAAAATATCAAAGTCTTGCGGTATTGCAAAAATAACACGTCTAACTTCTTTCGAAAAGGAAAAGAATCACGTTGAAAATAGAAAATAGCTATCCACTCATATAGTTAAACAAACAACTTGCGCTTTCATTTTTGCATTCAATTAATTTTCTATCTCGTTCATAAACGTCTGAATTGGTAGATCTTCGTGGAAAGTGCTCTGTCCATCACAATGATGAATGGTTCGTTCGTTCCACACGCGCAAAGCAAAGAAGTTTTATATTTTTCTTCTACCAAAAGCAAATATATCAAAATTAAATAATCTATTAGATGATATTTATTTCGCTGTACGTTGCATTATCTCGCTATTTCATTGACAGCGCAATAGTTTTTAAAGGATTATTCATTATCTATATATCAAGCACGCTAATTTGTTATTTCCACTTTGCAAAATGAAACGTTTATTTTGCTTTTGGTCAATAATTGTCTGATTATTATCAAACGATTACAAAGTCGCTCAGCCGATTTAGAAAATTATTTATGATTACTAAGATGTTGCATTATTTGGCGTTTTTATGGTTGAATGCATATCGACAGTAAAAATTCACTACTAAAAGTTTTTAATAAAAAAAATTGAATTTCTTGCGTGGAAATATAAATATACTAGAAATTTTTGATCAATTTGACTAGATTGATAGATAAGCTAGATAACGAGTTTTCAATGCAAGCAAAAACTATGTCACTTCATGGCTCAATAACGTCAGAAAGTGCCACTTAATAGGTTCTAAATTCAAGCTCATAAAATCCCCTTTTTTAGTCGAAACGATAACGCTCGAATTATTTTACAAGATTTTCATTAGTATTGTAAGGAAAATAATCGCCAACTCGGGCACCGAAACGAAACGTCAGTTTGCAAAGCCACTAATTTCACCGATAAAATTTCTGTCGGACGCGCAATGAATGCACATTCGTTGTAACTGTAAACACTCGTACGCGAGGAACAATCGCATCGATCGTCAATCAAAGAGGCAAAAAAAGAAATCCTCGCTTTTCTCCTCGCGCACCCGCGCGCATTCCTACGATTTTCGAGAGAAAACTAACATCTCGAGCGACTTTCATCGCGAGGCAAAAAAAAAAAGGAAAAAAAGAGGCGGAGATTCCGATTCGCCTGGCAGCCAATTTGCAGCGCGAGCTTACTACGCTCTGTTTCTACGCTGTTATATAAATATTATTATAGGAAATAACTGAGCAGACAGGTTGGCAGGCCCAGCTTGGTTTGGCTGTTGATATCGCGGTGATAGCGTAGCACACGCAATTGCAACCAATTAGGCTGATTCAATCGAAAGAAAATGTAGCGTTGCTAAACGCTTAAAATTAACGAGTCGCGTTATTTATCATCCGCTTAATGGGCAGTGCATCGCGCGAAGGGGAGTCGAGTAGAAAGCGATTACACTATGCGCAGCTGGAAATGAATAAAAGAAACACATAGCGCTGCAAGTTTGGGAGTGACCAATTCGCGGCGTTAGTTGTTCGTGCCCTGTTTGCGCTGCACATATATTGACGTATCCCGAAGGCGCGATAAAAAGCGGACGCGCGCTTTTCGACACGCTCCCTCGTACGTACTTAGTGCGATGTGGTTTGTAGTTTAGCAATCGTCACGACCATCGAATCTGTCGTATTACATGAACGAAAAGTACGCGATCGGATTTTTGTACGTAAATAGATGTATGTAGATGGATAACGAGAGCGAAGTCGTTCAAGTATATATATTTTGGAGCAACCCGTTCGGTACGATGATGATTCATTTGCTCCTGCCCCGATATTAACGTCAGTGAGTCCTTGCGTATAAGGATAAACTTTAACCAACGTTGGCCGTTTATGCCTAGGCGTAGTTGCTCAACGTGGCAGGTTCGTTCAATTTTCATCGACATTACCATCTGTGCGTCCGAAAGAAGAAAATCAGGGAAAATCGACGTGAAACGAAAGCCCCGTAAAGAAAGACTCTCGGCGAGCGTCGAGCAAGGCTCGGAGAGAATTGGTCGGACCCATCGTCCCAAAGGTGGCAAAGTCAGTCGTCCCACTTTTACAGCCAAGATCGCTCGCTGCAGTGTGTCAAGGCCGCGAGGAAGTGACGATCCGAGCGAGTGCAGTCCGGAAGAGCCGCGCGAAAAATCGGCCGAGTCTCGCGGGGGGCAAGGAAGGGGAGACGATATAAAGTCGGCCGAGCGAAGACTCGGCGCGCTTCTAATCCCGCAAGAGCCGCAAAGTGTTTGTGCTGTACTGTTGAGCCTTCGGTGTTCGTTGCTCTTGCTCTCTAGTCATTTGTGTCACCATAAGGAATATCCGTAAGTCGCTGATCGGTGTCAGTTCTCATTATCGCTTCGTTGTACCAAGCAATCGAGTGAAGTCTGTTCTGCGCGATTGGGATTTTAGTTTTGACGGCCAGCATGTGCGACGACGACGTAGCTGCTCTTGTGGTTGACAATGGATCTGGCATGTGCAAGGCCGGATTTGCTGGCGACGATGCACCTCGGGCTGTTTTTCCGTCTATCGTCGGCAGGCCTCGTTATCAGGTGATTTCATTTTTATTTTATCCTCTTGTAACATATTAAAAGAAAGATTTCCCAAACTGCTTATGGCAAGATGTTATCTTTGTGTTTGGTTTTCTCATCGCCATTGAAAATATTTTTCCGATAATTTTGGTCATCTTCAATTTTTCTTTGTTACGTCCATTTTCAATACGCAAATCATATTATTTGATTATCATTCTACGCAACACGAACGTTCCCTCCAGCACTCGGCGCTTGCAATGAATTGAGCGATCCTATTACAACACCCATTCGATACAACTGAATTATTACTTGTCAACGTTAAAAGAGCTGTGGGCTTGAAATTTTTAATTTAGAATGGCATTTGCTACGTTGCAAACGAAAGTGTCCGTGAACGGCAAAACTGAGAGATTATGGTTTAGGGTATCATGGTCGGCATGGGCCAAAAGGACTCGTACGTGGGCGACGAAGCCCAATCGAAGCGCGGAGTGCTGACGGTGAAATATCCGATCGAGCACGGCATCGTGACCAACTGGGACGACATGGAGAAGATTTGGCATCACACGTTTTATAACGAGCTGCGCATCGCACCCGAGGAGCATCCCGTTCTGCTCACCGAGGCGCCGCTCAATCCAAAGGCGAACAGGGAAAAGATGACTCAGATTATGTTCGAGACTTTCAACTCGCCAGCCATGTACGTCGCTATTCAAGCTGTCCTCTCGCTTTACGCGTCGGGCAGGACCACTGGAATTGTCCTCGACAGTGGTGACGGGGTTTCTCACACTGTACCCATCTACGAGGGTGAGTTCCTTGATTATCTCGGCCTTTTTACCGATAACGATTTTTTTCTTTGCCACTACAAGTCCTTCCGCGTATAACGTCGTTATTGCTACTCTCTCAATTGAATCAAACGGCTGCTTCTTTTCACGCTCTGGATCGCCTCCTCGTAATGCCTAATTTATGCTGTGCCTCGCGAACAGAATGTTTACTTTAATTGGCAATTAATTTTTTTTAAATAAAATGCGTTAACTAGGTAGGCGTTTCAACTTGAATTATGACAATTTAAAGAAAGCCGTTTTAAGATCAAGGTCGCGGTCGTTTCGCCTTTGCCCTTTTTCGGTTAATTGCACTCAAGGATCTCTCGATCAATTAAGCCCAAGTGATACAGAAATAATCAATGTATATGCCTTTAATTGACTAGAGACATCGTTGATTTGCCAAATAGGAAATTGAAAATTAGTAGGTAATGATTCATTATAAAACTTATTAAATGGCTTAACTCTATTTTTTGTAAGAAATAGGGACGTCTTTATAAATAAGAGTAGTTTTGATATTGTTATTATCGAATTTACATTCGTCCATGTAAACTGAGTTATTTTATTAGATTTGTACATGATAATCGGATAAATGCAGTAGAGATTTGAAATATGATTTCATAACTACTTACATTTTCTTTTTTTTGGTTCAATTTTAATTGTTTCCAGAACAAACTTACAGAACAAATTTATCTTACATTTTTCAAATTAATTATTTACACGTCAACACTTTATAAAATAAATTATTGGTCATTGAATACCAAATATATTACGGTTTCATATATTCGACACACCGCGATGGATCCGTAGGATAGTATTCTTGACACTTTGTCATAAGTCTTTTGAGAGCTTGAATGTATTTCCGTTGTGTCTCGTCGTTCATCACATGTGCCACATTTTTCGAGAAAATTTTTTCTCTTCCCGTACGCGCATGGATACCAACCATAGTTACTCCAATAGGCCAAGGTGAGTTTCCAATTGCCATTTGGAGATAAGCATCACTTGCCTAAAATTATACGCACATATTTTTGGCTTGGTAAAAATTCTATTAACAAGATATATTTTGTATTATATAATGCAGGAACTTACCAAAATATAATTTCTTTCTAGTAAATGTTTAACAATTTCTGTTAAGCTATCTGTAATGTCTTCCGGCAATGACTTGTTCTTCAATTTCCTGAGAAGAGGTTTCAAATATTCTTTAGTTTGAGCAAAAACAGCACCTTCCATTTTACCCCTTGTACCCATTTTTTCTACTCCTGATCGACTGTTTAAATGCTCACCCCAGGTTTTCACTAGAAACTGTAAGAACGTAGTGATAATGTGCATATCAGTTTCTCTGCCTCTTTTCTCGAGATCAGCTGCCATCATCTGTATATCCTCGTATGTAATTTCTTGTTCTAACTTATATACATCTTTCTTCTGTTGCTCTTGGGGTTTAGACGATTCAAGAAGTTCATTCAAGTAAGCTTGATCTACTTTGTCCATAGCTTCTTGGAAATCATTACGTAAGCCCTATATAACAATTAGTAATATACTTTATTCGTAGTTTATAACTTATATAGTGCAATGCAATCATTAGGAATTACAATATTGACACATACCTTGTTAACTTCTGGTTCAAGTATCTCAACCCTTCTCAATCTCTTGAAAGAGTCAATTTCAGATTCTCCAAAAAGTAGAATCGGCTGACTTCTTTCTCTTAACTTTCGAATCACTTCTACTCTTGACAAAGTTTGTGCACTATCGATCATTGATTTTTCAGCATCCATAGATCCTCTATTTCCATCTGTGTTTGTACTTCCACTATTTGTTTCACTTGATTCACTGGATTCTTTTTCTAATAATTCAGCTCTTTTGAAATACTTTTTCTTTTCTTGCTGTATTAAAAATGAAAAACAATTAGAAATACTCTCGCTACTATATCTTATGATTCTGTATTTACACTTACGATTAAATGTTTGTCCACAAGTTCTTTCCTCTTCTTCGCTATTATATCTTTCAACACTGCGTTCATCTTGCTAGAGTAATAGTATCTTTATAGGTCAAATATCAATCAACGAACAGCATAAAAAAGTTGTTCTGCCTATCTGAAATGTGATTTTGTTGTTAAATAAAGGTTATACTCGTCGATCCAACGCAACTCTGCAGCGACTGTCAGATTTGACTTCGATTTACAAACTAACCAATAAGCACTTAAGGTGCCTTTCCAATCAGACGTAAATCACACGCAGCAAGCGTAAAACTAAGAAATTCTGAGTGCTGCCAACTTCGAAATTCAAAATGAATAAAAAAGACATAATTCCTATTGTACGTAGCCTTAAAAAATTATAAATGTAAACATGAAGCCAATTGACAAATTGTTGTATGGATATGGGATGGACAAATCGTTATAACATAAGAGACATCTCATATAATCCCATATAACCATTTTGTTATAACAATTCGTCAATCGGCTTCATGTTTACATTTACAATTTTTTGAGGCTGCGTACAACGTGGATTGAATCGCGACCCCCCCAGTTAGGTTGGTATGAGAATTCCGTCGTTGCATCGGAACGAAGAAACCGCGGGAAAATTCAAAAATGAAAATAAGTTTTAAGATACGATAAAAAGCTAAAACGTTACTAATTTGTTTTTAGGTTTAAAATTAATTGTTTGCCGAACAATGAATTTAGATGCATGATTATTTGATTTTAGGTTTTAATTATATAATTTAAGAACGAGCGTTATACTATGGCCGATCTGAAAACCACCGTTACGGACTTAAAGTAGCAGGGCAATTCTTGGCTATTTCAAACAGTTTAAAACTTCAAATCACCAATTTTGTTCAAAGTTGGTAGACTTTTTATCTATACAGAGGTCAACATCTGTGCAGAGTTTTAGATCAAAATATTGATAAGGGGCCGACTTATCAACTGTTGAAAAAATATTGGACTTTTTTTTATTAATTCGATTTCTCGGAGACTAATAAAGATATGGACATGATTCTTTTTTTAAAAGACGCGGAAAGAGTTTCACTTTTAAAATGTAAATAATAAAATACCAAATAATTTATTTATGCCATTGTTATAAACAATTTTTTCAAAAAATCGACGATATCTCAAAAAACGATATTTTTTTTCTTTTAATTTTTGCACCATCGTGTTCCTTGTCATTTTTTACATAAGAAACCGGTGAGAAAATCGAGTGCCCGCTATTAGGATTAAGATAGCACTAAAATGAAACGAATCGCGCGCTAGCCGCTCGGCCGTCTGCTACTCGTGCGGTACCAACGTTGCTTGCTGCAATTGCCTTCTTTAAAGAATAAATAATTTCATATTCTAACAGTTTATATGTATTTATTTAAATAATAGATAAATTAATTAATTAAATAAGTAATTAAATTTAAATTAAATTTTGATGACTTATTTACTTATTATAACGTAATATAAAGTAATATAAGTAAAGTAATATAAGTAATATAAATCTGAAACAACATTGAATGAAACATTTGCTCTGTGCGTTAGATCGGGCGTGAGAATGACGTATATGCAAAAATATATGGTAGAAAATATAAACATCAATTTGTAATAGCTTCTAGAAGTCTTTAAAAGTCTTTGAATTTCTTACGAAAAAGAATTTATGCTAAATATCAAAAAAATTTAATTGAATTCGTCAAAAATACATTTCAAAATACTGTAAAAAAAATTATTTATGTTAGTGATGTTGCCGGAAGCCAATATAAAAATAGAATGAATTTTCTAAACTTAGTTCGATATTACGGCATTTATTCTATTTAGAGCAGGGTGTCATTTTTTTGCAAGTTATCATGTTAAAAGTCCATGTGATGGAATTGGTGGAGGTATAAAAAGATTAGCTCGACGAGAAAGCTTGCTCGGTAAAATCATAAGTAATTCTGCAGAATTTTACAAATGGGCGAAGCAAGTTATGCCTAAAATAACGTTTATTTACTGTAGTCAAGAAGAATATGAAATTTTTGAAAGTAGCATGTATAGTCAATTAAAAGATGCTCTTACTATACAAGGAACACAATCACTGCATGCATTCATTCCAGTTAGTGATGACAATACAACGGAAATTAAAGTAAAAAAAACTTCATACTCTTCTGAATTTGAAATAAGACGCATAATTTAAAGGGTTTTTTTTTGTAAAATTACTTGTAAATAACTTATTAAGAGTATTATGGTGTAGGTCCCATAAAAAAACATTTTTAATGCGGCCGCATCCTAAATATGCGTCGGTCTCAAGCCCGCTCAAACGCAGAGAGCGAATGTTTAATTTCAATATTATATCAGATTGTATAAAAAAATAGTTCATTTACATTACTTACTTAATTAATACATCTATATATTATTTAAATAAATACATATAGACTGTTAGAATATGAAATTATTTATTCTTTAAAGAAGGCAATTGCAGCAAGCAACGTTGGAACCGCACGAGTAGCAGACGGCCGAGCGGCTAGCGCGCGGTTCGTTTCATTTTAGTGCTATCTTAATCCTAATAGCGGGCACTCGATTTTCTCAACGGTTTCTTATGTAAAAAATGACAAGGAACACGATGGTACAAAAATTAAAAAAAAAAAAATATCGTTTTTTGAGATATCGTCGATTTTTTGAAAAAATTGTTTATAACAGTGGCATAAATAAATTATTTGGTATTTTATTATTTACATTTTAAAAGTGAAACTCTTTCCGCGTCTTTTAAAAAAAGAATCATGTCCATATCTTTATTAGTCTCCGAGAAATCGAATTAATAAAAAAAAGTCCAATATTTTTTCAACAGTTGATAAGTCGGCCCCTTATCAATATTTTGATCTAAAACTCTGCACAGATGTTGACCTCTGTATAGGTAACAAGTCTACCAACTTTGAACAAAATTGGTGATTTGAAGTTTTAAACTGTTTGAAATAGCCAAGAATTGCCCAGCAGTCAAAATCAAAGCTCGAATAGCAGACCTGAAAAAGTCTGTTTACACGTGTATATGTCTATTTTAAATGTTTCTTCCGAGTTTCTTATGCTTTTACCTGCTTTTGCTTCAGCAAGGATTTATCGTTATGCTGGCATTTAGATAAGTTATTATTTATTTATTTATTTACTATCTACAATAGAATTTTCCCGCGGTTTCTTCGTTCCGATGCAACGATGGAATTCTCATACCAACCTAACTGGGGGGGTCGCGATTCAATCCACGTTGGGTGTACAATAGGAATTATGTCTTCAATTAATTTTGAATTTTGAAGTTGGCAGCACTTAGAATTTCTTGGTTTTACGCTTGCTGCGTGCGATTTACATCTGTATTGGAAAAGCACCCTTACCAAAGTCAACAGCCAAAGATAAGCAAAGACGCGTGTAGCATTGCAACGTCAACGTGTACAATTTATAGGGTCCCGCTAATAGTTTAACAAATTGCCATTATTCACGCAACTGTAAACATTAGTAACGTTTGTCGTTTGAGGAAAAGTGTTGAGTGTTGAAGCCCGAAAACCACGTGAAAGAAGTAGGCGATACGTGCAAGTTGATTGGATTTGTCGAGCGTAGAAGTGTTATCTGTGTTTTTGAGTTATCAGCTTTAACCGAAACGAATTGAAAAATCTTATCTGCAAAGCTACTTCGAAAAGAATTCGCAGTGTTCACTGCACGTATAAAAAAAGAGCTTTAATCGAGTGCGATAAAAAGCTATTAAAGTACACGTCGTCGATAAGCATGTCAGTGGTGGAGGATTATGAAATTCGCGTAGCCAATAAACACGAGATCCCGTTAATAAACGCACTGTTGGAGAAATATTTTCATCCCGAGGAGACGCTGCTAAAGTGCATGTTGTCGAGCCAAGAGTGCAGCGCGGAACAATTAGCTGAAATTGACGTCGATCAACGCAGGATAAACGAGGCGATGATCGTTAACTTCCCGTGTCTGCTGGCGGTTCACGCGTCCAGCGCGGAAATCGTGGGTGTGAACGTGATGATCGCTAGCGAGAACCCGAAATTGGTCGACGGCGATCGCCGATCGATCGACGTCTACGAGGCGCACCGACCCAAGTCCGCGTTGCTCGCCGATTACTTTCGCCGCATGAACGAGATGATCGACCAGGCCGAGTTGTTCGTCAAGTTCCCGGCGGCCGAGCGGGCCTTGGAGTTTTACGCCGTGGCCGTCGGCGAGCAGCATCGACGCAGAGGCTTAGCCACGAGACTGATGAAGGAGGGCTTGGAGCTCGCCAAGGGGACCGGCGTCAATTTGGTGTTCGGTCTGTTCACCTCGCCGCACTCGAGACGATCCGCCGAGAAGGTCGGGCTGGCGAGCGTCGCGGAGCTCGACCTGCTCGAGTACCGCGACGACGCGGGATCGCGGATATTCGCCGGCGCCGAGCCGCGTCACAGCGTCGCTACGGTGATGGCCGCGTCGGTCTGAGGCGCGGGGCGAGAGGAGCGCGCGGACTCGTCGCGCTCATCCCCGAGCAGAAGTCGCCGCGTCGATCGCTCGCGGAAAAGCGCGACGGGCGCGCGCCGGCATTATCGCGGCGCAGTCGTCAGTGTTTCGCGGCCGCGAGATGAGCGCGCATCGGCGGGACGCGGAGTACGTGGCGCGGGCCGCGAGCACTCGCGACCTCGACGAGGCGATCGGCTTCATGAAGAGGCACTTCTATCCGGAGGAGACGATATTCAAGAGCCTGCTGCTGAAGCACCGGCCGTCCGTTGACGAGCTGAGGATCATCGACGAGGACCAGGCGAACATCGTCAGGTGCATGCTGCTGAACTCGCCCTGCATCGCCATCGTCCACGAGCCGAGCCAAACTATCGTCGCGATGAGCATGATGATCGGCAGCGCCAAGGCCAACGGCCAGAGCCACTACAACGTGTACGCGGAGTATCAGGCCAGGTCCCGATTCGTGGCGGACTACGTGAGTGGTGTCGCGAGGATGATCGAGAGCGCGCAGCTCTGCAGGAGCTATCCGGGCGCGCGGAGCGCGCTCGAGCTCGACATGATGGCCGTGGATCGCGAGCACGGCAGGCGCGGACTGGCGGTCAGGCTGCTGGAGGCGAGCCTGGACTACGCGAGGGCCAACGGCTTCGACCTCGTGGACGGGCTCTTCACCTCGGACTACGCCAGGCGGGCCGCCGAGAAGGTCGGCATGACCAGTCTCATGGATTACCAGCTCGAGCACTGGTGCGGACTTAGCGGCGCTGGGGACCTGCTGCCTTACAAGACTGCCAGTCTCATGGTCGTACATACCGGCGGCTGCGACGCCGATTGAGCTCCAAGCAGACAATCCGTGGGCTCTTTTTGGCACTATGCGCGTTGCGAAGTTGTTGCGCCATTGTTATCTGACGTAAACGTCGATTGCTGCTTCTCTCTCTCTCTCTCTCTCTCTCTCTCTCTCCCTCCCTCTCACGCATTCTCTTTGTGTTCCGGCTGCGGCGGTATCGCACCTCTCTCGAGTCCCACCCGGCGCGCCCGTCGACGACCGTGCACTTTCCAGAGCGAGAGCGGGACGCTCGCCGAACGCGCTCACGAGAACCAGAGGATCTTCGTATTTTTGTCAACTGCGCCCCCGCACGACGTGGCTTTTTATAACGAGCGCATTTCTGAAAATACTTGTCATTCTGACCTTGTAACACAGAAAATATATGCGGCAAAACGTACACACCTTTTTTTTTTTATCTCTATTATTGATGATAATGCTGCGATATTCGCGATGCCTTATTTCACCGATAATATTAGAAGTGCGTTTGGCTCGCTGCCACCGGTACTCTGTCGCTTTTCACGCTCTCACCGAAAATAGCTCACCATGAAAATTTTTTCGCGTCAACTTTCACTATAGCTCGGTCTCGCGAAGAATAAAATCCACGAAGAAAGCATCTCTCTTGTTTTTTTGTTTTTTTTTCTTTCTCGTAGCAGAGGTTCCTCATTAGAGCGACGATCCTTCCGTTCCGCGTATGATACATGGTTTCCTCGCTCTCTTTTATCCAAGCCAGCTCGTCTCTTCGTTTCAAGGTTTTTCCGGCGAATCCGCTCGCGACAGATATAGAAAAGCCGATAAGCGCTCCGCCAACAGAGCGTCTGGCATTGACAATCGTGGCACTGTCCACGGCGAGCGCGATAAAAAGAAAGAAGGCGCAACAGACATCGATTTCAGAGTACAATAAGCTTCTCGATTCTTTCGAAATAATCGCACGCGAAAACAGCGGCGAGTATCGTGCTTGCGCTTCGTGCAACCTGAATTATCCGACTGCTCGAGAATAAAACGGCGCGGCGCGATTTGCAATTGAGATTCGGCGCATAATTCTTCGAGAGCCCCGTCTTCGGCAACAAGTATCGCGCGCTTCCTCGAGAAATCGAGCGGAAAGAGAAGATGAGCGCTTTTCGATTGCAGGATACGCGCTGCCGCACGCGATACTGCGCCTGGATCTGGCAGGTCGCGATTTGACCGACTACCTAATGAAGATCCTCACCGAGCGCGGCTACTCGTTCACGACGACAGCCGAGCGCGAGATCGTGCGCGACATCAAGGAGAAACTGTGCTACGTCGCTCTTGACTTCCAGCAGGAGATGTCGACTGCTGCCGGTTCCAGCGCCCTCGAGAAGAGCTACGAGCTTCCCGACGGACAGGTTTGCTTCTGCTTGACGTGTGCGAGGGCGTGTACGCTCGAAGGTGTCGTGCAATTAGCTTTGAGTTCGAGCATTAGCAGTAGGCTGAATTGCTCGATCGACACCTCCTATTGCACACCCCCTTGAGTCAGCCAAGATCGGGAAACGAACGCGTAGGCAAACTGTGGCGATACTCACGCGTGTTCTTCCTCAGGTGATAACGATCGGCAATGAGCGTTTCCGCTGTCCGGAGGCGATGTTCCAGCCGTCGTTCTTGGGCATGGAATCGAGCGGCATCCACGAGACGACCTACAACTCGATCATGAAGTGCGACGTCGACATTCGCAAAGATTTGTACGCGAATTCCGTGTTGTCCGGCGGCACCACCATGTATCCTGGGATCGCGGACAGGATGCAAAAGGAAATCACCGCCCTGGCGCCGTCCACCATGAAGATCAAGATCATTGCGCCCCCCGAGCGCAAATATTCGGTCTGGATTGGAGGATCGATCTTGGCTTCTCTGTCTACCTTCCAGCAGATGTGGATCTCCAAGCAGGAGTACGACGAGTCTGGCCCTTCTATTGTTCATCGAAAATGCTTTTAAGCGCACGCTTTACGTTTCGCGCGATACCGTCTTGTATTTCCAGTGTTCACCCTATGATCCTTCGTTTCCCTCTAGGCTATGTATTTACTCATCGTGTTAATGTATATACTTTTCCTTTTTAATTTATTCGTCTCGCATATTGAATCTAAATCTTGAACTCTTTATGTTATGTCCTGAAGGTAAATCTCTTAAAATCACTACACCGATAGCTCGTAAGACTTTTATTTCAAGTTTAATATAATGCAATTCACATTTTATTTTACATTACTTTTTGCTACTAAAATAAAGAACAAAATGGTTTGCGTTCTAAAAATAAATAAATAGCTTAAAAATGTATTAGTGTAGGTGTAATTTGTACGGGAATGAGATATTTAGTATCGTAGTCTAGTCTTCTTATATCAACTAAATAAATATTATTGACCTAGGCTCAATTGATTAATATATAAATTCAACTTGATTACGTGAAGTTGTTTTTTCGTACTGAAATGCATAAAATATAAGTAGATACAAATGTGACGGAGAAACTTTAATTATTTGATAGTTTGGTCTAAAGCTGAACATAGTTTTGAACTCGTAAAAGTATAATGATATAATTAAATACTACAAATAAAATATTTCGGGTCATGTCAATGTGTTAAGCATGATGAATCCCATGTTCAATAGACTATCATTACGTAATGATCAAAGTCGGTAAAATACTATGGAACAATATCAAATAATGAATATACGATAGCTTACCTGAACTCGAATATATGCTTTTGTGTCTCAACGTATAAACCAAAAGATTGAATACTTCAATAAAGTATCTTTTACTCAGATTGTTTTTGACACATTTGCGGTTATAATAGATGAATTGCTAGCTTACTATTTTCCATTTCATAGTGTATTACGCTACTAGGGAGTACAATAGGCAAAGTACGCACAGTATGATATTTGCCTATATACTCCCGTGTTGCGTATACTCATTTTCCGCACACCCCCATAAAGGGGTGATATTGCTCCCTACTAAGAGGCTGCACAGTTACGCACAGTTATGCACTTCACGCGCAGTGTGGAGAAAGGGATATTGTATACTACTAAATTACGGGTGTGCCAAATTCATGTCTAATTCAATTTCAAACCAATTTTGTCCTACTTTTGTAAGTCGTATGTTTTATATCGACAATGCAGTATTGCAAGATTCGCAAAACCACTCGCAAATGCAGATATTGCTGTTGAAAAACCTGATATCATACTATAAGGCGTGATAATTCATTGGCATTTCGTCTACTCGGCGTTCGAAACGTATCAAAGTACACGCTTTGATAAAATTAGTTCTGAGAGAATATGAAGAAATAACGAGTCGCCGCCTTTCATCATATTGCAATGATAATAAAAACTTGAATTAATCTAAAAGTATCCAAAAAAATAACGCATATTGCGCGTATCACAAGCCTTTGCGTAGGTTTCCATTGAGATAGTGAAAAACCTCCCACCAGTTATTATACATGGTCTGGAAATTCACATCATCACTATCAATAATAATCTCCTCATTTTCGGAGAAGCGAGATACCATTTGACGTTGTAACTGAGATTACGCAGTTGGATGAAATCATGAGTTCTGAGGCTACAGAGTTATGAATTGACCAAGCATCGAACACAGATGAATTAGAATCAATAATTATTTGGCCATTTAAGAATACGATCACAAAATGTAAAATTAACGCATTAATAAATTTGCCATATCTAAGAATATCTATTAGACACTCACTATTCAACAAAACCTAAAAGAAAACAATTAACGTTAATGTACGTTTAATTATAACCCATGAGTTTAAAACCATTTGACTAGATGTAGTCCAACACTAAACACAGACATTAAGTTTAAATAGTACTTGTAGTAGTAGTATCCAAGTGAAGCTGTAAATTTTTTCAATAATTAATGTCATTTTATAAAAAAAAGATCAGGATAAAACATATCAAAATGAATATTATATTATTATGAATAACACACTTAAATATTTCGCTGTAAAAATGAACAGCTTGCACCATGGCTTTGTAGGCTTTGTTATCCGTAGTTGTAAAATCCACCATATTATACTCGTATTCCTCTAAAAATCTAGAATTTGTAAACGTATCCTAAGGTTGATGAACATACAAAAATTAACACGTATCAAATCTGTTGTGAAAACTCGGTGAACAAGTATTCGAAAAATCACAACGGATTATGGATAGTTTAAACAAAAAGGTTTTATTCAATCTCTTGTACATTCTAGCCTGGAACGTATGAAAGACTATGTTGGAACACTGGCAATCGCCGAACACCTCAGCAGTGAATGGGAACTAGGGAGTGATGTCGACTTGGCATAAAAGAGGTCGCCGTCAGATATTTTACAAAATTAATCGACAACGTACAAGATAAATAATGTTTACATAATGTCCACTAAATGTGATTGAATGGAAAATTGAAATGATTCACTGAAAGAATGTATAATTACTGAACGATTTCGAAAATGACACACAGGTGTCTCACATTTATTGTGAAAGAATAGTCATACGCGATAATCATTTAACTCCAGTAAATAAACACAAAGATCGTCTTAAACATTATAAGGAAATAATGTTTGTCTGTGTCCACCAAGAAACTATAGTCGGTATTGTATGAATTAATCTTTTTAACTTTAGTGTTGTTGATCCCAAGAATCCACAACTGCTTTAACTTTATTTAGAGTGAAAAAGATTATACAGGATATAAAAACATATACTAAAAAAAGCAGAATATGAGGTAATTCAAACTGTTCAATCAGTTGTTCACGTATTGAATGAAAAATTTCAGGTCCTCGGCAGACACATGTGTAATAAATGAGCATATTGTACTTCGGTAAGTATTCTGTGGTGAATATTTACTTACTTATCAACCGTTAGCCTTTGCAATAGCAAAGATAATTTAAGTTGCATTATTCCTCACAAAAATAAAATATTCCATTCGTTTACCTCTCTCATGTGAATTCGAGACAAAGCAATCTTTACTACTATGCCTATCATTGTCAATTGCATCACAAATTTTTCCACGGCAAATGTAGATTTCACCCCGAATTCTTTTTAGAATAGAAACTTCTTAACAATGTCATGTTGATCATTATTATTTCTTTTTTTCTAAAATATTTGTTTAATAATATGTCATAAAAGATGTGCGAAAATAAACATTACCACCGGTATTGTCGTTATGATTGTACATATAATAAAGAATACAAGGGAAACATAGTTCAAACTAGTTGTCGACTGACTCTGAAGCGACCAAAGACAACAATAAATTTCCAATTTCTCAATTTTCTGCCAAATTAGGTGTGAAAAAAAAGCTATTGGAAATGAATAAGTAAACGACTTAACAAACGTGAACGTAGACAGTTTTATTAAATCAAAACATAAACGAGAACACAGAGACTGACATAAGATTTGTTAAAACAAATGATAAATTAATCATATTGATGAACAACCTCATCAAAAGAACATAAATTTGAATGTTTTGTTCTAACAAAACCTTTTATTTTATTGTAAGTAAATATAGATGTTGTTTTCTCTGAAATGTGTAACAGTATTCGCAAGTCGATAGTAACATGAAACTAAAGTCAAAGCAAACAAAATTCAGTATTTACTATTCAATAATTCAGCATTTCTTATAGATCCGTTGGTTAGAATTTCATTTTATAGAGTGTCAGAAGTCTTCGTGCCTTGCTGCTTGAAAATTTTAATCAGACGGACACATCCATAGGAAAGCCTGAAGACTTGTATACCTACCTTCTGTTTATTATCCAAGCCGGAAACTTTTAATTCGTATTAGTTCAAGATTTTCAAAAAGATAAAACTTCTAGCCCGCTCGTAAATAGAAAATAATTGAATGTGTTGCACTGTACGCAATCGTATACTAAAAATATATTTTGAAATTCATTAGGTCCAGCTGCACCAGGGGGCCTATTCTGAAAAAAAATTTTAGCACAATATCACATCTAAAGTGATTAATTCTGTGGTAAACTGAAGTGACAAACTGCTGATTTACCACAAAATTTTTTTTCAGAATAGGCCCCCAGATATACTGATGTGAACGGGCGTAACGAATACTAAATAATGGTTTAAAGCGGTTTATCTCGTATTTATCATGTATCATTTTGTTAAAATTCCTCTTTTTTTTACATATCTCTTTATTAATATTCTTGAGTTATCGAAAGCTATTGTAATTTTTTTTTGGATTTTCCTGCGAAATATGCCGATCTGCAATTGCACAAGACTCATGTAACTTCTCATAATGGAACACAAAGTCTTTTCTAGAAAAATAAATAATTTGAAATATACTTGTTTTAGCACTTGTATACATTCACTCTTGCTCCTTCATCATCGAGCTGCGAGTATGTGAATATTTCAGTGGATTTGTATATTTATTACGAGACTAAGTTACCGTGATAAACAAAACTCAGAAATGAATTTGAAATATTTAAGCAACGTCTAAAATTAGAGAGAAATATAAATTTAATTAAATGCGACGCAACCGCGTTGAGCAAAACCCGAAGCTACTGACACAGCATTTATTTCATTGATCGTATCAAACATGGCTTAACAATTATCTCGTGTGTTTCATTTTTATTTTATTTGTCGCCTCAGGATTTAGACTAATAGTAATAAGCGGTAATTTTCCAGGTAAATTATAACATTGTATTGATCTTTTTATCAAACTTAAAGAGCAAAGAGATTGATCAGCACAATGCTCTTTAGGGTTTCAAGTCGCTCATAATAGGGCATTTGCAATCCTCTACTGCTTATATCTATAGTGGAAACGTTTAATCCACATTTGTTAAACATTAGTGAGCTTGGAAAGACGATGCTACGATACACAGATTACAATTTCATTTTTCATGAACAAATATAATGTCCTTATGTTGTTTTGAATACACAAGTGACTTCCTTTTTGAAAATGAATGACATGTTATTTCAAAAAGTTTATTTCACAAAAAGTGAAATACGGAAACCCCTAACTCCAGCCCACAAAGTGTAGCGGGTATACAACTGCGCCTACTGAATTTCTCTATTGATTTACACAATAGAGTACATAAAATCGCTTAAAAATATTTTTAAAATCATTTCAGTTCGTTCTACTTA